CAACATCAAAAATGTCCCGGTCGCATGGAATGGAACGTTTTGGCCTGGTCTCCGTCATGCAGACTTCAACTTCATGCATGTCCACTTCCACTAGTTTATCTTCATTACCCTGGAGCTCCGGTAAGGTTTACTTAAGAATTGGACGCCCCCCGTTACTGTTGATCTTGTGATCCGGTCTCATTCTATGATTGTTCCATGATGCCAAGACCTGGTCCAGATTATCCTACAAACAGAAATAGAACAGTCAGCAATTTATATTTGGTCTGGAAAATTCAATTAACAGGTTACCGGGGTGATGGGGCTGCCATCATTGCAGGGCATGTGGCGCCGGTCGTTTGTTTTAATCCATAATGATCTACATGTCCACACCGCCCATTCTAAAGTTTTTCTTTAAAGGTGTCTATATTCTTGCCCGTGCGCTCAATTTTCAAATTTGGGAATTTAAATACGGAAAGACTTATCACGGACATCACTTGACACCTTGCTCACAAATCATATGTGTGGACTGAACAAAATTATTTTCTGAGTAAATGCTCCTACCTTTTTCCAGCTAAATGTCACTTTTTTGGACATTGTTATCACTTCCTGATGGGTGATGTTCCAATTTAGGGACAAGATCTGTGATGTCTGAGTACATGTATGGTACACGTGAAACACATTGTTTTTTTAATTTTTTTGAGAACTATATAATCGAGAGAAATAGGCCATACCTGTACTATTCTCAGGAAGCAAAGCTGTATCAAGTTCTTATCAACGTCACCGTTGAACAGCCCGTCCTCTTTGAGAGTGTGGAAGATATCCATCCAATATTGAGTGCAGTGCTTTCTGAAAAAGCTCCACCAGGCCTCCATCTTTTGGTTAGTTGTGCTCTTTCCATACAGAAAGCTTTTAGCACCAGCCATGTTGTCTTCGTCGTTTCTTCTGAGAAACGTCTGTACCTGCTCAACATGGCCATTTTCGGTCCCCATATCTGCCCGCACTACGCGTGGACATCCGTGCCTAGAAGAAACTGCTGCCAGATAGAAGCCTAGTATTATTTTGGGATCGTTATTGGTGGTGTATGCCTCTAACCACATCAAGTGTCTAGAATAACCATCTATGCATCCGCTTATCGCAATGCCAAACGGCTTCAACTTATCATACCCATCCATGTGCCACGTCTGGTTGGGTCCAGCACTTGTGTAGATCCTGCGTGTCAAACGATGTCTCCTCTTTGCTGCAACACCTTCAGGGTCTAGCAAATGTTGTATCATACGAATAGTGTTCTGTGAAACAACAAACCCCTCCTCAATGCACCTAGCGTGCATCCAGCGATATCCATAGTACTGAGCAGATGTTTGCAATTGTTCTTCAATAAATGATGCAATCTTAAGGACATCTGAATACCCTCTCCTCCTATACAGTCCTCCTTTCCTTAAAAGTCGGCGTAGATGTCTCTGACTGATAACTATTCCATGGTTCAGAGCAAGGCAAGACAATATCTCCTTCTGACTAAAACCGAGCTGAAAATATAGCTTAATAATCTCTTGACGGTCCATTTTAAAACGTTTGCTTTTTGGCAAGTAAAAGGACTAACTTTCATATCGGACTAATTAGTCAGAAGCACAGTTACTAATCTGGTCCAGGAGTACCTACATGACGACAGCGCCAGCACTACTGAAAGTGCCGTATCGAATTGGTAATTCGTACGTACGATTTAGTAATTCGTACGTACGGTTTAGTAATTCGTACGTACGAATTAGTAATTCGTACGTACGAATTAGTAATTCGTACGTACGAATTAGTAATTCGTACGTACGGTTTAGTAATTCGTACGTACGAATTAGTAATTCGTACGTACGGATTAGTAATTCGTACGTACGGTTTAGTAATTCGTACGTACGAATTAGTAATTCGTACGTACGAATTAGTAATTCGTACATACGGTTTAGTAATTCGTACGTACGAATTATTTTTTTTTTTAACCATGTCCTATCTACACTTCCATAAAATTGTGATGGTTGGTAATACCGCAATCCTTCGCAGAGTTCATTGTCACGGTGTAGCTAGCCCGACCGCGTCCATTCGATCTCGTCTACCGGGAGCCTTTGCCTGACCCATGCGGTCAGCTGACTGCAACTCCAACAAGGAAACGTGACAACCCTTTCCAAAATCTCGGCTTCACCCTGGTTCGGCTTCTCAACGGTTGTAAACGATACGCAGCTAGGAGCCTTGTAAGATATACGGCAGAACATTATAATCTAATATTTCTTTATGATTTGATGCTTAGGCCTGGTAGCAGAAAATGGATCTCGTCAGGTTCATGAAAACATAAAACTTGCTATATGAAAGCCTAGGCTGCCGACCAGGCCGAGGTTTCGAAACACTTCCTGGTTTCGCCCAGTAAACGGTAACTAAAATGATAATATTGTCGGTGAGAACACTTGAACAACATCGATTGAATTTTGTTGATCGGAGAACATTAAAAAAAAAAAACCTGCCGATGCAAGTCATGTTTAACTTTTCAACGATACCTTTTTTGCTATTCAAAATGATTACGTAGCAGTATATTGTGGTTAATCGGGGTTCGGAAATTCAGAAATTTAAGCTTGTCACATTACAACATGTTGTAGCATACTTTAATATTCACAAAAACATTTACGGTGACTTTTGTGCATGCTGAATTATTTACGTTCGATAGGCCTATTGCGGTTTTTTTTTTGGGGGGGGGATGCTGATGATGTTGGCATATGCATGGTGAAGTGATTGGTGATATTGGCACGAGCGGTGGCGATGGTGATTGTGAAAGGTACGTGACGATTATCACGGTGGTCAGGTATCAGGACGGTAATTGAGCTATATGCCCCGTGTCTATCCCGGACACGTGGCTCAGTCTCCCGCCGCTGCCAACACTAAAAAAACCCCAAAACACAGATTGGTTAACTTCTAACCAAACATTGGTTGAAACAGCCACATATTGGTTTATTATGTGTCGAACCAATCGGATTGATTGGTTGTTTTAACCAATCTGTTTTTAGAGTGAGCTTACAGAGGGCGCTAGTTCCATATTCTAACCACTGCAGGATGCGATAGGGACAATAATGATACACTCACTTCCAGTAACGGAAAAATATACTCGCAACTTCCCAAAGTGTTCACAACATCATAGTTTAGCTTTACTCTCTTTCCTTCATTTTAGCTCAATTTTAGGAGGTATTAGGGCTGTACAAGTAGGTCTTTGCACGCAACGCACAGTTTCGTTATCATGCGAGTAGGCGAGTATAGGCGGCGAAATAGGTGCCGATATGAGAGGTCGTAAGTGAAATTCGTTTTACAAGAAGAATACTGATACAAAATTCCAAAATGATTGTTTCTTTTGGTTGTTGAAGTGAGAAATCATTATGCGTAAAATGACAGGCAGTAGAAGGGCAACACGATGTAAAAATGTCCTTCCCATGAGAGTGGCCTGGAAGCTCGAGAGTGTCGATCCTGGAAAGCTTTCCAGGTGAGTTTTTCATCGAGCGTTCAAGAGGGCGGCAGACTCTCTGCTGGTTCGCTGTCTATGGCTGCTCTCTATCTCGGTGCAGATATCCACGCTTGTGTGCCGGGAGGCATGGATACGGTCGAGTGGCAACATTATAATAGTTTCCACGGCAACCTATACACAAGCCAGGCATACCCAAATGCACGTACACACACTCGTTGATGGTAGTAGCCATGACGACCTAGTATTCCTACACAATGGGCAAGTTCAAAAGGTGAAAACAACAGGCTTCTGTCATTACGGAAATGGAATGCAAGTTCCTGGTCTTCTAGTAGTTCGTTTCTATTCCCGTGTTTGTTTACATTTAGAAACAGTAATGTACTCGACCTGAGGAAATAAAAGTAAGGAGGAAAAAACATTTGCCTCATTCATTTTCTGTGTGTGAACACCCAATCAAACTGGCTATATGAACATAGCAACGTCAGAATGTTTATCCCCGCTACAAACACATGAATGTTATATAGTGAGTCAGCCTCGTCTATAGCTGTAGTCGAAGTGATTTCAATGTAGATCAGAGAACACAAAATCATAGCCCAGCCATTGATTCCAGCACTCATACTTCGAAGTATGACTGGCAAAAACAAAGTTTAAGTGATTGTCCAGTGGGTACGTATAGGTCTACATTTCGAGAGAGAAAAAAGAGAGAGAAATGCGTGAATTTCTTTGTGCGGCCAAATTCAGTAAATTTGCTGTCCGAGTCTAACAAAGGGAATTTAACCCGCATTCACAGTAACTGAATGTAATCCATGATTGAGTTGAGTTGGCGTCAGAAAAATATGAAATTGAATGACGAATGATTATAATAATTCAGCTATAATGTGCACCCTACAAAATGGCGGGCGAATAATTTCATGCTGGGGTGCCATTTTATGCATTAATAATACTTAGAAATTAGTCCATGATAAGCATTGTTTGTACAGTACCCCATTACAGCTTGACTAAAGTACACAATCACGAACGACCCAAAAAGGTGTTGAATATTTTCGTGTGCTAAGGTCAAGTGTGAAGTAATTAAACAATGTCTTGTCTTGTTTGCATAAGCAGAAATCGATGAATCGACAGGCAGTGGCGTAGCCAGGAATTTTTCAGTGGGGGGCGCTAGGGGGCTGGAACATTTCATGGGGGGGGGGGCGTCATGTAGATCAATGATAATTTTTTTAGAAACTCAAAATCTCAGTGGGGGGGGGGGGCGGGGGACAAGGTTTGATGGGGGGCATAGTCACCTATGCACATTTACGATGACAGTGACCGAAGCAGTTAACTTCAAAAAGAGCCCGATAGACGGACAAACAAGCAAACAAACAAGCAAACAACCAATCACATAATTATTAAAAAACTGTTGTACATAATCATACACTCTCAATAAGTGCGTCACGTGTTCTGTAAAGAGAACACAACGTCGCTCCTCAACACATGGTACATGCACGTACCATCCTCGGTTATCGTTACGGATGAATGGTGATGTTTCTCCGCAACCCATGAGATGAAACTGTGTGGCTATTATTGTAACCCATTGTGTGAAGGTGTGTGACTACCCGGACCCACAGAAAGTCCCTCCCTATACATGTACTTGTTTACGGAATTGGCAGACAGAATATGATACATCTAGGGTGAGAACGTGCAATAGAATGTGTGAAGGTATTGGATCAAGTTGTGAATAATTACTCTTAGCCCTTTGTGTAGTAGGACTATATGACACCGGTTGATTCGAACTCAATACATCAGAGAGATACCGACAACTCGCCCCACATTGCCACTGCGACCGTGAGCATCGAAAGGATGCGGAAGTAAAATAATCGAGAAATCTCCTTTGAGGGAAGACAGAGGTGCGTTCCAAATCGAAATGGCCGGCAGTGGGTTGCAGGTGTCGACCCGTGGACCACCGCCCGGGTTGGCCTTCAACCTAGACGAGTGGGTACCGTGTGAGGTGTACCTGGGCTGCACCGAAGAGAGAGAGACAGACACGGCCACCAGTGCCGACTTGGCTCGGGTGATCGCCAAGCTACATCGACGCCATGAACGTGACCATGGAACGGTTCTGGGGCAGTCATCTGCAGCAACAGAGGTACGTCAATTAGAAAGGTTCTCGATTCAGACGCCACTATACTTTTGTTGGTCGTGCTCAACAGAGTCAAAATCATCATGTAAAAAATTGGAGAAAGAATGCAGGTTCATGACGCCAGTGAGCGCCCTAAAATATAATATTGAGAAAACATGAATGAAGACTAAAGAGCGTGTCAGGTTTTGTTAGAAATACCAACAGCTTATTAACGTGCAAAACATTCGAAATACTTCTCGGTACCAATTTTTTTCTGTTTTCATACTCGCCACTATGATCCATACTTTTGCAATTTTGAGATCTTTATTGTGAAATTTTGTTATTATTATTAACTATTTCTGATAATGAAACCAAGGATTCCTCAAAAGCGCCCTATGCACTGTAGCTCGCAAGCCTGAAGAAACCTTTAGAGAGAAGAAAATGAGAAGAAATTACAGTTTTAGTTACAGAATGGGCCCATTTTGCAATGCGTTCATTTTCCCACCCAACTATCTATTTTAATTGTACCATTTTTAACTGCCGAAATAAATAATTTGTAAACGGCCGTATAGCACATCGATGCACTGGTTTTGAACTTGAAATTGAATTTATACCAAGAAATCGCGTCATATATGATACATCTTATAAGATATGTACGTATGACGTATCATAAAATGTTGCCTTTTCAAAAGTGCTTTGCTTTTTTCGCTTGTCGACCTTTTTGCTGTCTTTAATTATGGCACAGCGATTTTTGGTAAAACTTTTTTCCGACACAAATTGTAACCTGCATAGCTGCAACCGCAAACGGTGTTCATTAATGCAAACACGCCTGCTGTTTTCAAGTTCGCGGTGGTGCTTTTTGTTTTACATTCTATACCTCGTTTTGTATAAGAATGGAGTGTAATTTACATAACAGTGGGCTCTCAGGAAGCACTAATGGTCGTCATGGTGATACTCGCATGAAAGCACACGGATCAATACAATATCGCTCAAATAAGCATCGAGCTAAATATAGAAATGTGTGCATGTAGCTGTAATTGTGGCGTTGCATTTGGGGAATGACGCTGTCAATTCAAACGTAGTCTATGTTCAAGCCTGCTTGTGTTTTTTGTTCTCCGAGTGCAGCCGGTCCTGATCGAATCCAGTATAGACCATTATCATGTTGCGGCCCTCGTGATTTTCCCCCATTCAAATCAACGTAACCAAAGCGAGGCTGGAAGCAAAAAATAGTCTGGTTCCTTTTTGCACAAACAACATTATTATTCAGTACTGTTATAAGATGCAGGGAACATGACTGAAATGGTAGCAGCAAAATAAAGGTCTATTGGGAAGTTGGCTCTGAGACCCGCGGCCCGAGAAATTCCGAGCTTACCTCACGCTATACGCGCCCGCGTTAGGTGTGTTCACTGGGTGTATAGTGCCAAAAAAGTCCCAAGACTTGATTTGCTTGATCTTCTTGATAGAGCCCTCTGTGGCTTGACTGTGCTTGTCAGGGACCGGATGCAATACGTCAACAAAATCCAAATCCAGAAGAATAAAAAGGCTGAAAAATAATGTTGACTGGAAGGAAACTGTAAAACCCAACCAAATCCTTCCCGCTATAGCCTCTCCTCTTTGCCCCTTTGGCTTTGCATGTCCGCATCGAACAGTGGTGACATGATGTTACCTATCCGCCCCTCATCCCCTCCCAGCGGCTATCCGTCACGAACTTAAACATGACTTTGTGACTGACTACATTTTGTGAGCACACAGTCATCCTCAATCAAATTGGTGACCGTCTGTAAGAACCACCCGTCTAAGTTTAACGATAGAGAAACGTACCGAATCAGAAAGAGACTGAATTCTGAACTTGGATCAGAGTCGGATTCGAACCCGTTGGATCAGGGTCGGGTTGGAACCCGAAAAGGACCCGTTGTGAAACAAAAGGTGGGAAAACTTTGTGCACTCCTTTAAATGAGCTAATTCCATTCATCCTTAATCATTGTATCCATCCTAAGTCCATGAATTGTTTATGATATCACAGGTGTATGTCAAGGTTATACCTCTTGGATTTATTCTGAGGGTCATCCCATCCTCCCGAGACAACCAGGAGACCAATAGCCCGCAAGAGGGTATCAGAGAATTCTTCGAGACAGTCCGCATAGCAAGATGCTCCGCCAACCACGAGCCGTGCAATCGCGCTCTTATCTGGGTGTACAACCGCCGCTCCCTCGATGGCGGGACGGCTGGGTCAGACGGACGGGTGGAGTGTCACGGCGTAGTGTGCCGGGACTTAAGGGACGCCACCCGACTGGCTAACACGCTTGCCGCGGCCTTCTACGAGATGCGACAGCAGCCTGTGTCAATCGGTAACGCCTTTGGCGCTGTGGGCGGCGCGGTCAGCATGTCAGGGGTCATGCAGAGTGTGCCAGGGGAGCTCCCTCCGGCTTACACGCCCGCGGCTACCGGCGGTGAAGTCGCTGTGACAGAGCCCCGGTCCAGACGGGCCAGAAGCCGTGGAGGCAGGCAGATGCGAGTCCTGGAAGTCGTTACAATGCACCAAGGAGAGGACATCGAGGAAGGTTCCCAACTGGATCTGAGCCCCAGGTCAACTGGTTCCATGAGCCCAAGGGATGTCTCATCCCCACCAAATGCCGCCGGCACTACGCGGAACTCCACCGTGTCTCTGCACTCTGCCGTGGCCATCTCCGAGGTCAGGTCTCCAAGAGGCCAACGGTACGGAGGCATGCCAGACGTGGCAGCTGACCCCTGGGGAAACCCTGTCGGATAGACCCTAAAATATAGGCAGGAGTGTTAGCCTCAGCTTAATGAGTTGCTTATAATACTAATAGAAGACAAAAATTGCTTAGAATATGGTGGGACCAGATCGCACGAGCTGAGTCTTATTTTGTAATATCCAGTAGAAAAGGCGTACTCTGCACTTCAGTTTGATGTATCAGTCATTTTGATGTCTTCAGATGCGCATATAATTATTATGTGGGTGAAAACGCTGACATTTTGTATGGGTTTCCAGTGTGCAAGACTTGTAAAAACGTCTATTCCACAAAAGTAGTCCGGGCGGTTTGTGACGCATTTGTTCACGCACGTGATTCATCCATAATTAGCTGTTTCGGTGTACACACCGAAACAGCTCTTGTTTTCGTTAAGATTTTTTTTTCTTTTTTTTGAAACTTGGCACAGAGTCAGAACCCACAGTGAACTCGTGCATGGGAAAAGTGACGTCATCATGACGTCATCATGGGCCACGTGACGTCATCTGAAATGTGCAAACTCTAGGACCCTATATCTAAAGAACTATAAGTCGGATTGGGTTGAAACTCGGTATGTTGGTAGACCGGGATGTGTTAAAGATAAAAATTGAGGTGACGTCATCAGACGTCATCGTGTGATTTTATATCTGTTTTTGACGTTTTGGACCTTGAAACCATATTTCACGAACGCAATATGCTAAATTCAAAATTCTTTTTGTATTAGGTTTGTTAGGCAATAAGTATATGCACACAATTTTGAAAAATGTGTGACGTCATGATGACGTCATCAAAAATGCGATTTTGTAAAACACATATAAGGGAATGTCCGATCGTACTGAAACTTGGTGGGTGGGTAGATAATTGTACCAGTGCACAAAATATGAAATGACATCACGATGACGTCATCGACAGATTTTTAACGATTTTTAAAATATTTACAATTTTATTCTGATTACAAAATTTAACACTTTTCCAAGTCGCTTCAAACTTGGTCCAGGCTAAATCCACAAAAGAATATTGAGCACCACCAAGTATTGTTTTAATGACGTCATCATGGGTCACGTGACGTCATCTTAAAAGTTCATAATTCGAAGCCCAATGTCCACAGCACGGTAAGTCTGATTGGGTTGAAACTCGGTATGTAGGTAGACCGGGATGTGTTATAGGTACAAATTGAAATGACTTCATAATGACGTCATCATGTGATTTTATATGATTTTATGAATTGTTGGACCTTTAAGCCATATCACACGAACGCAACATGCAAAATTCAAAATTCTTTTTGTATTTGATTTGATAGGGAATAAGTATATACACAAAACTTTGAAAAGAATGTGACGTCATCATGACGTCATCAAAAATGCGATAGTTGAAAACATATAAACATAACATCAACATCACTGAACAATCACCATCAACTAATCAACAATAACAAATCAAAAATCTAAATCAACAGTCAAAATCAACAATCAACACCAAAAACCATCAACTATCAACAATCAACTATCGATAATCATCAACCGACATCAACATCAACAATCAACAATCAACAATCAGAATCAACAATTAACAATTAACATCAACAATCATCAACAATCAACATCAATAACCAACATCAACAATCAACATCAAGAAACATCATCAACAATCGACATAAATAATCAACATCAACAATCAACGTCAACAATCATCAACAACATCAACATCAAAAATCAATATCAAAAATCAACATCAACATCAACATTCAACAACAACAACAACAACATCATCAACATCAACAATTAACATCAACATCAACATCAACAATCAGCATCAACTAATCATCAATCAACATCAACAATCAACAATCAACAATCAAAATCAACAATTAACAATTAAGATCAACAATCAACATCAATAACCATTATCAACATCATCATCAAGAAACATCATCAACCATCGACATCAATAATCAACATCAACAATCAACGTCAACAATCAACATCAACAATCAACATCAACAATCAACAATCAACATCAACAATCAACATTCAACGACAACAATCAACAATGCGAAAAAGCCATATGTTCTGTTGATTGAACAAACATAAACCTCTAGTTTTTTTGGCTTTTCCGCATTGTTGCGGAAAAGCCTTTCTTTTTGTTCTCATTTTTAGCTGTTTCGGTGACACACCGAAACAGCTCTTGTTTTCGTTAAGATTTTTTTTAATTTTTTTTTAGCTGTTTCGGTGACACACCGAAACAGCCCTTTATCTCTGCAAGTATTCGACCAATTGTGTTGAAATTTTACACGCACTAATTGAAGTCATCTTCTCATGTCCTTGTCACATAAAAAAACCCGAAACAGCTTGTGTTTGTCAACAAACACATCTCTAGTTTCTTCTCCTTTTTCAGACTTTTTCTCCATAGGTTTAGCACACGTTTCTTCCACCATTCCACTTTGGCACTTTTTTAAATCCGATCGATTTCAGACTTGGTACATACTTAGACCACCACCCACAGATGGTCCTAGAAGAAATTCGTGACCGTGACGTCATCAGGTGTCGGGTTACGTCACATGAAAGATGCATATTTCCCCATATGTTTTGTACACGTTTTAAAACACTCCACTTTGGTATCTTCGTAAATCCGATCGACCTCAGACTTGATACATACTTAGACCACCACCCACAGATGGTCCTAGAGGGAATTCGTGACCGTGACGTCATCAGGTGTCGGGTTACGTCACATTAAAGATTCATTTTCCCCCATATGTTTTGTACACGTTTTAAAACACTCCACTCTCTTCGTAAATCCGATCGACCTCAGACTTGATACATACTTAGACCACCACCCACAGATGGTCCTAGAAGAAATTCGTGATCATGACATCATTAGGTGTCCGGTTACGTTACATTAAAGATGTATTTTTTCCATAGGGTTTGTACACGTTTTAAAATGCTCCACTTTGGCACTTTCGTAAATTCGATGTACTTCAAGTCTAAAGTCTTTAGACTTGGCACACACTTAGACCATCACCAACAGATGGTCCTAGAAGATATTTGTGATCGTGACGTCATCAGGTGATGGGTTACGTCACATTAAAGATGTATTTTCCCCATAGGGCTTGTACACGTTTTAAAACATTCTACTTTGGCACTTTCGTAAATCCGATCTACGTTAGACTTGGTACACACTTAGACTACCACCAACAGATGGTCCTTGAAGAAATTCGTGATCGTGACATCATCAGGTGTACGTTACTTCACATTGAAGATGCATTTTTCCCCATAGGTTTTGTACACGTTTTTCTTCAAATCATATTTTGGCACTATATGTCTGATTGACTTTTCACTTGGCAGATGACATTCGAAGTGACTTCATCAAGTGTTCATCACGTGCACAGAGTATTTCAAATATCCGAAACAGCTTGTGTTTGTCCACAAACACATTTCTAGTTTTTTCTGAACTTGTTATATTTGTGGGCCTATGTACCGCTTGAAATGAGTTAAAAGGTCGTGACATCAATGCTCATTATTTATTTTTTTGTAGTTTGAACTAAATCCATAAAACCAAATTGCACACTGTTGGTTTCTTTTGACCCTGGGGTTGGATAAAATGAAGTATAAAGAACGATGGCGTAAGTAGGGTTCAGTCCGCAAGGGAGGGCACTCGGGCTACCTTATTTTCTAAAGGTGGCACTCAGTCGGTTTCAAGAAAAGGTCATTTTGGCTTCTTCCAATTCTGAGTGGGAAGCACAAGATGGCAAAGGGCTTAAGGAAGTGCCCCACGACCTCCTTGGTTACGCCACCGAAAGGAAACACAAAAGGGCATTCCGTGACTATACGTGCCTGCCTTTAAATTCGAAAACCCATCTTATTCACAAAATTAATCTCTATCGGTCTCTACTGTGCCGAAGGTAAATAACTTTTTCGCACTGCATGTTGTTTCTTGTGCATGCTAAAATTTCAATGCACCAGTGGGTGTGTTGATTGCAATGTATAATATGTAATAATTTCGGAAGATATATATATATTCAGATTATTTATAAGATGGAATTAGCGTCGGGGTGATGTAAATCAACATTAGGTTTTGCCCTTCACCAACGTATAAACACTGTACACTCAGTGTGTTACCTCCCAAGTGAAAGTTAGCTCGGTGTCTCGAACCTACGACCTCCTGCTTTCTAGCGCAGACGTCTTACCACTCGACCACCGAGCTTGCGTGATCGCGCAGCAGCGGGCACCGCAAGCTCGGTGGTCGAATGGTAAAGACGTCTGCACTAGAAAGCAGGAGGTCGTGGGTTCGAGTCCCACCCGAGTGATTTTTCTGACTTTCACTCGGGAGGTAACACACTGAGTATAGGCTACATTGTTTCTACACCGGTGAAGGGCTAAACCTAATATTAAATATTCAGATTATTCACTCAGATTTATTAAATAGAATTAAATAATATTCGCGTGATAAACATGGCTTTCCACAGCGTATGATCTAAACTTTTAAGGTTGTGTTGTATTAATGTGTGCATGCTATATTGCACCCCAGCATTTTAATCCGACAAGTGAAAATGTCAATGACTGGTTTTCATAAATGGTCCTCTTGACAGCGCATGTTCAGATCTTCGGCCAGGAAAAGGACGAGGATTTCGTGTGCAAGGTTTTTCTGAGCATTCGACAAATTTGCACGACAATTTGGAACATAGTAACGTGATTTTAGTGCCACATTTTATCGGACCGATGTTACGAATAGAGCTTCTTTTAGAACCAATAAAATCTAATAAGGTGGATTGATGTCCCGTCCCCATCCTCCCCATCTCCGAGTGGATATTTATGTGGCTGCACAATTTTACCAAGTTCTATTCTTCATGGGTGGAAATGACCCAGATGTCAACATTATCCACTTCACTTTCTGTTCGTAAGCACCTTGGAAACAGATGGACCCTTTAAAAGACAGCATTGTATCCAATGAATGAACTCGGTTTTGCGCCGGACCGGGTTCCTCCGTCAATTCCAGTTTTTTGAAAAAGTTTCCACTGAGCTGAAACTTCAACAAGTTAGTTGTTATGCACCCTTCTTAAGATTTTCAGCATGATTATTGTTGCTCCAAACGAAAATAAATGCACAAAACGTAAGTTTCCCCTTACCGTTAAGATATTCCAAATTACAGTGGGATCCAATTGGGTCCCATCCCATGTAAGATGTCCCGAGTGCAAAATGGGATTCCTTTAAGTCCAATTGAAGACGTCCCAAATTCCCGTAAGATCCCGTTGGGTCACATTGAACATATCCCAAAGGCATTCGATTGATTGCATTTAAGATTTCCCAAGTTGCAATAAGATTTAATAAGATCCGATTTAAGAGGTTCCAAATTCCAATTGGATCTGATTGGGTGCAATTAAAAATGTCCAACAATTCCAATTGGAAACCCGTTGCGTCACACTGAAGTTAAATTCCAATGGGATCCCGTTAAGTCAATGAAGTTGAAGATGTCTGAAATTCAAATAGGATCCTGTTAGGTCCCATTGAAGATGTCCCGAATTCCAATGGGATCCTGTGTAATTCCGGTTGAAGACGTCTTAAAATTTCAACAGGATCTTGTTTGGTCCCATTGAAGATGTCACCGACTCTAGTGGGTTCCCGTTAGGTCAACTTCAGTGGCGTGTCCAACATTTTGATGTCGGGGGGGGGGGGGGGGGCAACCGCACTCGCACATCAGCGCCGAAATGTAGACGTGTTTTTTCCTCCGGATACTTGGCCTCCGTAAATTCAAAAAGCATGGGCGGGGGGGGGGGAGCCCATTTTCCAAATTGGGGTGCTTTTTCAAAACTTTCCATTATTGCATACTGGAAAATATGCAGAATTTCACGGTGCACTGTAATGGTTTTGGAGATTAGATTACATGTAGTTTCTTTTTTTTTTCATGTCGGAACTCCCTAACCATTAATGGAAATAGTTACTGAAAAAATATCCTTCAAAAATATCTGCCGGGGGGGGGGGGGGCAAGGTTCCCCCTGCCGCCCCCCCCCTGCCGCCCCCGCCCCTCCCTCTGGATACGTCACTGGTCAAGGTCCATTTAAGACACAGGAAATTCCAATGGGAGTCCATTGGCTCTCAATTAAGATGTCCCGAATTCCAATAAGATCTGGCCCTTCCCACTCTGTTTTGGGGTCTCATTAAAGATGTCCCAAATTCCAATAAAATTCCGTTGTGTCCCACCAAGAATGTCCAACTTGAATTAAATTTGCCCAAATTCCGATGGGATCCCACTGGGTACCATTGAAGACTCTCAAAATTCGAATAGGGTCCGGTTACATCAGATTGGAAATGTCCCAAATTCCTATGGGATCCCATTTCAGATGACCGAAATTCCAAAGGGATCCAGTTGAGTCCCATGGAATATGACAAATTCCAATGGGATCCAATTAGTTCCGATCCCATTTCAGATGTCCGAAATTCCAAATACCAATGGTCCTATAGGGTCCCAATGAAGAAGTTGCAAATTCCTATGGGATCCATTTGAAGATTTCCCAAATTACTATAGGATTCCGTTGGGTCACATTGAATATGTCCCAATGCGACCCAATCGGCTTTATTCACGAGTCGGCCATATTAAATTGAAAGCGAGGTAAAATCTTCATTTTGTGGAAATTGTGAAAGCAATGACATAAATTTAATCACAAATTAATAACAGTCTGCTCTGCATCTGATGAATAGCTTAAACTTTTTGATTAAATATACAGTAATGTTTCAGCCACATTAAAAAAAAAAATGAAAATGAGGCTTTGAACGCTAAATAGTCTGGCACCGACCATTCAACACATTTTTTTTTGTATTGCATTGTTCCTGTTTGTGAGTGATTAAAAATCCAATAACATCCTTAGACAAGTCCCAACATCTATACACAATGCGATGGCGCGAGACTTGATATGAGGGATTCGAAACATCAAAATATTAAACCAATCGTGTCCTTCGCCAACCTTTTAAACTATACGACATGAAACACGTTCATGATTATCTATGTCTCAAATTCATGGCTATACTAAACACATGATTCTTTGCTTATAACCAACATTCTGTGCCAACAGCTCCATCACACGTAAAAGACTAGAACTTCTAAGCAATCCTCAGCTGTAATAAGCCTCTGTACTGATGACGTCACACTGATGACATGACGTGACGTCTGATGACATCAGTACAGGTGCTTATTAAGCACATGCCATACGCTTGCGATGCGAACCCTCCTCTACCTACTATGGGTGCACCCCACTATAACAATTCCGATGGACACCGGTGATAATCTCCATACTTCAAAACTCTTTTAAAAAATACTCAGAATTCCCACAGGTGTTCAGGCTGCACAGACAAATAATGATCGACATGTCATCTTTCATTTTCTTTTCAATTTTTAGTGGGTTGACCATTGACTTTTTGGACAAACTCTCACCCAAAGAAGACCACTAAGAATCTGCCGTTCAGCCCGTGTTCTTTTATAGAGGGGTCGCACACAGAATCATTAATAACAGGATGTAAACATTTGCAGTTTGCGTATAAGCTAAACTACCAAGCTGAGCTGCGATATTCCCAATCGTTTGTGCAGATATTCCTGAAATTTGACATGGCCAAACTTCAAATAGACCTTATGCGCTTGTAAGGCGGTCACTGTAGATAGGCATTTGATTTTAATACATTAATTGTTGGTAAATTACACAACAAAGAACACCCTCTGAGATGCAACGCATAAAGTAATAGCATCAAAGCCGAGGCTCTCCACACTTGTCATTTTTGGTCATTTGTGGCCTTATCTCCTCCAGTCCTCGCCCCATTATTAAGGGCCTCGCTTTCAATGCTAATTTCAAATTCGGCTTGTGTCCACTCCATACCTAAAACATTGTGTGCTTATAGGGTTAACACAGACTTTCTGTGCTAGCACTGCATGCACAGAATGCTGATTGTAGGCCAAAGCACAAAATTCCGTAGTTAGCAGAGCCATGAAAGTGAGGCCCCGTTTACGAGAGTCTAGGTGTTGTGGTGTTTGCAGTAGGAGTGCCGGTCGCCGCCAGGGCAAGTGAATTTGTGCGTGATCCAGTCCACGTTCTGGCATTCCCGGCTGCAGTAGACCACGTCCTGACACCTGCCACAGCTGAACAGAGGCTGGCCGTTCGGCTGCTTGCTGTCCCCGCACGTGTTGCAGAAACGGACAAGGAGCTTAGTCGGGGTCCTCAAAGCCTGGAACGGAACACAATACATGTGCCCCAAAACGGGGGTGAAGTCAGATTTTTTTCTCCTGTAAAATTAACATTTCTTCGTTGTCTTATCCCTCTCATGTTTTCTTTCGGCGTCTCTGCTTAGAGTGCCTGTGCTATTTTCAGGAAGTTTAATTAGTTTCACAAAGAAACCCGGAATATGATTTGATACCATGACCATTGACAACAAAAGCAGAGAAAGTATTATAAATGGTATTTTTAAGATGAAATTTTGCGTAGGGGTGATATAAATCAAATTAGGTTTTACCCTTCACCGACGTTCAAACACTGTATACTCAGTGTGTTACCTCCCGAGTGAAAGTTGGAAAAAAAATCACTCGGGTGGTACTCGAACCCACGACCTCCTGCTTTCTAGTGCAGATGTCTTACCACTCAACCACCGAGCTAACGGGACCGGTTGGCTGGTTTGAATCTGATGTACATGGCAGCGGGTACCGCATAAACTATTTTTAAGTTGGAATTTTGCGTCGGGGTGATTAGGTTTTGCCCTTCACCGACGTTCAAACACTGTATACTAAGGTCTTTGCATGGGGTAAAACGTTTTTCATTGTAAAAACTATGATTTAATATTCACTTGCATTCTTGAATTTGTACAGCCTGAAACCCCTACCTTTGCTGTTGTCAATTTCCTTTTGATTTTAATATAACGTCTAGGTCGCAGTTCTCCATGTTCCGCTTGCCCTCTCCTGTTTTGCGTTGGTCTCAGTGCAGCCTTCCTGGGTGGCTCAGCTACGGTCTTCTTTTCCCGAAGAACATGCCTGATGATTCCCACCAGAGGCTGGATGACCGGCTGCATGTTGCACTGGTTCGACCCCGGCGGGTGATTGCAAGGTGGTAGCACGTCGGTGACTTCCTTCCCCTCGAAGAACTTGAGCAGGCAGTCTCGGAAGGTCATCAGGAGCGTCTGGTCCTCCTTTATCCGCTTCAATCCCCGCTTGGCCTCCAGGGCGTCTAAGACAAGCCTCTGGACAAGCTCCGGCTCAAAGGGGCAGTCTGGGAGGGTGAACCTCCGAGAGTGTACGGTACCCACCTGAATTGGGAGTAGGCACAACGCCTTCTCCACTACGTCGTCGGCGATCTCCCATGTCTCCATGCAGCTTGGGGGCTGCGGGTCCGATGATTCATCAGACTCAGCCGAGGAGGATCCCTCTTCGTCGTCTGAGCTGGACGATTGACTCTTTGTATCTGATCGCGTCTGGTCGGCGTCGATGTCAACCGGAGCCTCCATTTCATGAATTGAAGAGGCTGAGTCAATCTTTAGAGCCTGCATGTCAGCCGACAACTCTTCGAGGCTCGACGATATCTCCTTTGCCTTCTGGTGCTTTATAGTAGTCGATTCAGCCTTGGGCTTTCTGCCAAATATCCTCGAGAAAAACCCCTGTCCCTCGCGTCGTTCTTTTTTACCCGTCCCATCGGCAGACGGTTTGTTCAGAAAGTCCTGATCTGGCATCCTATCGCAAACAACGGCCCAGGAGGCGACGCTTTGTTGCATTTGAGCTCCCGAGCTGTTGGTATTGGTCTGCGGCGCAGCGGTAGAGTCCTGGGCCTGTAAAGTTTTGAAAATCTCCATGGTGGCGTCTCCAGTCACTGACTTGTGTTTCCGCGCGGTGTGGGTTGGCTGGGTCGGATGGAGGGCAAGTTGAGCCTGAAGCGCTGCTGCACTTGCAGCAAACGCCGGAGGATGGGGTTGCTGTTTGTGGACGGCTTTTAGTTTTTCCCGTCCAGGACTTGTGGACTCTACAGCCAACTGTTGCTGCTGTTGTTCTTCTTCCTGCTGTCGCCGTTGTTGAAGCTGTTTTTGAAGATGTTGTTGCTTCTTATGAGGGTTTTGTTTCAGCTTCTGCAGTTTCTGTTTCTGTTGCTGCTGCTCTTGCTGCAGTTGCTGTTGTAATTCGTCTGGCTCCTTCTGATCTTGAATTTTTATTTGTTCTTTCTCCAAATGATCGGGAATCTGCTGAGATTCCAACTGACTGGGAATATGCCGACAGTTCAATTTGGTAGCTGTTCTGAATGTTTTCTTTAGAGGTACAAAGGTGGTCTGCTTGCAATTGGTTATCTCCTGAGATACCTCATTGAGAGCAGATCCTTGGTTACCTTGAACGTTGAGCTGTGAGGAAATAGTAGACCGTGGTGCCTGTATCGAGGGATGGGTGGACAGAAGAGTTTGCGGTCGGGCATCTGCATTAGATGAAGTTGCACAGAGAGACCTTTTCTGACTTTTCTGTTTGCTTGGATCGGCCGTTGTTGCGAGCTCTCTTGGTGGCTGAAGAGGGTGGTTGGGATTCAGTGGTCCCGGATTAGAGAAATCGATAGTCATTAAAGGAACTGGTTTCCCATGTTGTGTTTTAACGTGCAACACACAATCATTTTGCACGGTTAATTTCCGACCTGGCTTTGCTTTGTATGTCGAAGCTAGGTCAAGCTTTACAGCTTCTTCTTTGGAGGGTTTGCCTTGCCCGTTATTAGCCGCAAAGTCACCCTTTTGTTTTGTCTGTCCGTGTTGGTCATGTTTCTTGGTCGTTTCTTCTGTCAGGGTTTGCTGGAGCTGATGTTGGTCTTGATGAACCTGCTTTTGCTGTGTTGGCTGTTGTTGTTTTGTGTGCTGCTCCATTAGCATTTGTTTTTGATTTTCTGGCTGCACTTTGACTTTGAGAGTCTCCTGATCTTTGAGTTCCTTGGACTGCAGTTTTATCTGCTGGTTCAGTTGAGGTTGTGGCCGTGGTGCTTGATTTGAAAGATGCTCCGTTTGCTCTTGGTTCTGTTGCTGTTGTGTTTGCTGTTTTTCATGGTGCTGTGTTGTGTTCTTGCCAAACTGCTGCTCCTGTAACATACGCAGCCTCTGCTCTCTCTTTAATTGCTTCTTCGTTTTCTTTGATTGATGGTTTTGCACTTGGTTGTGTTGTTGCTGCTGTTGCTTTTGCTGTTGCTCCTGTACCACTTGTGACAATTGCTGGTGCTTCTTAGGTTGAGATTGTGTTTCCATCTGGGACTGATTATTAATTTCTTTTTGTTGTTGCTGCATGTGTTGCTGTTGAATTGGCTGGTTCTCTTGCTGTCTCTCTTGAATTGGCTGGTTCTCTTGCTGTCTCTGTTGAATTGGCTGGTTCTCTTGCTGTCTCTGTTGCACTTTATGGTTCTGTTGCTGATTCTGTGGTGTATCCAGATAGTCTGAAATGGGTTCTTGTTGTTCCATTATATCTCTGTTCTCTTTTGAGCACTGTTCCTGGACTTCATTCTCCTTCTGATGCTGTTGCGGCTGCTTTGGTTGCGGTTCGTTTTTATTTTGCGGTATATGTGCCTTTTTTTGCTGGTTTAAACGTTGTTTTGATGACTGCGTCGATAGCTTCTGCAGTTCTTTGTCCTGTTGTGAACGTGGCTGATTTTGCTCCTTTTGATGCTCACTTTCTGGTAACTGTTCTTTGTTATCTTGTGTACTACTATCTTGCTGGAGATCTTGCCGCTGAATTTGTTGCAACTGCTGTTGCTTTGACTGTTGTTTTGCCGCTTGCACGGGTTGCTGTTGCTGGAACTGCTGTTGAAAGTGCTGCTGCTGATGATGTTGTAACCTCTTTTGGGAGGTTTGTTTTTGAAACTGTTGTAACTGAGGCGGCTGTACAGGCTGCTGTTTTTCTTGCTTTTGCAGATTCGGCTTTCGTTGAAACTGCTTTTGATACATCAGTTCCAACTGCTGTTGCGGCTGCTCTTGTTTTGCAGACTTTTCCTCTTTTAGCCGATTTTGTTGCGATGGTTGCTTTTGGCTCTGCTCTTCCTGATACTGCTGCAACTGCTGCTGTTGCTGAAGCTGTTCGAACTGATGCTGTTGTGCAGACTTTTGGTTTTGTGCAGACTGTTGCTGTTGCTGCTTTTGTTGCAACTTCTGGGATTGCTGTTTAGGTTGTTGCAGCTGCTGTTGTAGCTGAAACCGCTGCAACTGCGGTTGTACGGAATGATGTTGCTGTTGCTTTTGTTGTGGGGTATGCTGGGTCGGTAGTTGGAGCTGACAGACATTTTGCTGTTGCTGCTGTACATACTGATGTTGCTGTTGCTTTTGTTGTAGTGGCCTATTTTGGGACTGCTGATGTTGACGCAGTGGTAACTTTTGCTGCTGTTGCTGATGTACATACAGTTGTTGCTGCTGCTTTTGTTGCAGCCTGTTTTGAGGCAGTTGTTGAAGCTGTTGAAACTTTTGCTGTTGCTGTTGCTGTGCAAACTGCTCATGCTCCTGCTTTTGCGTTGGCTCCAGACACTTTTGTTGTTGCTTTCCCTGTCGAAGTTGCTGGGCTTTTGAGGTTGAAACCTCATTTGAGTTGCACAAGGAACGTTCATGTTGGAGTTGGTTTAAACGCTTTTCGAGCTCAGTCGCATTTGCGAACGAAATCTGATAAGAAAAAAAAATCATCTTTAAAGCCACAATAAATCGGATTTGGTGTGCGATGAATTCCCCATAGATACTACTCGTTTTCTTATTAGAAATTGTTCGTGCTTGATCGAAGATAAGTGTCTAGGACAAGCTTCAGATCGACTCACATTATCTAAACTTTAGTACATGCTTTTAGTTCAAGACTCGAAAAGAGGAGTTATGAAGAAGAATACTCATTATTTGAGAGACATTTGCTACATGCGGACTTGACCAACCTTTTGATTGACTGTAGTTGATTGTGTGTCAACCGAAGTCTCTTTGAAACCCAAAGGTTTTGTTTTAGTGGCGCGTTGGGTTCCGTCGACCGGGGCGAAGCTGTGGAAGCCCGGGATGGGAGACGTGGGAGGTGAGACGAAACGCTCCGATTTGATGGATTGCTCGGAACTCTGTCTGGAAGCACGCACCTGGGGACATTGAAAAGAGTGGTTGTCTCTTAGACTCCAGTCATCACGAGTCTTCCAGTCTTAAGTCAGGGATAGTTTAGTAAAATAAACTAAATCCACCGCAAGGTAATGTTACTTAAATTTGTTACGTCGAACAAGGCCTATAGCACTGACACATACTACTATAGTTTTAAATGATACTGCCCCAACAAAAATATATAGTTGGGGCACGTTCCCAACTATGGTTTGTACGATGGTCCGAAGTATAGTTATATTTCGGACGCGTACGATCTAGGCCTATAGTTGGTGAGTAACAAAGTTAAAAGTCAAATGTGATTAATTTGTGTCTGACTCACGATTGATTGACTTGTGATAAGCCCTAGGCTAGCCCGTCAGTCGTATAATGCAATGCAGACGTCGTCCAACCTGGGCTAGCCCTTGGCAGTATGGTTTACTCTCTGCCGTCTCGATCCCCAGGCCTACAAGATAATTATCTAACCTTAAAAGAGCCGAGGAGACCGTGTTGACTATAGTACTAGATTCCATCCCCTTCTGAATCTCAAAACTGCAATGACAGACTTTTTTTAATTTGTTTACAGGCATTTTGTTACTACTTTAGGCGTATGTACGGTCAACGAAAAACGCTATACCCATCCAACAATACTCTCACGCAAACTAAGGCATAATTGTTACTGTGGAATAGCCCAAGTTGTCATTGACAAATTGAGATTTGGAATGTAGGCCTATGCCTACCCGGAGCTCGGGGGAACAAAATCAAAGAGCGAGAAAATGACTGCGAACCAAGCCAGTAAAACAATGTGACTAGGCCTACGCAGAAAGGAAAACTTACCGCTTTGAAATCCGAGTGGCTTTCAAGACTTGCTTTTTTTGACTGTCCTAAACCCATCGCTGTATTAATTTTCTAAATTGGATCCAAAACTTAAATGAAAGGCTTTCATCAGCATGATCAGAAGAAACCTCTTTGCTTCTACATGGTAGGTTGCCGCCGCGGAATCAGAGATTTGAAATTAATGCGTGTTATTATTTTGCTGCGCCCGCGTACAGTTCACGCGCATCGCGCGCAGTACATCCAGTCCATGCATCCAGTCGAAACGTTTCGCACCCGTTTGAATGGACCGATATGAAGCAGCTCTCGTTATGCTTCTCCTAATAACACTCAGCTATAATTCATTATTTTCATAAGTTCTCAGTTTCAAGGTAATAGACACCATTCGGCAAAAAAAGAGTTTTTGCCGATTCAAGGAGTTAATACGATAACTGTCGAAATTTCAGCTCCGTAGGCTACATACTTTTTTGGAGAAAACTGCGCAAACGCATCTTCGTTTTCTCGACGCAAAGCATAGGTTTCTGTTACGCATGATGGTTTGGTCCTGACCATCGCCAGGAAATTATCATTTCTCTTTTCTCGAAAAAAGACAGCACACTAGGCGCATTGATTTCACAGGATGCTTGATGCTATTATTCAGTCAAGTAGGATATTTCATGATATTTTGACAGTTTCATTTTTCAGTTTTGCAAATGGTGCCCATTACCATTAACCAAGCATTCACTTCTAAGCAGTTTCCTTTTTTTGTAGCCAAATAAATAAAAGAAAAAGAATACGGGAAAAATTAATTAAATTAAATATATAAAAACCAAAATTTAGTAGCGGAGGGGATGGGCGGGTTGCAAACTCTCCGCCCCCCCCCCCCTTCAGCCGCTGTGACTAATGTTATGACATTAGTAAAATGAGGCCCAAAAATAATAAATGTCCTACATTGTTTCTTGAATTGCCTAGGAATGCGGGAGAAATCATCGCAGATTTCAATTTGTTTTCCCGGAGGGGGGATGTCACCGGATCCCTCAAGCTGGGTTGGACTCAAACACCCCCCATATCAATTTTTCCCGTTTCCTAAAAGCTAGATCCTCGTGTGAACGGCACAGAGATGTATAGCAGTGATTTCAGGATATTCCGACCCCTCCCCGCGCTTAAAATTGTCAAATTGAATTGTCACGTTTTATAACATTACTAAGGTTATGAGCTTCAAATAAGACATCACAAGAAAGAAAATCGGCACACGATCAGATACCGAATACTACTTTTTTTTCTCATTATATTTTTAAAAATATGGCTCGTTAATACATGATGACATCATTTTTTGGAAGGCCGTATACATGTATAAACTTTTTTTCTGTTCAAAGCTGTAATTTTGTTTCTGTGTTTTCCTGCGGGGATAATAGAGTCTTATACAGAGAATGGGACAGCAAATACGCATACATCATATACATGTGCATCGTTTTATGTTACCCCAATAACTTAACATTGGAACGAGAAGGAATTACATTCCTGCGAGAATAAAAAAATTAAAAAAGGAAACTGGTTCTAAAGATTTTGTAGGAAAATGCGTTTCATTAGAATTTATACAATTTTCACACACTGAACAAAAACATACGCTGCTGATTCTCTGTCATTACAGATATATTTATTAAAGACAGATTTAGACAAATATAATGATATTTGTAACCAAATGTTTTAGACACGATTATAATACTGTAAATATTGCGGCTACATAAGCCGTTCAAAAAACGCAAACAAGAACGAACCTCTTAACAAATATTTGATACCGCAGACAGAAAACGAGCCAGACACTAGATTTTTGTTTTCGAAATACATTTGTACAAGAATAGGAATATTATTTCACAACTCCGTGAAAAAAATGTTGTAGGTTTACAATCATCAGTCATCTGTACAACGTGGAATTCACGATTTCGTCAATTAAGAAAATAAATTACACTTTCATTAACCTCTTTCCAACTGGAGGTGCCCGTTAACAAACGAGGCTTTATGATTGCATATTTTTAATATAAGGAAACAAATTCATTAAGAATAAAAATGAAACCCAACCATTTTTTAATAGTTCACATTATTTAAAGATAAAATTAATTTAACAAAGAAACCATCTTCCTGCTTCCATTTTTTTTTCAAGTTTCTCTCCCCGTCCTTTTTTTCGAATTTCAAACCGAAAATAGATTTTGTTTTTAAATTGCTATACAAATTTTAGGTGGAGGGGACTATTTAATTTTGAATGCGACATCGAAAATGAATTCGCCTGTGAACGTTTAGATATGGAGTATTTGCCGTACCGTACATAATTTATATTAGTTGGAATTATTTGCGGCCTATCTTTTTGTGCGTTATGGGCGAAAAAGAAACCCAAAATACAAGTGTTATTTTCAGAGGATTGAAAATTCAACATAGCAAACAGGACATTCGTGAAGAGCACTGGTTGAATAACTTTAACACAAAATTGCTTATTAGCTGTGCATAAAAAAATGATTTTCGGAAAACCCAAATTCGTGTTTCATGACCCATTTTTTGGAATTGGATTGAGGTTTAAGGGACAGACTTTTTCATCGGGTCAAAGTATCAACCATGCATGTAAGCGCCCATACCTCAATCAGTTGGGACTTCGGAGTTAATTTTTCTCCATTAAATCTCCCAAATATAGTACAAAAGATAAATTCATTACTTGGTACTTAATCGGTTGGTTCTTCTCCTAAAAACTCCGCAGGGGAGTTTTAACAGGAGTCCAGAAACATCGGGGCAAACCCCTTCTCTTCAATTCGCTCCTGGTAAGATTCTTTTAAGCATAAGGTACAAACTTGTGCTTGGTATTGGAAATATAAGTACCAAAGAGTTGCGGAGAAGCTGCGTGTTAAAAACCTCTTCAACGAAGTTACAATTGGGGTTTTGTTGAATAAACGCTTTTATGTCATAGATGCTATGGTTACTTATACATGATTAATATCTTTATACATAAAGTTCACTCTCATAAAGTTCACAGATTTTAAATTCGTAGATATTATCTTTCCACAGTTACCGAGTTACTTGCTCACTGAATAACATGCTTGTATTTAACATGATTTCAGTACAAGACCAAAGCACACGCATTATTTCACAGGCAATTCATGAAAAGCCCGAAAATACAGACAAATGTTGACCTTTTAAAAGGCAGTAACACACAAAACAAAACACTTTGCTCTCGATTTCAAATGTGCTATCTTTTAAAGATAATTTATACAAAATAAATCTTAAGGCTTGCATTGCTCTTTCAAAATACAAAAGTAAAAAATCTTTGCTACTTAAAAAATTATAAAATTTCAACGTAATAGAAGCCCTCCATGAATTTTTACCATGGCTATCTAGATTTAATATACTTTTTTCCCCCCTGGATTTTCATGAATTCACATGTTTAGTAGTTCAAAAAAGTTGGACCCATTCATGAAGGTCCCAAGCGAAACTATACTGCTAAGCACATTAATGGACATGCTATAGCAATATTCAGCAGGGAACCAGGCATTTTGGCTGGTTACCTTTTTTTGCTGAGCAATAGTTTTCCCTGTGCTAAGCAATGTAACGAAATTGAGCCAGGTATAATAACAATACATGTATGTGATAAGGGAATTTAACATTTCACAAGCTAATGTTGGAAACTTTGCCAAAATATTGCTATGGCGTCTCATTATCATTATACCAGTGCAAATGTATTAAATACGTAAATGTATCAATATAGATGTACTAAATATTCAAATCATTCCTTGAGGCAATTTCTAAAACCTTTTGAAAATATTTCTTTGAAAATTGCAATGGTCATTCTTGGAATGCAACAATAATATCACAAATGGCAATCTGTACAGTCCATGCACTCTTCTGGTACAATTTTTTTTTTGATATGATTTACAATTAGTGAAAATACTAAAAAAATTGAGTTTTATTCATACGATCTTTAAGCAAGTGAAGGTAATTCTCTTTTGAAGAATTGGTAAATTTCTCGCAAAGTTGAGTGCCATATCCTGTTTTTCCCCATTTCTGCCCGTCACCATTACGCAAATTTAACAAACATTTTGTGCTATCATCTCCTTGTTCAAGAGTTGTTCTGGTTTCATTCTCCATACGTTTACAGGCAAAATTGACAATTATATACCAACTGTTTTTTCGACAATCCAAAATTTTTTTGCCGGAGAGTTTCAAAAAGAAACAAAAACAAAACATATGCTCATTTTTAATGAAATGTTTCAACAGTAAACAGTAATACTCACTTTTTTGTGCCATTTTTGACGCCATTCTGCTGTCCTCATAAAAAAAGTACTTTCACACAGTGTACAATGCAACAAAGTTTGAATCTTCTTTTTCTTCAAACTTTCAAATTTTGCACAAAACATCATACTTACAATAGTATCTTTTTTGTCAAGTCTCTCTAACCTGCACCGAGTGGTCAGATTTAAAAATCTTGTAACTATCCACTTCGCTCATACTCATTGCTCTATCCGAGGGTGATACGTTTTTGAATTGGATACGTTTTATATAGCTAGCTACCCGAGTCAATACTTTGAATTGGGTAAGAGCTGTGCATGCATTTATCATTGCAGTTACCTACCCGTAATGCTTTGGGATGCCCATGTTTCACTCACAAAATTGAGAAAAGAGAAGTTTGTACACTTCCAATGCACAGGAGCTGGGCATAAGCCCAACTATTCATGTTTGATGCAACTACAGTCAGTTGGAAATGCTTACTGTCCGCAGTCACTGTGAGCATTCCAGTTCCGGTCATTTCAGGCCAGAATGATGACTAAAGGGTTAGGTGGGGCCTACAGGTAGGTAGAAGGTGCTACGATGACTCCAGTCTGGACCAGGATGATGAGAAGGAATGCTGTCAGTAGGAGGATACCATAGACGTTGGATGTATTGGCAGGGATGAAGAGCAGTCGCACCTGTCATATTGCAACAAGAAGGGTATTGGCTGAGGTTTTTTTTTTCAACAAATCTGACTGGTTAATCAGAGATGTGTGAATTTACACCTTTTAAGGTGAAAAAGAATGACTTTCCATTAAATTGAGGGTGCAACAGTGCTACTTTACTTATCAGGGTTGTTTTTTTTTAGTAAGAGTCTAAGTATGATCTCCAAAGTCCATACAGCCACCTGTGAATATTACTAATAATGAATAAATATATTTTGGGGCTAATCATCCTTACTTGCAGCAGAAGCTGAATTGCGACGGATGCAGCTACGAGAGAGAATCAACAAACAATTCTACTCACATATGACCCAAGCCAGGAATCAAACCGGGGCCACAGCGGTAAGAGGCAAGCGCTTTACGCACTGCGCCACCCATGTCATCCAACTGTCATTATCTTAATGAAATCAACACAGCTCATCAACATCATTGCATTTAGGGCTTACTTTTGCCAGTTGTCCAAATTGACCAATCCATTGAGCCTCAGTTTGGGCAACAACACGTTCATCTGCTCAATGCCAACTTGCACGTTCAAGATACATATCACAGGGGTTTTCCTTAACTTTTTCCTTTACTGGCCGGCCGGGCCAGTAAACCAGAGTTTTCACTGGCCCACAACCGTTTTCACTAGCCCACATGTTTTAATAGTAACTTTCAATCAAATCACCATAAGCATTTTTGATAACATTTTTGATAATAAATTATGCAATATGAATACAATCGGCAATTATCTTAATCATGTACATAATATTGCATGTAGTTCCTTTTTAAGTGATGTCAATGTTTCTTTAATCGTCCATGCTTTAACATAGAGCAAGGCTTTAATTAACAGGAATCAAATAGGGGGAGAAGTTATAATCAAAATTTATGCAGTGTGCTTCGTTCCGAACTTAAGGCTTTAGGTGTTCTATTTCCGACATGTTTTGATAAAACACGAACTAAAAAAGCTTTATCTTGAGGAACAAGAAAACATTGCACACAGTCGTGGTATTAATGGGAGTTTACCAAGTTAGTAACTGAACTGTTTTAACTTGTTTGAAAATGAGTGAGAAGGCCAGTATTTTCAAAAAAACATCTCTCGCGCGCGCCATGCATTTCTAGCGAAGAATGGTGCAATCAGCGTGCCTAGCCAAGAAGCGCTGCGGGCGGGCGACCCACGAACTTACGCTGGTCACGTCAATCCATAACGTTTTCCGGAGCACGGTCCACTTTACATTCACTAGTCTTTACATTCAAAATAGGCCCCTCGAATCTCATATTGTCCTCATCTTTTCGGTACATTCGTTTGATAGTGTTCAAGAAATCATCCCAAGAATCCGTTCGGGCACAAGTTTTGGCAGACTGTCATGAAAGTTTTCTCCTCACCACGTTGTATGATATGAATACGATGTTAACGTACGTACGTCCGTACCATGTGGACTGCAGACGAAGTAAATCAAGTGCGCTGCATGTGTGCACGATGTGTAATGGCAAATACACGTTGATTCGCCTCATGTTCGTCGATGGGATTTCAATGCACAGCGCACTGCGAATATACATGGAGTGATACGAATTCGAACTACCGATGTTTTTATTTCGGTCGGCGTGGCAAAAGTATTCATGTGTTGTATCACCCTTAACTTTTTTATTTTGATTGATTGAAAAATACTGTCGGGAAAACTTCGTTATTTTTATTTTTTTTAACAGTTTTTTGACTCGCCCGTCGGACTACTGAGAGGAGGGTTTTGACTCGCCCGCCGCTGTTTTCACTCGCATTTGGCGAGCGGGCGACCGCTAAGGATAATCCCTGATATCATACATTGTATGTACATAACAGCGTGCATTTCAGACTTTTGTTGGACATTTGGTTGTGCAATGATCGTGGCTGTGATTGGCCGAATCATGGGACAGGGCTTTCTGGATCCATCTATTGGTAGATAGATAACTTTATAAGAGAATAAGTATGTGCTTGGCCGGTTTTAAACACTATGTTTAAGACCGGTTTGGAGTCTGGACGCCGATCAGTGGCCAGACTCCAAACCGGTCTTAAACATAATGCTCAATACCGGCCAAGCACATACTTATTCCCATTCATAAATACCTTTTCGGTCAAACAGTCAAAACAAGTTTACTTAAATTTTATTTAAACCCCTCTTGCTATGTTATGGTATGTGCCTCTCACGAGTAAGCATAAACAACTCCTTATATGGAGATTGTCGTGCACGCGCGATGTGATGCAGAACGCAGCTGTGCTGGTATAGTGTGAATTAAGGACTGTGAAATACGGACTCATTGTTAGTATTGCGCATGACCAACCTAGGATTGTGAGTGTTCAACCAGTAAAAGGGACTGGATTTCATATCAGTCCAAATTTCATGTGACACTGCAAAAGTGTTCAACACCAGTCAGCCAGTGTTTTATCAACCGTTATAAGACCGGCCACGTGATGGGCTCTCAACCAATAGGAAGGGGTAAACTGTCTTAGATACTATGAATTTTTCTAATAGCATGGCCACCATGCCATTGCTAGAAGTTTTTGGTCAAAAATTCTGGAAAGAAATTACAGCAAACTTGTAAAATTTAAGTATGACTTGAATACCTTGCACTTGGCCTGAGTGACAAATTGCAGGAAGGAGTCTAGATCCCTCGGTGTGCTGGTCAGGTAGCCAAAGACTCGCATCTCCAATGCTGCCTGCTCAAACTTGTTGTAGATGGAACTCAATCTTGCTGCCTGATCATTCAACATAGAAAATCATGACAGTACGCAGTAAAGTGGATTGCTGTTGTTCCAATCATCTTTATCTTTATCTACCCGACCAAGCCTCACTCAGCCCAACTCAGCTTTACTTTTCAATGCCCAGCCCAAACCCAACACAACCCAACCCTATTCTACCCTACATAATCAAGCCAAGCCTAGCCCAACTCAATCAGACCCTGGCCATCCCAACGCAACCAAGGCCATCCCAACCAAACTACTCCCAACCAAATCTTACTTGGGTCCACCTAACTAAACTTAACCCAACCCAACCCAATCCAGGCCATCCCAAATCAACCCAACCAAAAACTTGTAACGAACCCTATGCTACCCTACCTTTCCAAGCCCAGCCCAGCCCAACTCAACCCATCCCAACCCAAACCAACTTGCAACCCAGGACATCCCTACCCAACTACTCCCAACCAAATTTTACTTAGGCCATCCCAACTAAAGCTGAACCCAACCCAATCCAATCCAGGCCATCCAAAACCAGCTAAACCCGACCTTTGGAAAACCTAGTCCAACCCAACTCAACTCAGTATAGAATGGGCCTTATTCACGAATCGGCCATATTGGATTGAGAGCGAGGTAAAATCTTCATTTTTGGAACTTATGTAGAGAAATGAAAGCAAAATAATTACTAATTAATTCCAGTCTGCTTAAATGAATAATTTAAAATTTGTGATTAAATGTTCTAATGTTTAAAGCCAGATTTTAAAAAAAATGACATTAAAAAAGGCTGCATTATGCCTGCAAAAATAGTCTGGCGCCATCCCATTCAACAGTTGAGAATTAATGATATTTGTTCAGGGAACTCAACAAAAATGGCCAACTCGTGAATACGGCCCATAACTTAGCCTAACCAAACCCATTCTAGCCCAAACAATCCCAGCCCGGCCTAGCTCAACCCAATCCAACCCAGCCAAGCCTAACTCAACCCAACCCAACTGACAAATTGTTCACCTGTACGTATGTAAACAACCCCCCCCCCCCCCCCCCCGTATCAACTGACTGACAAACAAGCCATCAAAACCTTTGTCAATGAGAGTTATTCCTTTTGTCAATTACCTGCACATAAGGAAAGACAAGGATGGCCAACCACAGCAGAAAGAAACACACGCGATATGTGGTAACTAAAGCAGATATCTCATCACCCCTGGGTTGATGAAACAGTAGTAGGCTTATACCTGAAAAGCAATCAGACAATGATGATGGTTACAATCATCTATGAGGTGCAACATCATTATGACCCCTGCTTACTGGGTGAATGAAACATTCCAAAGACCATCTCAGCTCCTTGGCTAAACAGTTGTATGCTGCCATTTCAGAATAAAGCAGCAAAAATCAAACACAGACCCATACAGATACCAATTTTTTCCTGGGTGGGGTGAAGTGGTTAGTGACAAAGTGTGTTGCGAAAGTACAAATACACACTGCAACTCCAGGCTGGTCCGGAACCCCCAACCTGCAGAACTACCCGCAGATCTTGAGTTTGATGCTCAAGAGCATGAGGGCCCTCCGGTACACCAGTAACCAAATACAGAGTGAATAAAAAAAACAAAAAAAACAAATGTCAGGACCATTTTTTTAAAATGAAGTTCTGCATGTAGCACTTTCAAAATCTAGGATATGAAACCCCAATTAATAAGGTTTCTTTTAGTACAAGAATCATTCAAATCACTCATGTACTCTTCAAGTTACGGGTTTTTAAACACAAACACTGTTTTAAAGTTCTGTCCGCGGATCACAAAAAAGGTAAGTGTTCTTTCAGCAAAACGAAAACAATTCACATAGAGATGTCCTAGATTATGAAAGTGCAACATGCAGAACTTCATTTTAAAAAAATGGTTCTGATATTTAGGTTTCCCTTTTGTTTCACTCACCCTGTATACCCCCAATAGCATAAAATACCTTTCCTGTATATGAATCCCTTGTTTTATCATCACCAAAGCCTATTCTAAAAACATTACGTTTATTAACTCTTTCTTATGCTTTTTCACTTACTATTGTGGAGGGGAACAACATGAATATCAACAGTACGATTTTTGCAGCATTACGAAGATGTTGAATTTTATTTGTGTGTTTGCCTTACCTGCTACAACCATAGCAGCAAAGTTGAAGACCAACAGTGACATCATTTTGGCCATGGGTCCATTCAGCTGCTGAGTGGCCTGCCAAACTTTCAAGATGTCCTGAAAGAAAGAAGGAAACAATCCACTTTCAACTCAGTGAACACAAAAAAGGTCCAAAAGTCTGGGGTTTTTTTTTTGGGGGGGGGGGGGAGGGAATATGTGGAAGAAAGTCCAAAATGCTTGGAAGGTGGTTTTTTTAAGACCCAATGGGGAGTCTGTGAATGGTTAAATAACTTACAGAGTAAGACATGGAGTTTTTGGCACGCACGTGCCCACCTCAAGACAACAATCAGAAGTAAATATAGCACTCAGCATGCTAAATTAGGAAGACAAAGCCAATTTTGAACAGTTTTCTAGACATTAGTCCCCTGAGAAGTTTCAGTTGTCTTGTCAACACCTCTTTAATAGTTTTGCATATATTTCTTGTCTCACGCTTATTTTATTCTTGTGGCAATTTTAACCTGTATATTTTATTTTAACAAAAAAAACCTATTTTTCAATTTTGGGCATCCAAAAATCTGAAAAAGGCTTTTATTTAGGGGTGCTTTTGCCGACAATCAGATCCGCCCTGTGAGTAGACTGGTACCCAGTCCCTATTTGTCAGTTCGGGAAGGGGGCAGGAACCAGTCTACCCTTTGAAACCTGAATTATGTGGATCCGCAAATATTACAAATTTGTAAACTAATTATTCCATAAACTAAACGTGGGCCATTTGATATCTCATACAAAAGTAATATATATCTTTTGCATTCCTAGAAAAATAGCAATTTCAAACTATATATAAATTTACATAAAACTACTTTTTTGGAGGAGTGAATCTCAAAAATGGCACAGACAGTACAACAGTACATGGACTGATTTATGTGGCTGGCCAGGGGGGGGGGGGGGCTGGATTGGTGGTTGATAATTAGACCTCACATGCATGATCATTCGCAAGTCTCCTGTCTTCTCTAGCAACTGTTCCTGGATGCTGCGCACAAAGCAAATGATGGTTTCACACTGCACCGAGTAGTTGACAACAACAGCCGCTATGATGGAGTTGTAGATGAGACAGCCAAACGCGTGGACGCACAGCAAGACAATGTTCCAAGCTTGCCTGTGCAAATTGGAATGCAACAGAAATAGTTCCTTCATACACACTTCTAAAGAAATAGACCAAATAATCCATTGGGTTCCTGCAAAGTGGAGGATTCGTGAAACGCAGAGTAAATCAAGCTGGCAACACAGCATCTTTTTCAGAAGCACTGCTCCTTTCAGAAGGTTCCATCCTTTTCAAATTTGTCCACTCAGTTCAGTGACTGCTCATTTCTAATCACAGCAAAACTGCTGGGAATGAACATTTGGACTTACCAATGTCCAAAGAATTGTTTAACCTTATTTCAATCATTCCCCTGTTTGTTTATAAAAGGTGTGTTGTTCTGGGCATTTAAAAACTTTTGCCACCTTTTCCAGAGATTCTGGCAACGGTTTTGGCATCAGCTGAGTGCAAGCAGCGGACACAATTTTCCAACAAACAGGATAAATTTGACATGCTGTTTTGAATGATGAACTGGTTTTGAAACCCATAATAGAAAAACTTACACAGTAAAGAACTTGTAGATGGTGTTTTGCAGCCCAAAAGCCGTCAGGAACAGTGCCAGAACCCCCATCATGGCTAGTACCCACAATGCACCACCAATCAGGATCCATCTTGGATTTGGGCATTGGGGAAAAAATACTGAATATTAGAAAAGCGTGCAGGTATTTATCAATTAAGTAATGAATTACAAAGATTCTTTAATTAATCTGCCAAAACTTAATGACTGGTTTTGACTGATTTTGACAAATTTGGGAATGTAGAGCTTATGGCACCATTCAGAAAAAATGGGAAATTGGTGTCACAATTTGCCATTGACTTACTGCAATGGTTGAAACTAAATGTCAAAGGAGCAAGGGGTTGCAGGGAAATTCTAGGGGAAAGTACCAACAGAAGCAAGTAAATTTTGAATCCAACATTCAAATTTTTCTTTCACAGGTCAGAAAAAAAAACAAGATCAAATGGAACATGTTGCCTTTCGGGATCTTATAATCTAACAGAGTAAGTGAGATAATGATGTAAATAATACACATCTATCTGTCAGTTTTGTTTTATAAAAATGACCAAAGTACACAACTGATTTTACATGAAAACATCTCAATTATTTAGAAAATAGTTTTTAAAGCTACAGCCCATCGTTTGCAGCTATCCAAAAAGTAACTGACGTAATCAGTGTGGAAAACATTCTTGGTTGAAAGATGGTAAGGGAACTAAACTCCCTGTGAAATTGTTCTTTCTGGCATGCTGTCATTTTGAAGAAATCAACTAAAGAAGGCCTTTCCAACTGTGCGTCTAAAGACGCACCGTTGAACATTTCCATTAGTAGTTGTTTTTTTAATTCGGCAAAGTGTGTGCAAGCGTTAACACGAAGCACACGCGCGCCCGGTTGCTATAATTCGTCGGTTCAGTGCGCGACATCGCGTAGCTGCATTCGGCTCAATGAGAAAGTGTCTCGGACGCTGAATTCAGGCCCAATTCAAAACATGCTTCAGCAACTTTTGATTTGAAATCAAGATCCTAGAATGTTGTTTTTCTCAAAATATACAGCTGAAGCTGAGCTGAACTTCATCAGGTTAGTTGTTCAGCATCCTTTTTTTAGATTTTGAGCACGTTTGTTGCTTCAAATGAACAAAATGCACAAATTACAAATGATGGACTGTACCTTTAAGTTACATGTAATACACATATGTTGGTGAGGAACAAGTAGCACAATAAAAAGTTCAGAGAAGGAATGAAATAAACACTAGAGTTTATTCTTACTTCATTGCCCTGATCATGGTAGACTGTGTGTTAGAGCCATGCGTTGTGGGTGTTGCATGCAGAAAGGCCTGAAAGATACAAAATGTAAAAGTTTCATAATCAAATCATATAACCACTGGTTTCTAACATTTAAGCATGTCAAAAACTACAGCACACATTTTTTTTTTTTTTTAAAGTCTTAACAGTGCAATAAAACAACTAAAGACTGTAGTACATGTAATATTTGAAAGTACATATCAAAATTTTGAATACTCCAATTTCAGTTTGAAAAGCTCCATTAGAAACAGTTCCCAGCTAATCTCCTTGGTTGAGTGGTAATTGTAAAATGTGGTAAGCTTGTAAATTTTTTCTCGCAAGCACTGAGTTTACAGCGTTTTACAGTGTTTATAAATACTGAGTTTACAGTGTTTATAAATACGTCGGTGAAGGGTCAAACACAACATAAAATTTACATCATCCCAACGCAGTTTCCATCTAATGAAAGACTTGCCAACCGGAATAGTGTCCCTGAATGCATTGGCCAATGTTCAATTCACTATCCTAACAACCACAACTACAAGCCACTACATACTAAGCTGGAACCACAAGCAGGAGCCCCTGCAATTGGGTTGTAGACAGCCTGCAAGCCAGAGTGGTACCACCTCTTTAGTTCTTTTTGTTGCTGATTAGAACTGAAATGTATTCCTGTTCCCAGAATGTTCTCAGCGACCTACCTGAATGTTCTAAATTCAGGTGTTCCCTACCTATCACACCTAGAAGTGTTGTCCTCAAGTCATACCAAGTCAATCACAAGCATATCACAAGCCAATCCCTTTCCTTCTTTCTTCAACTTATTACAAGCCATTAAAAATGTGAAAATAGGCATTCCTTTGTCACTATTCACCCCCTGTTACTTGTGATCAACATGTGAGTTGGCTAATTGGCTTGTGAATGACATGAAATGAACTAAGGGTTTACTCAATTAAAACTCTGCAGCCGATTTCATGAAACAGTGCATAACTTACGCTATGAGTAGGACTCATTTTTTGCATAGCTGCGCAATAAACTTAAGATCAATTTCACGAAACTTGGCATAGCTGAATAACGTCTTGGACGAGGAGATAAACAGCTTTTACGATGGCTTTTTAAAAAATTTACTGTTCAGTCACCAAACAGTTACTGAATCACCCCACATACCATTTTGAAAGTAGTTTTGTTCCGACTTTCTTTGGAATCGTGTGGCAACTGTAAAAAAATCTGTCACAAGAAAAATAGCAATTCATTTACTTCAACCACAAAGGTGTGAGTGTCTTGTATCAATGCTGATAAGTTGAGCAATGACAGGCTCCATGACAATCACGATTTGCCAGTAAAATAGTTGATTTTCACCTCCTACGCCATAACTTATGCCACCTAAAGTGATTGCATGAGTTATGCCATAATTTGTTGTGCAACATGCGGGCTTACGCACTATATGAAACTTTCATGAAATTGTCAGAACTGAAAAGTTGCACAGCGTGAAATGTTGCGCAACTTATGCAATAAATTGTGGCGCAAGTGGAGTTACGCCAATGCATAACGTTTTGTGAAATTGGCTGCTGGCTAAGCATGATGTGAGCCCAAATAGGGGAAGTGCACCTGTTGAATCAGTGCATCCATCTGCTCGTTGTCTTGGATGCGGAAGTACCAGAAGCCCAGCAGGAAGGCTACAAAGTGGAGGACATCAGGCAGGATGTAGGAGGAGATGAGATGAGTGCAGGCATGGTAGCTGTCTATGGCTGGTTCTATGGGGACGTAGCCGCTGGGTGTGGTAGGGGTAGGTGCGGGATCAGCTGGCAACCCAAAGTTTGGTGACATCTTTGTCTGTGATTTAAATCAAGAAAATACTCCCAAACTTGTATGCTGGTACCTTTGGGTGGGCCATCACTGCATTATGGGTAAGTTTTTTATTGTTAGGCAAATAAGGATTGAGTTATGGGGACTTTCTGCTGTCCCCGGCCACAACATCTTCGGTCCCCATATTGGACAACTCGTGTGTAGTCCCCACAACTACAGAACAAGTAAAACAAGCATTACATTCACTGTGTGGACTTCCGAACAAAAGATGTCCACAGAAACCAGTTTTCAGATACGTTATGTGGACTTGCCCACGTCTCTGGCAAACAGCTTTAGAGGCATTTTTGGGTTAGGTTTTTCCGTCACAAAATGGAGAGAAACACTCAAGGGAATCATAGTAAAAAATTTGGGTTGAAAGAGTTTTCACAGTGTGAGTAACATGATTTTTTTTCACAGGTTTTTCTTAACTTCATGAAAACAAAGGAATGTCCACACTAGGTACGTAACATAAATGTGTTCGAGTGTGTGTGAATTAAGAGTAACAATGCATGCAAAGCTGGGCAAATCATGCCAGAATAAATTAGCCCTCCCTTTCTGGCTGAAAATAATTGGAGGAAAAGCTGCCCCTTCAGGCTCTCTCAAAAAAAATAGTGACTGTTTTTAACAGTTGGGAATCCTTGGTCTACTGAAGCAGGATTGACTGGCTGTGGCTGTTTATGTAACTTGATACAGCTAACTGTGACTGTAGGTGATTGATAAGCTGTTTGTTGACGTGATTACCAGAAATGTGATCTGACTGTTGGTGACTAGCGTGTGTATAAAGGTTTTTGTGCTAAGAAAGTGGATTGAACTTTGACTGGCTGTGGCTGTTCAGACAGCAGGAAAATCTAAGCATCATAACTAAATAAAAACACACTCAGAACAGTGGACACATGCAGCTCCATTCCATTACATTGAGCTTCAGATCCTCCAAAATCCCTCAGGTGGATTATGAAGGACTATTACTTGCAATAGGTTTGATGTCCCATACACGTTAACATACAAAGACTGGAATGTGCCATTGGTTTCCTGCACAGTTGAAGATTTGTGAAGGATTAGGGAAGGTTCCTGGCACAAATCCATCTAGAGGTAGGGTTAAAACAAGGCAATCCGTGGATCACACGTGACGTCTTTTTTCGCAGCTCCTAACCGAAGTAAATATCAACATCCATCAAATTATGTAGATGAACAAACATTTGTAGCATATTTAAACAAGACCTCTAATGATCCCTGCATGACCTTTGACCTCAATGCTTAACACCAAACCTCAAGACTTCCATGACATTCATTCTAAGCAACATTGGTACGAGTAACCATGCATTTCTTCGAAACAATAGCATTTCTAAATTTTTTCCATTATGACCTCAACTGACCCCTGGAGGACCTTTGACATAGCTCCCTTGACAGTCCCCTAATGGTGTCAATACACTATGTACCAATGACTGTGCATTCAACAACAAATGTATGATTTTTGAGGCTACATTATATGCTCTGCTGCAAGAAAAAAGGGAGAAAATTCAAATGACAAAGGTATCTTACCGGCTGGATAACAAACGGAACATCGTACTTCCCTTGGCAAGACAATATTCGGTACACGTAGACGTAGAACATCAAGGCAACCAGCAGGATTGGATAGACTATGTTCAGTGCCTTCCAGCCACAGTGGTAGTTGATGCGGTCCCGCCCAAATGGCCGCCATCCAATCTGAAAGAAAGAAAACATAAAAAATTCCAAATTCCCATTAACCCTCCTGCTATTAAAACAACCACAGACAGTCAAAATTCACTTCCCCTGCTATACTTATAGCAAAGGCTAGTCACCAGCAGTCAGATCATATGTCAAGCAAGTACTGTGATTAGTCAAACTCAACAGACAAAATAGGCAAGTTGTCGTCATTGCTGTTTTATCCATCACCCGGAGTCAAAGCATAGTTGTATCAAGTTACTTAAACAGTCCCAGCCAGTCAATCCTGCTTTTTTTTTAATATAGGTTGGGAATTTTGAATTGTTGAACACAGTCACTTGTTTGATTTTTACTGAAAGGACTACTTGGCACAGAATGTATGTTTGCATAGGAGGGTTAATATTCCTTCAAATAGGATGTGCACTAGCTGTTCTGCCTTAATTTGTTCCTCAGTAGAACTGGCCATATTGAATCAAAAGTGTGTGTGCATTTTTTTAATGTGCTTGCACTTCTTTTGAATTTTTCCGCTGAAGTATATTTACCATAAACCTTATAAAGCGAGTACTAAATCTCCTCGGCCTTTTAGGCAAGAATGCATTATTCCTTCTAAACCGATCAATATAAACGTGACCTGGCAGAATATGTTTCTGTAGGCATTTGGAAAAAAAGACTTAAAAATTCAGTCAATATTAAACTTACAGATAGCTCTTCCATTATCTCCATCGACAAAATTATCTTGTGGTATTGAAATAAAAAGTGCCTTCAATCTTCAGGCTCAAACATCCAACTCTTACCTTCAAAGCCATTCAATGTCTCTCCTCCAAAATCAATCAATATAGAATCACACTGCATTATCAATCTTTCAAAATCGACCTCAATGTCAATGCGCATACAGTCTCACAAAACTGCAACGTGAATTTTGGAGGATTGAGGAGTATTAGGGGTTTAACAGATTGACATGGATTTATCATTCCGGGAGGGGGGGGGGGAAGGGGGGGGGGAGCTTACCACAAAGAGCAACTTCCAATAGGGCTTCAGCACTTGCTGTCTGCACACTCTCAGAATAGTGGTAGTGTGGTATAGGTTAGTGCCGTCACGACTCTCGCAATCTGTGATCTGAAAAGTTACAGCAAATAGAAGTCGTATTGCCATGAGTGCATTAAATGCACTAGTGGAAGCAGTATTACTTTTTGGGATGTGCCGCCCTGGGTAATCCAAAGTTAAAATCTGTGAAGAGGAAACTTGTTCCTAACTGGCAAACAAACCTGGTCACCTTTGGCAAGGTACGATATCTGTTGGGGTGATTATATTCACTTTATCTGAAAACTACATGCTTTTGATGGAAATTCTGACTTATTTAACATCTTCATGTATTAACATGATTAAGAGTGGACATGAAAATAGAGTTTTCTAAACTTTAAAGAAGTTGCACATATTTGGTATATGCAAGAGCTAGTGAGAAGGTCAAGTTTAGAAAGAATAGGAACAGACAAATATGAAAGATGTTCTATAAAGCAGCATAGAACTTCAAATAAGAAGTATGGTTCTAACCTTTACATATTTGTCAAATACACTGGGCTGTACTAGTCTAATTGACTGTTTGGAACCAGTCTGCCTGCTATAAGGCTGGTCATATCACTAATTACCAATAACCAAATATATCCTTATAAACAGCAGAGACCATCAGACCACGACAACAATAAAGTTACTTAAAGTTAAGTACTAAGTCTTGGGGCACACGAGGCGAAGCCTCGGGTGCTATGCGCCCCTTGGGTGTTCAAAACATCATATCCCACATCACAACAGTCAACAGTTGTTAAATAGCCCATTCCTAGCATACCTCACAAAGTGACGAGGAGTATGAATCCCTGTCCCTTTCATCGCTGGTGCTAGTGTTCAATGCTTCTGTAGTGTTGGCATGGTTGGAGTGAAACATTCTGTCATCCATCGGTCGTCCAACACTTAAAGCATTCATGAGGGAGTTTCAAACCTGTAATAATAAAGGGACTGCGGCATGACCAGGGAACGTTATGGACACATCGCTGACTTCAAAGTATTCACAACTTTTACAAATGTTTGTACAACATGGATGTAGGGCCAAAGATACACCTACATACATGTAGTTAGCCTGTCTTACATGTAGATTAAGGTCAAGGGTACAATATGGCAAAAAATTTGAGATGACCAGTTTCAGCAGTAGCGTACATTTGGGTCCCACGCCTATGAGAGAATTAAAGTCCAATTTCATATATTATGATATCATGTGGAATAGCAATAAAATTGATTTTTCAAAACACAATTCTGGCTTTCCTAAGGAACATTTATAATACGAAACCTCAGGCCAGTTGGTGACAAAATCATTTATCATAACTAAGAAATATACAATATGTACAATATGCAAAATTTAGCATGTAAAATGCAAAAAGGCAAGGAGGTCAGCTCCATGATTAATGAACTGCTGCATAAGGTTTGATTTTTGCGAATGTCTATGTATTTTACACGTAATTCAGCTCTAAGGCTGTGAGATTTCAATTTAGACAGTTCTACATGTAGGTCCACTGATGTTCCTGTTATACCATCAATGACATATTGGTATTCAGATTAAGGCAACTCGGTTCCAAGTCAACTCGGTCTTCATGGAAAAATTTACTTAAATAAAGGCACATGTAGGTAGTTTTAAGGTCTCATGTAACATGACTTTGATTATGTCCTCGGGTGAGGCCGGGTCTTGAGTGACTGGGATACTGGGATGCAGTGGGAGGGGGAGGTTGCAGGCTGGCTTTCGTGTGATGGGGCATGCAACCCATTTTTTTCTCTTCTTAAGAAGCTTTGCAAACTGTAAAAACAATTCCTTCTCTAATTTGTGTTTGGGAAGAGGTTTTGGGGAAGGAAAGAAAAGTCTGAAAGTCTATCTTGCAGCTCCCCTACCAAAGTTGTTTTAAAAAATATGCATGTGGTGAGCCGGGGTTAGCCGGCCGAGCAGAGCCGGGATAAGTTAAGTAGGGATATATGGTACAAGCAGCACATTGCACGGTCGATAGACGAGGTAATTTTGGGCACTAGAACTCCTTTTTCGAAAAAAGGAGTTCCATTCTCCCCAGTTACTGGGACTACATGGCCGGCAGTATGTGGCACCGGCACAGTGCCTGCACTGCCTGCAGTGGGTACGCAATAAGGTGCACAGCCGCGGCGTACCATGCCAAGTGCGTTGAGATTGGAAGTGTTTAAGTGAATACATGTAGTTAATGTCGGACAATTAATAATTGTCTATCACCATCAAATTTTCTCTAAACTTTTTTTCCCAGGTATTTTTGGTAAATTTTCCCAATATTAATTCAAGCCGTAACGGTTTGTCTTTAATTCATTAAACTTAAATTATTACGGGGCAACCACCCTCTCGGCTTCCTCAACCCCTGGAAGATTGCTGTAATTCCCTGGCCACGGGGTGGGAAATTCATGCAAAAGAAAACAATGAATCGCATGCACTCTTTCTACATGTAGCAACTTATTGGACCGTCAGACTGCGACCACTCCACCCGGGCCAACAATGGTACGGTCCCACCACTCAATCACCTAAATACACGTACTCAAGGTCATGTTATTAGGGTAAGAGTCCTAAACATGCTAAAAAGTGCTGACCATATCTTTACGTATTTCCCATATATACATGGAGACCGAGTTGAGTTGTGACCGAGTTGTCTAGGAACCGAATTGACTTGGACCAAGTTGGTTTGGTCGTAAATGGCTATCGTTATGGCAGCTGTAACGTGATTTCCATCTGCTGTCGTTACAGCATTGCAAAAACACCATCGCGAAATATAACTGTCCTACCAACAATAGTGTTTTGGTAGCGCGATTGGTTAAATACTTCACTACCATGCCGAAGGTACCGGGATCAAATCTGTGTTATACCAAAAAATTTTATTCTTGTTTTTGTTGTAATAGTTTCATTTTTTTTGTTTAATGTTTTTAATAAAATCCTACTTTTTATTGAAGTAGACATTATTTCATCTTCATAATCCGTGGCTTTTGAGGATTTCTTTTTAACATAGTGGCCAGTGGCGTAAATCTGTGCCAGCGAGTGGGGGGATGGGGGATGACCAAAATCCTAAAATTGCCCGGCCATGGGAATTCAAAAAGCAGGGGGGGGGGGGGAAATGGACACCACATTATACTAGGGGCGCTCTTCAGAGAAATATCATTACAGTCGAATCTCGTTAGTACAAACTCTGTTAATACAAAATTCTGGTTATAAAGCCTTAGTCCCGACTGTGCATTTATGTGCACAATGAATGGGACTGATGTTCCTCTTAATACAAAATTCTGATATAACAAACAATTTGGCTAGGTCCGAACGAGTTTGTATTAACGAGACTCGAATGTATGTATATTCAGGCTTACATTTTTTAAGCTTGTATACTTTGTTTCTCCACTTTTCAGTGCTATTGAATACAATTTTAATTTTTGGGACATTCTGCAAATACATCAAAATCCACACTTTTTTTATCACAAAAAAGTGGGGGGGGGGGGGGGGGTGATTCAATAGCTCATCCACCCCTGGTCAAAAGGTGAGGGGGATAAATACCCCCCATCTCCCCCCGGGATTTAGGCCCCTGGTAGTAGCTATCGTTACAGCAGCCGCCTGTAATGCAATTTTCAACTGCTATCATTACGGCATTGCAAAAACATCTTTGCGAATCACAACTGCCTGTCCAACCAAAGTCGCTTTGGTAGCTCAATCGGACATAATGCTCATCTACAATGCAGAAGGTTCTGGGATCGACCCCCGCGCTGCGCATTTTTTCCTAAATTCCTTTTCTTTCTTTTTTCTTTTAATAGTTTTCTTTACATTTCCCTTGCTCTATGTTTTTCTTTAACATTTCATTTTCTTCTTTGTAATCTGTGGCTTTGGAGAATTTTTTTAAAAGGGAAATAAAGTCCGAGAACCATTCGGTTGATAGTCTGGTTCCAAAAGCCAAAAATCCTGACGTTGAAAACTATTAGGTCAGGGAACCAGATGGTTGACTGCCATGCCATAAGGATAGCAGATGAAAATATGTTGTGGCTGCCGTAATGATAGCCACTGCGTGTTTTTTTAAGGGAATGTACAACATTTGCTTTTGCTGCAATTTTCAGAAATAAATGGATTTAGAGGATTAATATGTTATAGCACATATTGTTAAACTGACTTGCTTCACATTTTGGGTTCGGAGATGCTGGCAAATCCAAGAAAACCAACCATATTCTTGTAGTCTGGTTTCCTGACCCCACTTAAGATGAAACGGAGAATTTATAGACTTTGGGGAATTGTAATGTCAAAGAAACAGTCTAGCAGGCATGTACCCCTTCACAGGTGTGTAAGCAATTGGAAAGACAATGTGGAAGAACGAAATATTAAAAATGAGGAGCACTTTTTGAAAAAAAGCCAGTTTTCTCCAACGATGGTCGGCCGAGCTGGCAATTGAACCCTGCTGGGGATCTCTCACTCATGAGATACATGTACACGCGCTATGCACTCGGCCACTGCTGTTGTACAAACGATGGTGGTAATTTAATACCTTTTATTATATAATGTAGGCCTAAGTATACGCGTCGAAGAGGGCGCTGTACAATGTAGCCGGCTTTATATCGTTTACTAAAAGAAAGCCGGCTAAATCTAGCCGGCTAAATATACACTTCCTTTAAAGGGAAAATACAACATTTGCAAACATCAAAAAATGAAGTGATCAAATTATCATGAAATACCTTACTGCCTTACTGGATTGTTAGGGAATGACATTCAAAAGCAGCCTGTAAAATCGTGGCTCCTGGTGTGCTGACATTTTCAAGAAAACTTGTGCTAAAGTGGTTGAAATTCACAGATTTGCAGCCCAAAAAATAATCGTGAGTATCATTGAAGCCCGATTACTTTGTCTTTGACATGTGGAGAAGCCAGTAGGTGCTTTCAAAGGTAGTTTTGTGAAGTATTTTGCGTGATTTTTAGAAATTGTTACATTGACAATAGTTCCTTAGTGGGTCGCTAGTACGACAGTAACATCCCAAATGTCAAAAAAGGAGTTCTAGCGACCCAGTTAGTGGGACTACGTACCTACACTGTCTTTTAAAAAAGGCAGTGTATATTTTGCCGGAGACGGCAAACCTTTAGTAAACGTTAGTTTGCCGGATATGCACTGAACATGCGCAGTTACTGTTTTTTTGTACTTTAGCATTTTCCGGTGACAAGTTTTAGTCTGGCTCCATGCCAAAATTATCGTTGTTACCTCGTATTCACAAGATGGGATTCAGACCATTTTATAATTTCGGACTTTATTTCCCTTTTAAAAAAAATCCTCCAGAGCCACAAATCTGAAAAAGAAAATGTAATACTCTGCAAAAAATGTTTGAGACATGTTAAAATAATAAAAGAAGAATATTCTTATTTATTTGGGGATGAAAAAAAAACAACTTAAAAATGTGGTGCGGTCGGAATCGAACGCGTGTCATCCCGATTACTAGAGCCTTTGCTTAACCACTACACCAAACGTGCTACACAACTTTTGGTGGGAATTTAATACATGTTATAATTCAGCCCTATTTTAAAGAGTACAGCGCCCTCTGTTGATGTGGATTGCCGCCGGCAAACCTTTAGTAATCGTTAGTTTGCCGTCATTACCTCCGGCAAAATATCCACTACCTTTAAAAAAAGGGAACATCCGAGAACCATTCGGTTGATAGTCTTGAAGAGCCAATATCCTGCTGATTATTACTATTACTAGTATTAGGTCAGGGAACCAGACAGTCGACTGCTGCCGTAACAATAGCCTGATTATTGTTGAGCTTCACACAAACCACGGAGGAAGGAATACAAACAAACAGTGAAACACGACAAACCACTGGCATGACTGGCATGACTGGCATGACTGGCACTGCAAACAATGACAAAACATTTCTTTTTGTCGGAATTCTACTTTTTCGTAGGCCTAGTTCACCAAACATGGAAATACAGTACAAAACCTTGACTGATTTCTTGAAATTTTCGGTAACATTTTGTGATAAATACTCACTGTTGAGAACAAAGGCGGACGACGAAGGACAACTTTGACTTTCACGGTCAATTTTTTCATTCAATCTTCATGGCGGCGGCCATCTTGGTTGTTTACAAAATTATTGCTGGCGCGTGCAGTTTCCCAAATTACGGCTTCGTTTTAACTTTGGCTTCATACCGGCCCAATACGCCAAGGTCCAAACTGAACAAAAATGTAATACAATTTGATGTTCATAAAGTTAAAAAACAAATTACCTATATTGAGCTGAAGGTCTCAACGTGTTGGGGTAATTAATAATCTCTTGAAACCAATGTTTCACATCAATTGGGTTCACCATAGCTGGAGTTACCCAGCCCTGAGTTTTATCATTGGGTTGTCATCTAGGATGACAACCCAATGATAAAACTCAGGGCTGGGTAACTCCAGCTAGGTTCACCACGCGGCCAAGGAGCTAAAAAAAATCCATATAATTTATACCCTAGTGACGAAATAAGAAGTTTAAGAACATAAGATAAAACAAATAATTCAAGACACACAATTACATTTAAAAAATTTAATTAAATTTAATAATAAACATTTTAATAAAAACAACAAAACTAAACGGGGCCAATTAATTAAAAACAGGCGAAACCCTGAAGAGGCCTCATATCAGGGTCATCAACAAAATAATACAATTTGATGAAAAACATTTCTTGAGATAAAAGTCACTTGATTTTAAAATAAAATAAAACATTATTTATTTCATGTCGTCTTCATTGTCATTTTCACAAGACTTAATAAGTAGCAACCTCGTCCCTAGGGTCTTCTTTATTTCCAACCTCATGTAGTGTTGGAAGCGTACTGTAACGACATCCTGGTAACGAAGTTGAAATACGTATGGATTTGGGTATTCAAATTGGATGCGCTACGGTGCATTCTGATTGGTCATTATGCGTATCTGAGAACCAATCAGAAGACGAGTACAAGGGCGTCGATGTCCAAACAGCTGCTGGCCCCCGAACGTGTACAACGCTGGCGTCCAATTCAAAATGCTTGTGGTGCACGACGACCGTACTTAAATATCCATGCAGAATTTCTCCATACAATTGTACACAACAAAAGAACACACAGAACACGGACAGTGCAGTGACAGCAAGAAGGTTCATTAGTCTTGATGCTTGCCCAATAATTCTAGCTTTTTTCTCAGTGTTTGAGACCGAAAGTGGACAGATATTGTGTGTAAGTAAACCCATCATGTACAGGAGATACAGTAACTGGTATGGAAACACACATATAGTCAGATTTCTTTGCTTGATTTTGAATCAAAATTTGGTAGAATACTGTACTCGTACGCGTGCGCGTGCCAACTCGTTGTAGTCGTACGCGAGCCACCTCGGTCATACACGAACTATCTCGTACGCTACGCGGGCAAACTCGTACAATAACCAACTCGTACGGGGTCTAACTTACACGAACCAACTCGTACGCAAGCCAACTCGTAACATACGCAGGCCATTCTAAGGCCGTACGTGTGCCATCTCAGCTTTACAGTCACTTCGCCCCATGTCACTTCGATTTTGGGTCAACTCGTACCAAGGTCAACTCGTACCCGCGACCCGAGTCAACTCGTACCCGAGTCAACTCGTACCCGAGTCAACTCGTACCCGAGTCAACTCGTACCCGAGTCAACTCGTACCCGAGTCAACTCGAACCCAAGTCAACTCGTACCCTAGCCCCATAAATGTGGCCAATTTACTGGACTAGGCCTACCTCCGTAAACATAGGCCACACGAATACAGGTCAACTCGTACGCGAACCAACTCGTACGCGACCAACTCGTACGCGGGTCCATTCGTACGCGAACCGACTCGTACGCGGACCGACTCGTACGCGGACCGACTCGTACGCGGACCAACTCGTACGCGGACCAACTCGTACGCGTGAGTTTAGACGATTGGTTTAGCTCACATGGACAGATGAAATTAGGTTCGGTACAGTAGGTCGGCATAATTTTACCTTTTCTGAAAGGTTGAGATTTTCAAATTAAATGTAGTTGATTTTTGAATCCGCCAGTGCTACTTACATTCGCGATTTTTTAGAGAAGAATTCTGCGTTTGTTTGTTTTTTTACAAGTTCGCTTGATTGATTGGGAAGTTGTCTTCGCGATAACCAGTATGATTGGTTCCCGCCGCACCGCGCACTGTATAAAGAATGCATGATTGAATCGCTGAAACATATGCGCCGCGGTACAATTGCTGGTTGGTTAGACAAGTAAAATGAATAATTATTATGTCTCCAAATTATATTTTGTAAAATAAAACAATGGGGAGGTGAATTTTATTTATTTTTAAAAATTTGAATTTTATTTAATATCACTGCAAATGCGTGGTGGCCCTGAAAAGGACCGATTGGGTTTTCAGTTAGACAGTGCAATTGTCTATTCTCTTTTGTGTGGTTTGGTGGTTTTTTTTGGCCCTGAAAAGGGCCGTTTTTTTTTTTTTTGGTGTTGGTGTTGGTTACTTTATTATCATCATTCACGGGTTCACTCCCAATCACACACAACGGTCACACACTGAACTACGGACTACCCGTCACACTATTCCCAAATTCTTCCCAACCATGCCAACCCAATCCTCGAAACCACTCCTAAAACGGCCTGCATACGAGTTGGTTCGCGTACGAGTTGGCTCGCGTACGAGTTGGCTCGCGTACGAGTTGGCACGCGTACGAGTTGGCTCGCGTACGAGTTGGCTCGCGTACGAGTTGACCAATCCGCGTACGAGTTGACTCGCGTACGAGTTGGTTCGCGTACGAGTTGACCTGTTTCCGGCCACACATCCACATGTACAAAAACGTGTCGCACTTTGTCATGTTTGTCAAATTTTGATTTTAACATTTATAGGCTTACAAACATGTAGTAAATTGTAGTCCGAGTAACTTGGACCCAACTTATCGCCTTTTTTAACGTTTGGACATGGTCTGCCGAGTAACTTGGACCCAACTTATCGCCTTTTTTAACGTTTGGACATGGTCTGGCGATAGTATCGCCAGACCATGTCCAAATGCAGTGATGTAGTGCCTTGATGCTGGGCCTTGGCCTTAAGGCTGCCTTAAGGCTGGATTTTAGGGCCTTGGCCTTGGCCTCGAGGCTTGAGGGCAAAAGCCTTGGCCTTGGCCTTGAGGGTTCAGGGCCTTGCAATTTTGAGTCAAGGCTCTTCAAGGCCCATAGATTTTTGCATTTTCCAGATAAATCTGTTCGAAATTTTGCTGTTAGTTACCATTTTGTATTACCATGGAGGAGGGAAGCACCCTGTAGATTTGTGTGTTGGGCACACTTCCACTTTTGTAGCATCACATATGTTACCATTGTAGTAGATTTGCTGCAAAAATATTCCGTACACTTGTGGGGCTAATGAGATGATCACTTTAATTGCATATAACTATGGAATAGATCTGATTGGTTGTATATGGCTCCCTGATAAGTGCTAAAGATTTGCATGTATCTGTTTTAGATAATGCTGATATTTCTGACCATGTTGGGCCAGCAAATAAAAAATTCCCAAATCAGTTTCTTGGATCCCCCTTTTGTTACACTTGGGAGAATTGTGTGTCAATATAGAAGTAAATCATTATTGTGTTTAGTTAAACCATCATGAAGACCTGAACTTATACTTTAATAGATACAGTGCAGTCATAAAATGGTGTAGGCCTATGCGAGCATGTTGATTGCAATTAAAGAAATGTTGTACTTCGTAACAAGCAATTCGTGATGATAAGGGCAGATCCAGGGGGCCAAAAGGGGCCATGCCCCCCCCCCCCAAAAAAAACCGAAACCATTTTTTTTAATGTGACGTCGTATTAAAGGCAGGCAATGAGTACACCTCCATCTTTTCCTCAAAAAACATCGGTTAAAATGGTCAGAAATTGCCTCAAATCGCACCACAGAGCATCTCGAATCCAAATTTTTTTCGGGGCCCTTAAGTGGGCCCCGAAGCCCAAGCCGTCATTTTTTGACCCACTTTTGGGGGGACCAAAATTTCTTCCCCCCCCCCCAATTGTGTTCTGGATCCGCCCTTGCGTGATGATGTGTCACTCATGTGACTATAATTAGTTCTATATCAGTGGTCATTTCATAAAACAGGGCCTTGGCCTTGGCCTTGGCCTTGAGGGTTAAGCCTTGGCCTTGGCCTCGAGGCTTGAGGGTCAAAGCCTTGGCCTTGGCCTTGGCCTTGAGGGTCAAAGCCTTGGCCTTGGCCTTGGCCTTGAGGGTCAAAGCCTTGGCCTTGGCCTTGGCCTTGAGGGTCAAAGCCTTTGCTCCAACACTGTCCAAATGTTAAAAAAGGCGATAAGTTGGGTCCAACTTCCAAGTTACTCGGACTAAGTAAATTGTAGGTTTTTTTGCTTTAGAACTAGAAAAAAAAGTAGAAGCATACTCACCCTCTTTATAGGCTAATCAGAAAGTGCTGCCTTTTTCAGATGTCTAATTTTTGTGAAATTTCATGTTGAAATTTTGATACGCAAACGTGTGCAAATGAATCTGGAAATTTCACGAAAAATAGACATCTGAAAAAGGCAGCGCTTTCTTATAAGCCTATAAAGAGGGTGAGTATGCTTCTTCTAAAGCAAAAAAACCGTACAAAGCCTAAATGTGAAAATCAAAATTTGACAAAGTGCGACACGTTTTTGTACATGTGGATGTGTGGCCTATGTTTACGGAGGTAGTCCAGTAAATTGGCCACATTTTTGGGGCTACTCGTACCCAAGTTCACTTGTACCTGAGTCAACTCGTACCCAGGTCAACTCGTAACTCCCTAGAGGCTAGACCCGTGAACGTGGCTTGTAAACTACGCCACGCTGTTGTGTATTTCTGAACCTGGCGAAATTGTCCCTCTGACTCCCTCCATTACACACACTGGACGTTATTTTGCAAATGTAATAAGTACTCACATATGAAGCTGTCTTGAAATCTGTTTGTACATCAAAACTTGCATTTGATGAAATTTGAGGAAAATTCTGGCCCCGGTTTATGAAGTCCTGCTAGCTGCCATTTTCTCCCAAGTGACCTATGCGCATTGCATTTTATTGTACCGTCCTTCGAATAATTCGACGACTGTTTACTGTCGCAGCTAAAAGAGACATCGTTTTAGACAAGTTTCAAGTCCTTTCCTCTCTCACCGCACCGCACGCGGATCCGCGGATGAGCCGAGCAGCCAATCGGGTGCGGGTTTTTTTTTTCGGGGTTGCGACATGAAACAGCCGTCAATCTGTCCAAGCGACTCATCCGGAGTCATTTGTCAGGGTCACTTGTCGGGTTAAAATGAAATTTCTACATGTTCGTATGGGTCTTACTGATGGGCAAATTTCGTCGAAATTACACAGCCTAAACAATCGGACGGGCAAATTTAGATTTCTAGGTGAGTACTCAACACCCATACGGAATTATGTATGTCGGATCGATTTCGCTAGGTTTTAAAATACACAACAACATGGCGTTGTATACAACGCCACGTTCACGGGTCTAGTAACTCCCCTCCTTTTTGGGGAGTACGAATGGATGGTTCCAACAAAAAGTTCCGATTTTATCCTCAAGTCAAAACGGCGACAGAAATAGTATAGTTACGCCACCACAGATACAAATAGTTTGAGGTTTAAGGTGGTGGTATAAACATGATAGATGTTAACTCACATTCTGGATGAAAAGGGAAATTTACCGTTTATCTAAACAGTAAATTTCACTTTTCATCCAGATCGTGTAAGCTGCCGCGGCCGGCTTCGCGCTAAATAAATTCCTCTTTTTTGGGGGGGGGGGGATCCATTTATGGATCAGGAGGATTTTGAAGGATTGAGGATGAATGCATTTTGAGGCAGGACTGTCTGAAAATTTTCTGAAAATTTTGAAAAATTAAAAAATGTTGGAGGATTTTGGAGGATTGAGGATGGTTCCCAGCAAAAAGAGCTAGGGGGTTAGGGTTAAAGGTGACTCGGCATTAGGCTTACTTGTGCGGGAACTATTTTTTCAAACTTTAAATATTATTTTCGACCCAAACTATGCATGCTTTTATCACTTTATTTTATTTTTGTATTTTCAAGATGATCCTGTGGTTTTCCGATGAACATCAATTTGTGCTGATTTGAACGACGGTCTGCTGGCCATAATAAATCAGTGTTATTTCAAGTCTACGACGAAACTTTTCTCGCAAAAAAAATGATAAGCTTTCTTTAATATATTGTAATTTAGTTGTTTATAGATTGCTCTAAGCATGAAGATCACAGAGATGATAGAAAGAGAGAAGAGAAAACCCCTCATCTTTCCATTTCAGTCTACATACAGTTTATAGTCACTTTGTTTTGGGGCAAAATGGAAATAGGGCAAAGTGACGGCAGGGCGAAGTGACATGGGGCGAAGTGGAAATGGGGCGAAGTGACCGATAACCCCATCTCAGATCGTACGTGGACCATAAAATGATTGACTACCTGTTGGGACATTATTTCAAATACTATACGCAGTACGTCACTTCGTGGCTATTGTTACGGCGGCAGCCGTAATGCGATTTTTTAACTGCTAACGTTAAGGAACAGTTTTGGGGTATGGGCTCCGTGCGCTAACAAAAGAGGGCGCGTTTTCATCTCTTTTGAATGCTCCGTGTACAGTAATGAATCATGTTATTTCAAGTCTATGACGCAAGACTTCCTGAATGTGCACAAGCTATAGCCACTGCGTCTTCCCTTGAGCATCAGATGTCGTCGGCGCGCGAATACATTTTAACCCTTTCCTTCCCATGGGCGACTTTTGTCGACAAGAACTACCCCCCTGCTGGTTCCCATGGGCGACTTTAGTCGACCAGGAAACCACACACAAAACACCCTCAACACAGATATATTCACTACTTTTCAGAAAGTCGGTATGTTGATATGTTTGGCCGCCCATACATCAACCATATACTAGCTGAAAGAGTGTTTTCGGATCTTTCTAATGGTGTAGTTTATTTATAGGGTTACCATTACAAAAAAATGAGAAAAGTGCTTCAGAAGTATCCATGCACAATTTGAGGTATGGAGTGCCATTTGGTCATGTGGTAAAATGGCTTGCAGTTTGATAAATGGGACCAGATGAACAAAAAGGCATAACTTTCTTATATTTGCGCATATGGACTTCATTTTTACATCAGATAAAAGAGTAAGGTTCAAGGAACAAACTTTACACACAACACCTATGATTTTAATCACTTCTTGGCAGTGAAAATCTGGGTTGAAAAAAGTAAGTTTTGGACTTGTGGTCAGTTTGTTCACGCTCTAGTGATTTCCGCATGACTGAGCAAACAATTCGGTCCTGGGGAGAGCCAAGTCAATAAACAATGTGGGCATGAAAGGGTTAATTCCACTTGCGATGGTCTCCGAGACTAATCCTCGCCTCCAATAACTTTTGATACATTCAAAGAACGCAGTGGATGGATCTGGAACCAGTCTAGGTCACCCCCAACTCTCCTTTTCTGGCTGTTGATGGGATACTTGTGCACGGAGCCCATGGGCTTATTATATTCATATGTGTGCAACTACGAGTTGGCTCGCTTACAAGTTCACATTTGCACACAAAACGTACTTGTATAAAGTTGATCAAGCTATCCACAAATTACAACTTGCACAGAGTTTCTAATTCCCCAGAAACAAGAAGAGTTGTCCTCAAAAAGACTGAGACTGAGGCCTTTTCCCAATCGACGGCTCCATATCTAGCTCCATCTCCATTGAGAAACTACATGTCTGAATCCAGAGACGGAGTCACGGAGACAAAGCCGGGGTTTTGAAAATGGCCTTTGTACAATTTCTGGATGATTTAAAAATGTGTAGTGGTCACGCTTGTATCTTGACCAAAGTGCAAGCAAAATGGTATGAGCGTTTCAAGGCGTCTGTCTGCTACACTAAACGTAATGATAATATGGCATTGGCGGCAAGCTGGACAGCTCTAGTTGATCAGTATTAGTTGGACAGTCTGACAGTGACTCAGTCAGTCAGAGGACGGTAGGCTGGTTCTTTGATGCCAGTTGAAACATGAAATTTGGGGTCTGAAAAATACTTTTATACACTTGTTGGAAAATAGGCTTATAAATTGTTTGATGACTCACGTGCTAGTTTTCTCTTAATCTGGCACTACTTATAAAATATGCAGAAAACTTGCAAAGTAAAATTTAGACCAACTCTCTCTCTCTCAAGATATCACAATTTTACAAAATATTCTCTCAAAAAAGATATAAAGTTTATTGTAATCAGTCCTGGATTTTATACTTCTATGCTACCATTCCGTGAGGAAGTCGAAATGGCTGATTATCCCAAATGTGATGGTAAAAGTAATGGCATTGTGATTCTACACTCTTTCCCGATATGATTGAAACAAATTTTAAAGGAACTTGGAAGTATTTGTGTCTTTAAGATCACGTAAATCCATCCAGCAAACACCCAAACACTGAAGTTGACTTTCAACCAAATTTGTTTTATTCCTTTTTTAGTTTGTTGTAGATTCTGCTCAAAGGACTGACAGTAGTTTACTCCAACTCCAAGATGCCCCTTGCAATGAGACGAAAGCCCAAGATGGCTAACATCCAGCAGGTGAGGTGGAATGACAACCAGCAGAAACTTCATTATAAAAAACATGAACATCATAATCATTGTTGCGGAAAGGACATTTATTTATTGTTTCACCTGCAAGTGCCAATTGAGGGCGCTCTTGTTGAGGACCATTATGTTATTGGCTGAATTAGGAGCACGAAGTTAAGAGCATTTTGAGGTGGTGTTTGCGAAAACATACGATGTTCGTTTAAGATTTCTAAGATGTTTGAGGATACAAATATGCTGACAGGGCCTCTACACATTGCAGATAACAGACACTTGGCTTAGTTGTGAGAGCTCTGTTGGTACGTCACTTATATTATCTAATTGATCTCCACATAACGTTACATTTGTACACATGAACAATTCATTGAGTATAGTTCTTCAAGTCATCGGTTATTGACCATTCAATTGGAGTGTCCATCATAGTATATTGAGAACTGTGTGTACAAACTTGGCCATCTGTAAAGTGTCTTTAGGACTAGTACAACAAAGTTAAGGGAGAAGTGAACCCTTCCAGTCTATAACTTTGGAGGGCTGTTTATTGTGAGCATTATTTTAAACCAGACATTTACGAACAGCGAGACTGGTATTGCCACTGCCCTGGTGTCTTTAGATTACTCGCATTAATGTTGATGAACCAGAAAATGCGTGTTTAACTACAGCTAAGTGACAAACAGCAGACAGAGGGAGTTCTACACAGCCAAAATCAATCACAATCATATGGAGCATTGTTGGTCTAACCAGTTTGGACTGGCTAACCAGTTTGGACTGGCTAACCAGTTTGGACTGGCTAACCAGTTTGGACTGGCTAACCAGTTTGGACTGGCTAAACACTTCGAACTGGGTAACCACTTTGAACTGGCTAACCGGTTTGGACTGGCTAACCGGTTTGGACTGGCTAACCACTTTGGACTGGCTAACCACTTTGGACTGGCTAAGCAGTTTGAACTGGCTAACCGGTTTGGACTGGCTAACCGGTTTGGAATGGCTAACCAGTTTGGAATGGCTAACCAGTTTGGAATGGCTAACCAGTTTGGACTACTGAGTCTTAATCTGGGGAGGAGGTGGACAGCAGTGCAGGCATAAAAATAAAAAAAAATCCATAACTTTTTCATTTTTAAACTGCACAGCAGGGCCCTTGAATTTCAAGCTTAAAGCATGGCATCACATACAGTTCAGGGGGTGGGAAAGATGCGTAATTGCCTGGGCAAAATAGATCATGTGCAGTTAAACTTCAGCTGTACATGTGCTTGTAAACATAATGTGTTTGGGCATACATGGTCAGTGGTTGATGTATGTTCAGTGGTTGATGTATGTTCAGTGGTTGATGTATGTTCAGTGGTTGATGTATGTTCAGTGGTTGATGTATGTTTAGTGGTTGATGTATGTTCAGTGGTTGATGTATGTTCAGTGGTTGATGTATGTTCAGTGGTTGATGTATGTTTAGTGGTTGATGTATGTTCAGTGGTTGATGTATGTTCAGTGGTTGATGTATGTTCAGTGGTTGATGTATGTTCAATGGTTGATGTATGTTTAATTGTTGATGTATGTTTAGTGGTTGATGTATGTTTAGTGGTTGATGTATGTTCAGTGGTTGATGTATGTTCAGTGGTTGATGTATGTTCAGTGGTTGATGTATGTTCAGTGGTTGATGTATGTTCAGTGGTTGATGTATGTTCAGTGGTTGATGTATGTTCAGTGGTTGATGTATGTTCAGTGGTTGATGTATGTTCAATGGTTGATGTATGTTCAGTGGTTGATGTTTGTTCAATGGTTGATGTATGTTCAATGGTTGATGTATTTCACCTGGGCATTTGGAGCCATTGAGGAGGTACTTTGAAAGGCAAGTCAGTTGGGCATGCAAAAGAAGGTAGAAATTGCTCGTTTTGTTGGAATAACAAAGTGTGCAGTGTTTGCTTTTGGTTGGGTTCAGGGTGAAAGTCCTCTCTAGCATGCTAAGAGGTTGAGAGTTGTGCCCATTTCAACCCTTTGCACATTGTGATTCGTTGCTTTCTGCACAGATTCACCACGATGAGCCCAAGGGACCAGCTCTGCGTCAGAGCAAGCGACGGTCCAGTGGATCACCAAAGGGACAGCAACCAACAAAGAGGGCAGCCTTTGGTGACATCACCAATGTGAGTACATCCCATTAAAACCCAACAAATGCCAAATTGTGTTGTAATGTAGCAAGACACGCAGAGAGAAATAAAAGCACATGAACCCCGAATTGACTTCAACAACTATATTCTTGTGCTTATGCCTTACATACAAATTGTTTATAAAGACTTCACCAATCAACTGTGCCAAATTTTTTGTCTAGATACAAAAGAAAAAACATCTGAGAATAGGCACTGTGTCACTGAAGTGTCCACCAATATTTAATGCTAATGTTTTGAGTTATGAATTGTGTTATGATGTATACATATTGACTGGCAATGAGGTTAATACTACTGCATGTCTATATACCCTGAGGGACTGTGAGAGACCACAAGAGGGTCTGTGAGTGACCACAAGAGGGTCCAGTCCTATTTCTCTCGGCCTTCGGCCTCTGGAAGTAGGACCGGACAGTCTTGTGTTCACTCACAGGGTATATAGAACAGGATGAATGTTGAGAAGTCAGTGTTGAATTTGAATTCATCTACTCAAACCGTCATCCTTTTCTTTTAAACTACAAATAAATTATTATTTCTTTTTCCAATGTAGGCAAAACTCATCAGAAAAGAAGGCACGAAGAAAGTGAATATTGTGTCTTCCAAGAAATCCACCACGGCACAGCAGGTACCCAAAATGAAGGAACCGCTGCTGTTGGTAAAACCCAAGACAGACACGGTGACACACCCGGTGACACACCCGGTGACAGACACCCAGCCTGAAGCCCAGGATGAGAGCCTTGAGATCATCTTGTCACAGGGATCGTCACAGGATTCGTCACAGGATTCATTGCCAAGTTCACAGGAATCCAGCTCATCTTCACATCAAATGCAGTCATCCTCAAGGTAGACTATGTTTACCTGTAATGTCATAACAACTGGCAACTGGCAGGCAACCCAAACATGCAAACATCTTTTGCATAACATTTTGCATACTTTAACCCTCCCTCTCAGTGACAAAATGGAGAGATACCCTATCTGTTTTGTTTAACCAAGGAATGAAATCTGTGAGTCAAGCAATTTTTCATATATTTACTTTCACAGCTCATCTCCAGAGAGTGTGGATTTGGTGGAGTTAATGAATCAACGTAATGATGAGAAGACGACGGAGGCAGATATCAAAGACGCGGTGAGTAGATTTCAGACAAACAAAAAAGTGGACCATGGTCAATGTCTCTCAGTTTTACAATAAAGCCATGTGGGATGCCCCGAAAAGTATTTAATGCCACAAACCATGTTCAAATTCAAGATAGGAGTGGTATCAAGGTGAAGGTGGTTAAAAAAAAGTGCCTGAAATTGTGAAAATGTATCTTCATTTTTCTCTATGCAAAGCTTCCTTTGAAAACCCTCTCTCCCAAAATGTTCATTAATTAATACTTTTTGAATGTCACCCTCTTGTGATATGATCCCAGTTTGTCACTCGGGAAAATAATTCTCATTCATGTAACTGATTGCAAACTAAATTTAAATTTGGTCAGTTGGAGCAGTATTTAAAAACAGCCAGTTGTTTCAGCTAATGGTTTGTTCCTAACTATCTTGAATGCAGAATACAGAATGCTTGATCCTATCATTTAGTCACAATTAAGAAGGATATTTCATAATGTTTTGGCAGTTTCGATTTTGAATGTTTGCAAATGTTTTCCATACCTTTAACCACCTATTAGATGTTTTTCCCTGTGAATGCTTTGACGGTGTTACTATGTATTTGTGTTGGTTTGGAGCAGGTTGCAGCAATCACTTTACAAGAATCACCCGACTACAATGACATAGATGAGGAGAACAAAGGTGATCCCAACCAGTCACCGATCTATGCGCAGGATATCTTCAACTACCTCAAAGAACGAGAGGTGAGGGCATGGTGTAGCCATTAGCTGGAACCAATACTACTCAGTACTAAGCCTTCAATCGGTTATCAGGAAATTCACTACTACATGACAAATGCATATAGTTCAAGAAATCTACCAGGCCAGTTTAAAATCATTCGTATGCAGCAATTAAAGCAAAAAATAAGAAAAATTGCATGACTGTTTTCCTTGAAAAGGGCCCTAAGGTACAGAACTGCAAGCAAACAACAGTTGTGTTTTTTTCCCCGATTAATTAATGGAAACTGAATTGCTTTTGGTAAGTGTATACACTGCAACACCTATGACTGTAGATGCTCTGCTTCGGTGCTTTGTTGATATTAACATGCCAACTTTCATTAGACAAGACAAATCACTTAACAATAGGACTTGTTAAACACTTTTCCCTAGACCAGTATCTAAAGCACTGACTTGATCCAGTGGATACTTCAAACCCCGTTTATACAACATACATCCATTTGCTGCACTATCCCAATCCTCTACTCTTCTTTTTCCTCAGTAGATTCAAATTTTCATTTTGTATCTTACAGCTAAGAACCCCCATAGAGTCCTACTTTGACCAGCAGCCAGAGGTGAATCGTCACATGAGGGCGGTGTTGGTGGACTGGCTGGTGGAGGTCCAGGAGAACTTTGAGCTGAACCATGAGACATTGTACCTGGCTGTCAAGCTGGTAGATCGCTACCTGATGAAGAAGAAAGTGACAAGAGATATCCTTCAGTTGCTGGGGGCAACGTCACTCTTCATTGCCTGTAAATACGACGTGAGTTGTCATTTGCAAGCTATATTCCCCCCCCCCCCAATAATTGTCGGTCATATTGCTTCTGTATAAATCCTCCGGATGTGATAATGATATTTTGCTCTAAAACTACAATACATTGGACATTCTCTGTCTTACAGACTGTTACATTGTCAGATATGCCAAATTTTCCAGGATATTTTCAAATTGATACTGACTATCAGACACTGGAAATTTTTACTTGGGAATTTTCAGTGCAGACTTGCCATTTTTCTGGGATTGTGAAATATTAAATGAAACAATAAGATTTTGGGTAATAAATTATACCTCTAGAGGTTAAAATATTTCTTCATTACGTAGTAATCAAATACATAGTGAAACTGAGAAAAAAATATACCAAGTGGGTATGGTACTGGGTTGTTGACCCCCCCCCCCAACTTGGGTTCTATTTGTGGTGAATTAACCAGACGTTGATATTTTGTGGATCTGATTTCAGGAGCGTTGCCCACCTGCCCTGGATGACTTCAAGTACATCTGTGATGATGCCTATGAGAGGCAGCAGTTTATTGATACAGAGATGGTCATCCTGTCTTTGCTGGACTTTGATCTAGGCATTCCGCTATCCTACCGATTCCTCAGAAGATATGCTAAGGTAAAGCTGCAAGCTCTTATGTTCTTAAAAACGGGGCTTGTAGGGACCAATATTTGAAAGTCAGTGCCAAAATTAGAAAAGCAAAAATTTGCAATTACAATTGGAAAAGCTGTTTTTTTTTTAAAGCTTGAGTTAAGTAATGTTTATCGTTTTACATGTTTGTGGTTAAAATAATTGGTAGAAATAGTTTCCATTAACCCAAATGGGCATGAGTATCCTATGTGTGCAGCCATTCTTGGCATACTTGCATGGCTCTGCTTACCAGAATTGAAATATTTCTGCTTACTGTAGCAGAAAATTCACGCTTGCGGTTTGTATATTCGTAGGTAAGTATGGATTATGAGCTGCCTAGGTATTCACAGATTGTCTGCGTTATAGCTCTGTAAGCACAGAATAGCGATTGTAAGTGCAGTCTTTTGATGTTAGCTAAGCCCTGAATATTGGGACTGGCTTACTGGTGTTTATAACTTACAAAGTCTTTGCACCATTGACTTGATAAAAATGTTGGCTGTTAAATTTGAAAATCAATTATTAAAATTCGATTTGACTTTTTCTAATGGGACGTCAACTAGAAGTCCTGATTACCAGTTCGCCTGTCGCACCACAAAGTGACGTATGGTGTGCACAAAACCCATAGACGATTCGTCCCTTCGTGGTACATCCAACGGATTCTTACCCAACATTTGGTCTTGATCAATGTTCTTGTTGGGTTTGTTTGTTCATGACAGTGTGCTCATGCCTCCATGGAGACCCTGACTCTAGCTCGCTTCATCTTGGAGCAATCGTTGATGGACGCTCAGTTCCTTGAGACGAGGGACTCAATGATAGCAGCGGCTGCACTCTTACTGGCATTCAAGATGACCAAGACAGGAGAATGGGTATGTTAAACATCCATAGGTGTTGCCTTGTAGAGATTACCACATCTGAGTCTGATTACTTCTGTCTGATTTCCAGTCTATTCAAAAGTGGACTTGATTCCGACTTGATTCCCAGTCTAAACTTAGTCCCACAATACCTGCAGTAAATATGAAAAATGTCCCCAAAAGAGGTGTCACAATGAAATACCTCAATCCATGTTTAAATTGGATTCAGCCTCAATCCTCCAAAATCATCCGTTATTTCTTGAATTTGTTCGGTCAAGGTAGAGACCACTGCCTCAATCCTTCAAAATCCTCCAACATTCATTGTAAATATATTAAGGGCGGTGTCAATGATATCCAGAAACAGTGGAGATGGTATCCAATATATAACATGGGCCTCTATGCTGGGTACAGCCTATGACCTCGACACAATGTACCATCCAAAATCACCTTTTTTTGTCATTCAGCCTCAATCATTAAAAATCATCCAAAACCACTTGGAAGATTCAGGAGGGCTACTGAAAGTCGCACATGAATTTTGAACAGCCTTTACTGGTATGTCTAAGACATGTACACAATTATGTATGCATCCATTTACATACATGTATACATCTAGCATGTGTATACACACAGTCTAAATTGTTGGTTCCTAGTATTTCATGCTGTGTATGGATTACATTTGATGCTTTCATTTGCTATTATCCATCAGGATGCCACCCTTCAGCACTACTCAGGCTACAAGGAATCTGAACTGATGGACCTGACTCGTCAGCTGAACTCCATGCTGGCCGCTACACCCAACAAGCAGCTCATGACCATCAGAAACAAATACTCACACAAGTAAGTGTCTCATTAGGTAGATAAATCATTGCTTTAAATCACTCTGTACAATCCAACTAGGACTTCAAAGATTGTTTTTGTGAATTGTTTAACACTTTGTTTAAGTTTTTTTGGGTATACAATACTTCTTCAAGGCAATCAGGGTTTGGGAGAAAACAATTTCCACTTTTAATTGGGACTGGTTTCACAGCTTGTGCTCAGTTCTCAGTATTTTGTTAGCATTATTACTGCATAGCAGCTCGGCTTGGGACTAAAAATGATTTGATGAAATGAATTTCACTGTTTCTATGCCATTTGTACTATATTTGTTCTGCAGAGTTTTCTATGAAGTTGCCAAGCTCCCAGCCCTAGATGTGCTCCAGTTATAATGAAGACTTCAAGACTGCAATCCCTTGAATTCACCTTGTTTACGTTTGATGATTACATGCGAGGAAACACAAGTCGGACAGGCGGAGCGTGAAGGAACAAATGCAGAGCTGTGGTGCTTTTCACAAGCTTTGGCAAAGGGGTTTTGTCAGTGATTTTGTAAAGGAGGAAGCGTCTTCAATTGTGCTATCCTTTCAGTGATGAATTGGACATTTGAAAGAGGTGATCATTGACAATTGTGTTTGTATTTACGTCTTTAAAATGCAGTTTGAAATTGAATCTCACAACAGAATTTTTTTTTTTAGCAAGCACGTTGAAAACTTTGGTTAAAATCATGCCATATGTTCATTGAGGATGAGCTAAGGGAACAATGCTTCAAAGAAATGGATGGGCAACCTCTAATACCACAGCAACAGTCAGTTGTCATTGATGTACAGCTCAGTGCAAATGAACCTCTGTAACCCAACACACTTGATATTAACTTTAAAAAAATGAATGTCACAGACCAATGTGTTGAAGAATATTTGAAACAGTTTTTAAAAATGCAGATACATGTACGTGAACATGTTTTTTCTAAAACATGTCTGTTTTTGCCATGTCATTTTTTACCAATTCTTTTAAATTCACTTTTATCATGACTGCAGTTATCCGCGCTCTCGTGCAATTATTTCTTAATCAGTTTTACACAAAGAGCCTGTCGACTTTTTAAACCTTTTTTGACTTGGTAAAATTAATGATAACACTTTTTTTATATGATGCCAATTATGTTCATCCACTAAAAACATACACTGTCTCCTTTTTTTGTATTTTAAAATCTTATCATTGGCAAGAGCAACTCTTTATTGATGAACTGGAATGTTGTACCATCGGGCTGACAATTGGTCGTTTTAAGTTCCCTCTAAATCATGATTTTGAACTGCATATATTCTGTGTGTGGTGTTTGTTGTACAGTTTGTAAATATGTATTTTCAGTAGTAACGGAAAATTGGCTTTGATGACCTTTGCCAAGTCAGGGAGCAAAAAAGACCAATGCAGTTGTAAAAAAATGTTCCTTCTAAAAAAAACCATGTCAAGTATTTTGGTGGTGTGAAATTTGTATTTCTTAGTTTTCTCTTTTTACATTTTCGTGTACATAAACCAGGCACATTTTTATACAGGAAAAGTGCATTTGTTGGGTGTTTCGTCTCTTGTGAAACACCAATCTCATTTGTCAACACAGACATATTGTCAGTACACTACAACATATTTGGAATGGTAGGATCCCCAAACTGTCTCGTAATGCAGACCTGCATTGCTACCTTGTGGCTTTCAGATTTTCGCATTCTAATGATCAAAATTTGTCCATTATTTTAAGGGTGCTAAGGTAATATCCTCGTCATTATAAATGAGACTAGTTTGGACTCAAGAGACTAGTTTCTGCAGAAAGACTGTGTCATTTGAATCATGTAAACTTTCATTCAGCATCACATCAGTGTCTTCCAAATATCTTTGGTTTTTTTATCTTTCTCAAATGAAGTGTTTGCAAAATTCATTCTCATTAATCGCAGTCCAACATTACAAAATTAACATTTAGAAACTGTTGGATTTAATCAAAATACATGTATATAAACAGTCAAGACAGTCCCTACCTAAAAAAATACCAATTTGTGAAGAAAAAGGTGAATCAATCAACAATGTCAGTAACAATTCTCACAAACTTTCCAGTTTCTTGAACCCAGGGATTAAAAAAAACCAGAAAATTAAATCACTTTGGTATTGGAGAACTTGCTGGATTTTTTTTGTCTCAATGTTTCACATGGATTTCTGTTGATATTTATGATTCAGTTATTTCCAAATTTTAGGCCTTACGGTATTACCATTAAATAACGGGTTTCAAACTTTAAATAGAATTTTAGAATTTCAAATGATTTGAGCACCACTCGTTGTCAGTGTGTGGACAAGTCATTTGAAACATTAAATGGTGCATTGTCTTATAAAACTGAAGAGAAATAAAATATGAATGGTATAATGTACATCTTTAACTTGGTTATTTTCAAAGGCGTAATTCTGTTGAGTAAAGCTTGATATTGTGAAGGACCAAATACAATCTGCATCCCCAGCAGTGTGTTGTGCTCATCGTGACATTAGTACAGAGCGTTCTGTTCAAAAACAAGTATTCTGACACCTAAAAATGAGAGATAACGCATTTGCGTTGGCTTCTGGCTGCCTCAAATGGCATCCTCTTATTTTGGAATTTTGAGACTCGGCTCAGCTGGAAAATTGAAATAGTTTTGTGAAGGAAAAAAATACACAAGTCTTAAATATGAAGGCCTTGATAGAAAGGATGCTGTTTAGTTCAATTTGAATGTTTAATACAAGAGTTTATCCAATCGAGAAAGTGCTATCCCCTAATTTCTGCTATACCTAAAAAAGACACTTGCAATTTACAACATAAAGCAATTTACAACATAGAGCAGCATCTATTCTATTTGCACAAACAAAAGAGGGTGCTGTGTGGCCGAAAGAAAAAGACACTTCACATTGCGTTATACCCCGCCACTCGGAAATACATCCCTAAAATGAACACACGGCAGGTAAGGTTTGCCTTAACAAGGGAGGAATGAGTTGGTTCTCACTGCACCCTTCTAAAGGAAGATGTGGCAATCAGCCACTGCACGCAAATTTTGTTTCCATTGGAAGGTGAAACAATGAATAATTCAGTACTTTTTATAGGAAAATTTATGTTTACTCATGAAAAGAGAATGACTTGAACAACATTGTTATCATTTAGTCAGGTTACATTACAGCATTGTAAAAAAAAAATGGCTGTGGTCAAGTTGCCACAGAAGCCTAGTGGATATTGAGATGAGCTATGGATCGAAAGATCTCTGGTTCGAATCCACCGATGCCCCTATTTAAATGACTGTTTTTCTTCTCCAAAATTTAACAGCTACTTTTTCCTGCATGATTTCCCATTTTTAGCATTTTTACCAAAGCGGGGATACTTGTGGATGGACTCCATGGCTTGTGTGCTACCTTGTAAATTGGTCCCAAATACAGAGTACATTGTATGCCAAGTCTCTGATATTTCGCTTGTCTGGCACCCTATCCAACAAAATTGTGCGAAGAAAACACATATTTCACAATGCATGGTGTGTAACTACTGCCACAATAAACACATGTGTGGGAGAGCCATCACCGCGTTATGGGGCAGTTTTTATTGTTAGGCAAATTAGGACCGGGTTATGGGGGACTTTCTGCTGTCCCCACAGCGTCTTCAGTCCCCATAATACCGTGGGACAACTTGTGTACATGTACAGGGTTCCTTAAGGGGTAGAAAACACAATAGAACAGTAAACCCCATAAGGAAGTCTTTAGAAATCTATCTACCCCATAAGGGGAATGCTATGGAGTTTGAGATTTCAGTAGGAACAAAGGTCTTCCCCAAAAGTATATGTGTGTCTGTGCAAGTGTGTCATGCACACATGGCAGTGTCGACTGCCCACTCACTGGTAAGGGAAAATCTGTTCATTGACAGCTCATGAAATTAGAGGTCACTGTAGCATCCTTGGATAGGGCGGTGGATAATATTAGTTATCTTGCGAGCGCGAGTGGAACACGGAATAATGTAGTGCATCTGTGTCCCACATACCACGAGGCCGAAGGCCGAGTGGTATGTGGGACACAGACGCACTACATTTTCCGTGTTTCCACGAGCGTGATAACGAATTTATCTTCAAGCAAATTTGACGCACAGTAAAAGTTGGAACACGCATGCTGTGTAACCTACGCACAACTGTTGAATTCCCAGTGAATTGTGCAGCACTAATCGCGTCACGTAGGCTTAGAATAGCGCAATACGCGGAGTGCGGTATGGACCGTGGCCGTGCGGTATGGTTATATGTAGCACGGCTTGTTGCCATGGATCGACCAATCAGGATCGAGGATTCAAGTTTGCTTGAAGATAAAAGAGAATATCACATCTCCCTGAACACATAACCATTTGTGCCAACTCAAAAAAGATTATCTGAAAAAGAAACTGCACTCGATGCCAGCTTTACAAAGTCCAATTCTTTTAACCTTTATTTACAAAAAGTGTGACATTCCGAACAAAATTTAGTTTTTATCATTTTGATACAGATCAATATCCTGTCCAACATCCTATGCAATAGATAGTCATCTTCATCTTACTTATACATACATGTCACTCAAATACCTGAGTGCCGTTCCATTTAGCCACTCTTCCACACAAATTCACTTGGCCAATAGCTATGCGTCCCCACATTAAAAAACAAAATTGAAGAAATTTTCCAAAACTTCCTTAAATGTTGTTAAAGAAACTGAGCTGTTTCCAGCATACAGGTTCTCCATAGCCCATAGGATCATTTATGATTTTTGCCCAGACACTTTCCAACAAATCTTTAAAACCCAACTTCAAGTCATAATGAGACTGATAGGATACACCCTATGGAATTATTCTAACACAAATTTAGGAGGAAAGAAATTAGTGTAGGTTATTTTACTAAATGATAAATTGTCAAACTCGGGTCCTTTGTACAAATGCGAACCTGAAGTGTTATTCTGGGCCCTATTTCATAGGTCTCACTCTGCTAACCACAAACGTTGGCTGACAGCGGCAAGCATTTGCTTACCAGAAACAGCTTACCAGACACGAAGTCATGCAATGTATATATCACAAATGTAGTTAAGTCATAGAGCTATATTACATTACTAGAGTGCTTACTCCTCATTCTTACGTGCGGAGATACTTTGAAGCCGTCCTGCGCGCAGACATTTTGAATTCACGTGCGTGTTTGTAGAACATAATGAAAAGATGGATTTTGAAAGTGTTCTCTAAATGTATTGCGCAAGAACAACTTACGCAAACAACTTAAGCTCGTCATGACAGTTATAAAACATCACGGCAAAAATCATCTGCAGTGGATACGCGCACGCGTTTGCGTTGTTTGTGCAAGGCAAAATGCAACGTTCATTTACTCATTGTGCGTTTCAGTTTTGGGCATACATGCATAGGTTCCAATAACGCACCTGCATAGAATACAAACGCAGATATGCAAATAGCTGTACACAATTTTTGAGTTTTCCCATAGGTTTGTGCACAAACATGGATGCGCCCAGCAGGCATCACTTTGTACAACCAGTCAGCACTCTAGTAATGTAATATACATGTAGCTCTATGAGTAAAGTCTATCACAAGTCTAGTCCAAGAAAAACACAATCCTAAAAGTGTCGGTGTTTGGCAAGCAGATGTAGAAAACGGAAAATTTTAGCCCCGACAGAAGCATTGCATTCATTGTGTGTCGGCCATTTTGGAAAACACAGTAAACAACTCAGGAAGACTGTTGGCCTTTGTTGCCAACATGCGCCAACAGTCGTTCCCACGGACCCCTGAAGGCAAACGGATATCCAACGATTTGTTATTATTAAAGAAGTACTGTTTCCATCCACTTGCAACCTTTTCGTTTTTTCAATACACTGTATCCAAATGTACATGATTCCTCTGAAATAAGAGGGATTGATAAGACCACATGATTCTGTGAAAAGATTGTGACATTTATATTACCCACTATTCCATCCAACATTTCAGGTATTTCTGCCTTTTTTTTTTTAAAACAAATCCTTCAATTCATTCTCATTACCCAAGGTTAAAAATGTTGCTTTAAACCTAGATTAGGGTCATTTCAGCAAAGAGATAATAAACAAAACAAAACAAAACTTGTAATTTCTAAAAACCAATACTTTAGATAAAAGCTTTTCAGCAATTTCCCCCATTCCTCCCCCCCCCTAAAAAAATCTCTTGTGAGTTAAATTCCTGGATCTTTCCCTGATCTTGAGAAAAGGGGTGGGAGTTAGGTTGGAGATGGGGAAAGAACAGTATAAATCGATCCGCACAGACTCTTGGCAGTCCCAAATAATGTCAAGAAGCACTGTGACAACGTGTGTGCAAATCAACTGTTCAACGACGTTTACTGAAACCAATAGCTGACAAAATACTTCAACTATTACTGGGGGCCTCCATGAGAGCACACTGTTTTCGAACTAGTTTATACCATCTCCTTCCCCCAACTCCACCCATCCCAACCCCCTTTTTTCCAATAGCACCCCTCTGGTTTCACCCTTTTAGAGGGCCACTTTACGCCCCTCAATACTGATGGAGATAGCACGTGGGTTCTTGTTCTTGCTCCGCGCTTTGGCGTCTTTGAAGCGTTTCAGATGCTTGTCTAGTTTGGTGGGTTCTTTCTTGCCACTCTGTAAAGAAAAAAAATGCAGACAAGTTTTTATCCTCCGAAAAGACTTGTCAAGTATTGGGAAGAAAATCTACAAGCATATTTGTTTCAGGTTCTGGATGCAGACTGGCAGCTTTGTCTCCAAACTTGATACATGGGAATGGTTGTTTATATGTATACATGCTAACTCAAGAATTTGATTGGGTATAGTAGTTTGTAGGATTTAATGACCACTGAAAAATATTTCAAGGTTGTAATGGTGAAAATATGAGTAGGAACTCTCTGATTAGTCCAATGGGCAGGCTATTCATGAACCAAAGAGACTGCTAGTGAGTGAACGTAGTCACAATCAGAGACCATGGAGCAAATTTGGAGATGTTTTAGATGTTTTCTTTAGCTTGTGTAACAAAAAATGAAAGGCTAAAAAAAAATTTACGGTTAGTTTCGAATATCCGGTTTCTAAAATCAAAATTGAATAGTTGAATTCCAACCAAATTTCAAAAACTCTGGATTTTAATCCCACCTCTACTACATTCCAAATGATTTGTTCCTGAATGTTTGAAGAAAATCACAGTTGCTGTGAATTTGGACTTTTTCTATGCATATGGTAGTTAGAAGCCTAATGGGGTGTGGATTGGACTCTTCAAGGAAGACACACAAGGAAGCCCTTTGGTCAGTAATAATGAGCAGGGTCTCACTCAAATTGGCCCGAGTAGTGGAGTTGGGTCCTTCCTGTTCTTTGTATGTATCCCTTTTTCCCAGTTGGGGTGAATGCCATCAAAATGGTGCATCCCGTGTTTGTACAATAATGAGCATGAACAAGTTTTCAGACAGATAACCATGTTTATAGAGTAAACATACATATCACATATCACCCCACGTATCATTTCTAAGGCAAGAATCTTGGCACTACATTTTAGCACAGTTTGTAGCAAGTCATGTGTTATATTGTGGTATCGTATTGCCACTATACGGAACAATTTAGTCCTCTCTTACCTTGGAGAATTCTTTCTCTACGTTCCACTTTGGTCGGACCACATAGTCCTTGGTAGATGGTAGGGGTACCCTGGCTCTACCAACCCAACCCTTGTCTCCAGGTCTCAAGGCCCTGCAACACAAAGGAAAACACTGTTAACCCTAAGCGCTGAGATATATTTACCTAAATCTTCCTAAATCTTTACCAAAATCATCCACTTTTCAGAGAGCTGACAGCACATTTTTTACACTCAAACTTTAACGATGTACTGTCAATGCTACTTTCTGAGTTTCTCCCTGAAAAAAAACCAGATTTTTTTTTTTACATTGCTTTGTTTCTAGCTATACCGTAGTTATTCATTTTGTCAGCAGGTTGCAGATGCCAAAAGTAGCACAAAAGCATAGCTGCCAACTATTACGATTTTTTCGTAATTATTGTAAGAATTGTTTGTTAAATTACGAAAATACGATTTGCCACTAAAAAATTACGAATTTCCCATTTTCTCCCTAACAAAAAAAAAATACTTGTTAAGTATCGTTTTTGACCGAAAACTTCTGGCGAAATGTTGCGATAATCGATGGACTGGTGACAAGTCTAATAAGCAATGCGGTCAAGCACCTGATAGACATCAATGCAGTGTGCGCAGTGGAGTATTTGAGGACCAGACTAAAAATATTTTTCAATGGTGTGCCATTTGTGTGCATCTCGTGGATGTGTGGTTGGGTGTGTGTACTGTATGTGTGAGTACTTTTCAATGACGATCGTGAGCACATTTGGTCGCTTATTGCCGGGATGAGACCCATCAACGCGACATTTTAATCATGGAATTTAATAAGAGTATGGTTGGAATAATTGGTAATAGAGTTTGAGTTTATCACAACGTCCAGAAAAGATAAATCAGCATGCGTTTGCAAGGTATGTTGGCGGGATATTTCTATTGCATACGGTGGCCCTAAATCATTGTGTGTAAAATCACGATACGAACTCGAAACTCAACATCGATAGCATGCATCTCAAAAAAAAAAAAAAATGCGCACATGTTATTATTGTTATTATTTATTTGACTTCAACAAACAAATACAGACAGTAAAACAAAATGAATTTTAAAAAAAATTATTAATATTTTTTTTTCGAAGTGGCTATCATTACGGCAGCTGTTGTTTAGCGCCCTCTACGATACTTTTTTGATACGCACGCAGGTATATAATTATTTGTTTCTCCACGTTTTAGCGAGCAGTGCGACAGCTCAGACGATAGAGGGTAGGATTTTGCACCGCGAGGTTGCGTGTTCGCATCTCAGTTTTGCACTCGAATTTTTTTCCTTTTCTAACCTGAGGCTTTGGAGGATTTTTTTTAAAAGGGAAATAAAGTCCGAATTTCATAACGTTCAAATTCACTTTTTTCCTTCTAATTTTATATTTTCTTCTCATGTTTTTATAAAAGTTGCAGTACTACCGTAACGATAGAAAATGGGGATGCGTTACGGCTGCCGTAATGATAGCCACTGCGTTTGTTTGTTTTTTCTTCTCCTTTTTTTTTTTTTTTTAATTATCTTTTGGCCTACAGTACATTATTATTCACAACAAGAATGGTATACACATGTAAACCATGTACCTGTACTCGATGTTGGTATAAAAGCTGGTACATACACTTTTGATAATAGGAGCAGTTGAAAATGACCGCGCGGGTTGATTACTCATTGGGATTTTGAAAAGTTGGCAGCTATGCAAAAGTATCTTTTTGTGAAAATTAAACATACAACACGAGAATTTGTTAGAAGAAAAAAATGGAATTTGTTGAAGACCACAGACAGTGTATCTTTAACACAGGCCTCACACAATATAAGTATTATCATCAGGGATGTAGCCAAGTCTATCACAAAGTCCCTGCAAGTCCATACAATTCATCCAGTCCCAATTCAACTCACAAGCTATTCAAAGGAGCTTTGACAAAGGCATTCCTTTGTTATTGTTCATCCACTGTTACTTGTGAATGGACTTGTGATGGACTTGTGACAGACTTGACTACATCCCTGAATATTATACATCAAGTGATCTTGTGTGGAGCCAAAATGTGTTCAAAACCAGTCACAAGGAATATATCGTTATGTCTTAAAGCTATGGTCCATCGTTTGCAGCCATCCGAAAAAGTAACTGGCGTATTATTGTTGAAAAACATACTTGGTTGAAAGGTAGTAAGTGGACTAAACTCCCTGAGACATTAATCTTTCTGGCAAGCTATCATATTGAAGTAATCAACGAAAGAAGGCCTTTCTAACGGTGCATCTTAAGACGCACCGTAGGAAAATTTAAATTAGTAGTTCGTTTTGTTATTCGGCGAAGCGCGCGCAAGCATTGGCACGATGCACAGGCGCGCGTGGTTGCTATAATTCGTCAATCAGTGCGCGACATCGCGTATAGCTGCGATTCAAAACAATTCAAAACATGATTCAGCAACTTTTGATTTGAAATTGAGATCCTAGAATGCTGTTTTTCTCGGAATATACAGCTGAAGCTGAGCTGAAACTTCATCAGGTTAGTTGTTCAGTATCCTTCATTAGATTTTGAACACTTCTGTTGCTTCAAACGAACAAAATGCACAAATTACAAATGATGGACTATAGCTTTAACAGGCGTCCAGAGCTATGGCTGTGTTTATTGTCAACATATGCCCACACAGTGTTAGCTGTCATTGACTTTGACATTAGCTCATGACAAGATATGCATTTGCCCTTCTGCCAAGCACACGGACAATTTATTCTGGAGAATTGAAAACTGATTGTGTATTGTAATGTAAAACTATGGACACTGGACGTTATTTAAATAGAACTTTGCTCATGACAAGTACCTACCTTTCTTCCCCTGTGAGTGCTGTCTCCATGCTATTGGGCTTGTGTGTAGCGCCATCTGTCGAACTGTATGTGAGAACAGGACAAACAGGGGAAATAGGACATTCACTTTTCAATTGTGTTTGTTCTTGTAGACCACATTAGACCGTTTGCACTGCAGCCATGTTTGAGGTGTGTGCTTTTGTTCAACAGGGATATGCATGAGCAGACCTCTTGTGCATTCATTGTTAATGAATTGACATAACAAAACACACCTCCAAGATGGCTGCTGAATGCAATCACTCCATTTGAAGCAATGGCTGCGGTGGCAACATATGTGCATGCATGTGAAATAGGTCCTTAAAATTGAGGTGCCTTGCAGTTTTAGAAAACTGTGTGCAGGGCCAAATATGGACCCTGTTTGTAGGAGAGTGCTCCAAGCATTGCAAGGACACTCTGAAACTGAGCAGACCAAACCAAATTTTCTGTGTCAACATGTGCAACATTGATCTACCTACCTTAACCGTCTCTTTTTGACTGCTGATAGCTGGGCTAGATCTCTCTCCTGACGCTCCTCCTTGCTCATGGAATGAAAATTGGCCTCAACTCCAAAGATTGGTCGTGACCAATCATCTGTGTTGACAAAATAATTAACAGGTGGTAACTTTCAGGTGGTAAAAAAATCCTGTGTGCATTTTGGTACCAGATATGTGCAAGATCTCTGTGGGTATGGAGCAGCAGTCAATCACCGATTGCAGTACCTGCTGCTAGAATTATTAGATTCAAGTTGGCCAGGCAACCAAAGTAGTTCCATGGTTGAGTGGTTTAGACATCATCCGAGTCCCACTCAACAAAACTGGTTAATTATTTTCTCCTTGTTTATTCTCTGCATTCTATATACTCAGTGTTGCGCTGTCTCACATCACTGAGTAAACAGTGCTAATCAAGTTGCGTCGGTGTGGTTCAAACACATATGTAAGTTTAGCAGCTAATCAGAATGACTCTTTTCAACTTAACAGCCAATCATAGATCAGGGTGAAGACACTCTGCTTACTGATTAGTCTTCCTGCTAAATCCCTACAGTGTCGCAGTTCCTTGGGATGTCTGTACAGGCACATGACTGCCTTGCCGATACCGCTGGTTTTCAACATGTGCTGGTCAATTGGTGGAAACTGTGAAATAAAAGTCAAGGTGTGATTTAACAGCGCTGCTGACAAAACAAATTGTTAAAAAAATCTGCTGAGAATAAGTGACAAATTTAAAAAATGCTGCAAAGTCCTTCCAAATCTCCGGGAGGATTTTGGAGGATTTGGAAGGGTTTAAGAAGAACTGGGAAAATTTGGGAGGATTTGGAGGGGTTAAGGTTTATGACAGGAGTCATTTTTTGTGTTTTGAGGCATGAACCCAATTAGGAGAGGGGGATATGACCTACCTCCTTGAGTACTCTTAGAAGGCTCTCCCTGACATGAAGGTTGGGTAGACTGTGATCTGGAAGTGGCATGAGCCATTCCTTCATGACTCTCAAGATGCCACAGTCTAGGAACGCTATCTGCAAGTCTTGCCTGTTTTCAACATCATAGAAACAGAAAATGAGTTCACTATTTTTACCCCAAAGCCATCGTTACCTCATTAGCCTTCCTGTATCCTTGTAACTCACCCACTAAACACAATTTTAATTGCACATTGTTTGTTAATAAACTGTTGAGTGACATCAAGCCCCATGTAACACATTTGTGTCTGGGCTTTTCATTCCTCCCCAAACCTCCTGCAGCCGATTTCAAGAAACTATAGGTAATTGCGTAACTCCACTTGCGCCACAATTTATTGGGTTAGTTGCAATACATTTCACACTACGCAACATTTCAGTTATGACACGTTTCACAAACGTTTGATAATGCGCAAGTCCGCGACTTGTCCAACAACATATGGCATGACTTGCCAAATCATTTTAGGTGGCGTAAGTTGTGGCGCAGCGACTATAAATGAACTATTTTACTAGCAAAATGTGATCATCGTGGAACCAGTCATTGCACAACTTATCAAGGTCGATACAAGACACTCACAGCTGTGTGTTTGAGTTAAGTGAATTGATATTTTACTTGTGACAGAGAATTTATAGAGTTGCCACATGATTCCGAAGAAAGTTGGATAAAATTACTTTTAAAATGGCAGTTGGAGGGGATTCAAAGACTGTTTCGTGACATATTATCCTCGTCCAACATGTTGAGATTATTTAAAACATTACGCAGCTTAAGTTTCGTGAAATCAATCGTTCAAAATCAATCAGAAGTTTACTGCACATCTGTGCAACATATTTGTTGTAACTTACGCACTGTTTCGTGAAATCAGCTGCTGAAGCCCAACAAAGTTTGGAGGCGTACATGTAGAAATACTGAACCTATTTGTTTTCATAGTCTTTCATTTTCATTACAACTATCAATGGAGTATGGATCGTGTAGTTTGGTGGCTTGACTTTTAATAGCGGAAACATTGGACCAAACACTTAATGACACACAATTTACTTTTGCTTTACTACTGCATATAACTGGTGGACTCTTTGTTTCATACATGCGTCAGTCCATTTTCATGTGTTCCATTTGTAATCTATCTCCAGTTTAGGGATTCTAGTAACTGCTAAGTTTCTTGTGAAAAAAAAACAATTTAACACTTTTCACTTAAGTACCTGAGAGTTCCTTGTCAAAAATTATTTCATGTCAAATATATAAGCAACTTGTTGCAAAAGCTAGCCAAGTCTTGTTGGAACTCACTTTCTAAGTTGAGACATCACAGAAGGCAACATCATTAACTTCTTGGTGGCTGCTTTCCTCATCTGATTTAATGAACGGTCTTCCTGCCATTGTAGAAGAGAAAATAAATTTACCCAGTGGTTAAATTACCAATGCCATTATATGCAGGCAAGCAGTTAGCATTTTAAGAGTGTATGTTTTCATGTTATACACCATGAAACATAACCAAGAGCTTAGATTTGTTTCAACAGTTGTGCATGGTGATGATGGACAAACAACTGAAATATTCCTTGGCTTTGAAAAGTTAAATGCGAGGGTGGGGCTGGAGTGGGGGGATGTTGGACATCACTTGACAACAGCTGGCACTGTTCTTGACACAAACATGGTTACACATATGTATACATATTATGAAAATGAACATATCTACTCTTTATGTTCATTTCCTGTTACATTGAACTCTCTTAGCTGCAATTTGCTTCTTTACTTCCACTTTGCAACACTACTGTTACTTTTTTGCACAGTCATATCAAAAGAAAGACACTGTTATCAGTCATTGTCAGTGCAAAAGTCTTGGGGTATGATCCTGTGGCCCATCCCCTCCGTCAACAAATTGGGGGGGGGGGGAGGGATTTCCCCATTCCTGATAGGATTTACCTACATGAATGCATCAAAAATCTACTTTTATGGTCTTTAGTAATAGGCTGTCTTTTTTTAGCAAACGACAGCAGTTGTAACAAGACAATCTTCTAGGTTCAAACATGAGCGTCACCATCATCAGTATTAAGTAGGATTGTTAGGGCGTTGTACGGGCTGTTTGGTTCAGATTCTTCCAAAAGCACCAAATTCAGATTCAGATTGCTCGACCCTGAAAATACCTGAAAAGTGGTATTATTTATGATTCTAGCTCATTTAGTTCAATTGACCTCTGACCCAGTTGGTGGCCATATTGGATTTTGCCAATACGGCGGCCCCGTGGGGCGCCCGACTTGGCGCCCATCAAAAATCGAAATAGTATGGCATGGTCGACATCTGTGCCAAATTTGGTGCTTTTGGAAGAATCTGAACAAAAATATCGCTAAGACCCCCGGCAACATAAAATCGTCAGTAAGCCTCATTTCGTTGGATTCCATCACAGATTTTAATTTTATTATGTTTGAGCCCCTCCACCATTGACTTACTTTAGAAGCCTCCTCCATCTGTTTAATCATAGCAACGATGATGTCATCGTTGTCGTTGATGATGTCACCGCCCCGCCGACGTTTCCGATGCATTTTGTTCTCAGCTTTTTTCTTCTCCATCATCAGGTCAAAATCAGACACGAAATCCCTGTAGATTCAACATTCAGATATTTCTTCATAAGGAAACAAGAAGTCGATTTTGTTTGTCGAAGTCGATTTTGTTGTCATCCTGTATGCTACGAATTGAAACATCTCACGTTGAAATATCTTCTTAACAAACGTTGATCCTAACTCACTTGTGTCTTTTGGTAAGTACTAGATCCACCAAAATCCATCACTGACCCTGCTTCACATAATGCATTAGGACCAAATCCGCTGAAATCCACCACAAGACCACCACTACTATAGGTGGATTTTGATGGACTTGGTACTCATGGCTTGCCTACAAAAATCCCTGAACTGGGGAAAAAGATTTTGATGGATTTGGGGTGGTTTAGGTTTGAGGAAGTGTACCTGCCTGTAGTGGTGCTTGAATATTTCTGCAATTTCTGACTTAATCTCAATGAGTATTTCAGCTAAAACCTCCTGAATTCCCCCAAAATAAAATCCACCAGGAACAAAATGGCGTATCAAGGCAAATTCTTTTAGGGGTGTGCATCCAAACCGGGTACCCGAGCACCCAAAAACTGATGTCAGGAACCGGTTCCAGATTATGGGATCGGGTGCCCATAACCAACGTAACAAATTAATTGGTAACTTCTTAGAAGATGAAAATGAAAGGTTTTGAATGCCATTTGTGGGATTTTTCAAAATGAAAACCAGGCTACAAGGAAAACCAAAACAGATGTCACATTTATGTGCATTTTAACGCACGACAGATGACGCTCACGACAGTTGCAGTTTACACCGTAAAGTTATAAAACCCTTCAGACAACTTCCAGGATTTGCATTTTGGGGTTGGGTTTCCTTTACAGGTACCTGTGTTTTACTTCAATAGGGAACCTGGTTCCTGTAGTACCCGTAAATGCACACCACTAAATTCTTTGTGCTTAAACTTTCAAGGGGCATGAAGCGGTAACTATTAAGATCTGGGAATGTTAGTGTGTGTGTATTCATGAGGAATCATTGTTTCACTAAGGTGGGTTGCCCAACCATAGACCTGAGATGTTTTACTTGCAAGCGGCAATTTTTACCTGGTTCTGTGCCCCGTGTTTTTAGGTCATCAGTCCCAAAAGATTGATCATTGCATGTCTTTTAACCCTAACTCCCTAGGGGTCGTGCAAAATTGTATTAAAATTGGAGGATTCAGGACAGTAAGGGTTAAAGGAGGTCACTGAGTTTCATTTGCATGAAACTTATTTCGTGTGCATTTATACTTGAACGTCACTAAACCCATTAGTCCATGTACTGCCCAAAACCCCTGCCTGTTACTCCTTATATTTCCCCAAACAGCCCAAGCACTAGGTTTTTTTTTAATCAAATTGGAATAAATACAATGGCAAATGCATTGTAGTTCATGTGCTAATTATTGTAAAATTGCAAGTAGAAATTTAAAAATAATGAAAGGTTTGCGGAAACACCATGTGCGAATAATTTCTCAACTAAGAGTATGGTTCTGAAAGAACCAGAGGTATAAACTCGACGTTCCGGTCAGTATGCTCTGACCGTCTTCAGGAGAGTGCCTAAACTCTAAGAAAGTGAATACTTAAGTAGCAAAAGGCGAAGTCAATGAAGTGTGAAGTTGCATCCTGTGAAATGTAGAAATTTAAAAGTTATGACTGATATCTTATTGAGGAAACCACTCACGCTTTGGACTTTTCACCATCTTCAACACCTTCGTCCGAATCCGAGTCCTCTGCTGCCAGCGCTTGTTGGCCCTGCTCTGGCTCGGCCTGTTCTCCCTCTGGGAGTTCCTCCCCCTCCATCTCCTCAGGCACCCCCTCCTGCTCAATGGTATCTTCCATTCCGACATTGGCATCATCATCATCGTCATCTTCGTCACTGGAGACAATAGCTGTGGACATAAAAACAAGGGCATTTCCAAAATTCTGAGCCCAATTTCATGGTGATGCTAATCAAGGAAAATCTGTACTTATGATCACAATTCTGTGTTTGCAGCACCAGCTGAGAAATTTGCGATAAACGTAAGGGATACCTGCCCAAATAACAGTAAGAAAAGGAAGGTTGGGGGAGACGCCTGACATGAAGATGTTATGGCACATTCAGAAATAAGTGGGGCTTACATTATTAGCGTGTGAAGCAGTAAGCACATGCCGTGCGTCCAGTTTACTCGGCTCTCAAAAGTGGTACAAAAGCGCCCTCTCTGTTCGTGCACGGAACCCACGAGCACAGAATCTTTAAATTATTCTCTCCATGCACTTCAACAAATTCAATTTTTTTTTCCAAACAAGTTTAGATGTATGTGTATTTAAGGAAGAAATGTTTCTCTCAATTTTGTCTGCAACCCTCTACACAAAGGCTTTTATTTTGGTTTGCTAATGTACAAAGGAGCCACCTGAAATATAATCGGGCTGCAAGTAATTCAAACTATGCAAGGTAATTATTCCAGAACTAAATGTGTTGTCCAATTTTTCATTCAAAACGCCTTGAATAACTTTTGAACTGCTAGAAAAACTGGGGGTGGAACTTGCATTGGGGCGGCAATTTCAGTTAGGGCCCTGTCACACTTCTGCATATCCTAATTCCTTATGAGTTGCGCATTGACATTTTTTTCATACGCAGTCGTACGCACAATACGCACCTCATATGCATCTCTATCGTTTTGTGTAAGTTTTATGTACACAGGCATACGCATGGTACGGCCCAGTACGCTGGATAGTTTTGGGCATGCACAAAACTACGCTGCGTACGCTGTTACGCAGGTCATAAGTTATAAATACGCAGCGCATCGGTCCCGCATCGGTCGAGCGCGGTACGAGTACGCTTTGTGTTCATGGGGGATAAGCCGTTCATACGCGGTAATACGCTGACCTCCTATATTGGACGTATACATAGCATACTTGCAGCGCAGATACAACGCACACTGAACGAACTCATATCGAATGCCGACGTATTGCACGAATTAGTACCGCTCTTCCTGCGAGCGGGCAGCGCATTGTTCTTATTCGTAACTTATGAAAAACGCACAGATAGCGAACTCGCGCACTGCATACGCAACTCATACGCATCTCATACGCAGTGGATGCGCTGAATTCGTTACTTGTTCGCTAGATGTGCGTCGCACATAAGTCAAAGTAATCAAAAAATTTTGACGTTTTGATCGTACGGCTGCGTATTGAAAAATTTTGATAAGGAACTCATAAGGAATTGGGATACGCAAAAGTGTGACAGGGGCTTTATGGGCCGTATACCTGCTCACAAGCCACAATTTCTCGCTAACCTGTGAAATATACCATTAAGCACGTAACTGTCTGCAATTCATCACTTCATACGATAATTGGAGCTTATAAACTGGGCCCTATTTTAAAGTGTACTTGTAATGTCATTTTTGGAAGGAGCCAATGCAAAATAGTGTTGTTTTAATGGAATTCTGAATATGAGCCATTGTTTGCTATTTCTCTTGGGTGTTGCTGAGGTTTTGTGATTTTGATGCCTTAACCCCAAACGATCCCCAACCAGCCAAACTCCAACATCAGGGTTTGTTGGAATCTGTTAGGATGAGTACTGCACTAGTAAACTGACTGTGCTTTACGTGGGTTTAGGCATACCACAAGGATTAGGAATGTTCCTAGTAAATCACCCTAGGGGTTAGGGTTAAAAGAACAGCCAGGTGACAAGACAGATATTACAAATGGGAAAAAATCAATTCAGTTAATTCACAGAATGATATATCAAACTAAAACAAAACAGTTGTCCCAGGAATATGTACATGTAGATAAAATAAACAAAATATTTTTATTGACTTTGTCCCTACCGTTTTGAGGGTAAATCAAAATGGGGTTTGGTACTGGGATCAGGACATATACAACACAAAATCTCAACAACAAAAAAGGTGAAAAAGGATCATTCGTTTACCTGCTCGCTTCTTTTTCACTGGCTGTTCCAGTTCTGCTTCTCCAAAACCCTGTACAAAGAAAGGAAAAACTACATTTAGTAACGAGCAGAATCCTTCACGATAAGGGTGGATTAACTGAAACAATCTTACCAACCAACTAGTCTACAGAGAAGTATGGTTAACTAGAGGGCGAACTTTAATAGAGAAAAAGAATTAGCATGATCAAATAAGACCTGTTACATGCAAAGTGTTACACTCCTTCACAAAACTTGAAATGCACTTACAGTACAAAATTTGATTTCGCATATCTCGTTTTGTTTGTACATGTACAAATATAAACAAGTCGGTTCTCGAACCACGCATCTCCCCTGCTTTCGTGATTATCTGTAAAGAGTGACTTTTGACCTTGGTGTGTGACCTTTGACATCATTATCATATGAAGGTTGCCATGTTGCATCTAATGACCCAAGTTTGGCTCCAATTGGACTTCAACTTTGCAAACGAGACAAATTTTACATTTTCAGACTATTTTACAACTTGACCTCAGATGACCTTTGACATTGGTATGTGACCTTCGACATCATAATCATTACCATATGAAGGTACCCATGTTGCATCTATGATTCAAGTTTAGTTCCAATTGGACTTAAACTTTTGAAATGAGATCAATTCCCCGAAACTGTAACCAAAATACCACGGACATACATACTACATACACTGTACGGACATACATACTACATACACTGTACGTACAGACATAGTGATTGCATAGTCTCTTTCCTGAACAAAGTCCAGGTGAGACAAAAATGGTTACAAAAATTAATGTCTAACCCTAATTTCTTCCACTGTAATCTATATTGGACCAGACCCTCAAGGATGAACATCAAACAAATAAGACAAGCAATATACAATCTGGTAAGTCTTTCTTTTTATACCTCAAATTCTTCATCATCTTCTTCGTCACTTGAGCCAAAAATATCTGCAATGAGTTCTCCTACTCCAGCTCTGCAAAAGAACACAAAACAGGAAAAATCAATACAAATGATTAGCCTTCCTTCTTCAACTTTACCTTGTAACTGCACAGGTTTACCAAAAGACAGTCTGGCCATGCAGTTTGTATAGACATGGTAATGCCCTGCACAGAAAGTCACTTGACCTTCCGAAGCCATGAGCATGGTACTGTTCATTGGGGGGAAAGCGAAATTAAAAAGGCGGAAATTCGAGGTTTAATAGGGTTTAAGAGGACACCTTGGGGTTCACCCCTGCTACAACTTGTATGCCAGTCTGCCTTATACTATGTTGCACACACATACCTATTCATGGAACTTGTAAGGGACGCTCAAAACTTATTAAGTGACACATTTTTGAAGAAGATATCATTGCATATGACAAGTAACAAGATGTCACATATGTTTTACCAACAAAATTATGGTAAAATGTCTGACCCTGGAATGGTCCCTACAAATGCCCCCGTTTTTGTGCTTATGAAGAACTGGTGTGCTATACTCACTCCTCTTCATTGCTCTCATCCCCACTGTCCAGGGTTTCGGCATGGGGTTCGGCCGGACTCTGGGGCTGCTGGGCCTCTCCAACCCCATCCTCCTCCTCATCGCCCCTTTCTGCAAACTCTTCACCCACTTCTGCCAACTCTTCGCCCTCTTCTGCCAACTCTTCGCCCTCTTCTGCCAACTCTTCGCCCTCTTCTGCCAACTCTTCGGCCCCTTCTGTCAACTGTTCACCCCCTTCTGCAAACTCTTCGCCCCCTTCTACCAATTCTTCGCCCCTTTCTGACAAGTCTTCGCCCCTTTCTGCCAAGTCTTCGTCTCTTTCTGCCAAGTCTTCATCCCCTTCTTCCAACTCTTCTCCCCTTTCTGCCGGCTCTTCCACCTCGTTATAGCCCGCTTCTGTCCCTTCTTGTAGTCCTTCGTCAACACTGCGGTCATACGGTTCTGCATCTATGTCATAAGGCTCTGAAAACAAAGAAAGTTTGCCTTGTCACGTTATAGTTTTGCTCATCGTTCCTTAAACCCTTTAGTCACTGCAGCGTTCAAAACCACACTGCCTATTACTCACTTTAGTGCCCGAAACCACCCAAGCACTCTATGTTTGATTGATTCTTCAGTGAATAAACACAATGCAATACAAGATAGTACAGGTGCTAATGGGTTAAAATATCAATTTCTTCCCAGTGCCTTATGGTTTGTTTATTTGCAGCTATTAGCTTGTACATTTAGATAAGATATAGTTTCACTCATGCTAAATACATGCTGATTTCAAAATGTGTTTTGAGTGTTCTAGTAAATGGACACAAATTATAACTGTTGAGTAAACACTGCCAACATGATTGGAACTTACCACCCAATTTTACTGGGTTTTGCACCCCACTGGATGCATGTGTTTTATGTTTTATTGCTGGACTTTGTGAATACGATTTTTCAACACTCCCTAACAGTTTTTATAATCAGCAAGTGTTGTATCACATGCATGACATGGGTACACATATTTAATATGGTGAAATTTTCTGTAAGCAAAGCTTAGTGCAGTAAGAATCAAGAGTCTGATGTAAAGCTTACCATCTTCATCGGAGGCTGCTTGACGCTCTGGATCAGGGCTTTCTGGTCCCATCATATCTGGGTCTGGTTCATAGGCTTCATGCCTGACAGGATGCTGGTCTTGAGCTGCTTCATCCTCTGCGTACCTCATTCCATCTTCTGCAACCTCAGTGTCTGATTGCACCTCCCTGTACTGTTCCTCTTCATGGAAGGCCTCTGTCTCTGAGTCCACACCATCCTCTTGGTGCGCCGTGTCCTGGTATTCCTCCTCCTGTGTCTGGTATTGCTCAGTCTGCTGCTCTTCCCTTCCCCTGTCATCGCCGAACTCCTCTGGTTCAGCATCGCTATCTACATAGTGTCTGGCTGCCTGTCCTGATTCAACATCTTCATTGTAATCCTCATCAGAATCTGCTCGCTGTCTCTCTTCATCCCCTTCTAGTCCTTCCTCTGAGCCATAGGCCGGTTCTTCTTGGTAGTCCTCAGCAGGTTCATACTCTCCTTCCTCAACCTCCTCCCCTTCTTCCAGCTCCTGGGGCTCTGCATCGCTCTGTTCGCCATGCTCCCTGTCGCTCTCATCATTTCTCTCGCCTCCATCTCTATCTTCGTTCTCATCGTCTGAGCCATGCCTGTAAGCCACATTGTCATCGTCACTATGTCTCGCCTCGGTTGGCTCCTCCTCAAACTCATCCTCTGACACTTGCTGGTAATCATTGTCGACTTCTCCTTCCTCAACTGCTTCCCCATCCTGCTCTTCCTCTGATCTCCCATCTTGATCATCATTGTCATCGATTCTGTCCTCCATGCCACTTTCTCTGTCCTCATCCTCCTCCTCGGCCTCATGGTAACCCCCTTCCTCCTCCTCTGGCTCCGCCTCTTGCTCACTGTCTCTTTGTTGTTCTTCCTCATTTTCGTCACTTTGTTGCTCGCCATCTTCCACTTCTGGTTCACTTTCCACCTCCCCTGCAGAGCTAGCATTGTCCTCATCATCATGCCCCCCTTCTCCATCTGATATGTATTCACCTTCCTTCATAAAAATGAAACAAACATGTCAAGAATAAGGACTTTTATGGCATTATTCGGTGTAGTATAAAAAGGTAGGTGCGAGTACTAAAATCATGACACGATGAACAAAAGCGTGATTGAAGTCTTGGACCCACAATGACATCATGCAGCAATGTGTCCCATAACTATGATGGTGCTAGATGGGCAAGGTGCTCATTGGACAATGTGTTTCTAGGTTTGAATTCAGTTCAAAGTGAAGAAACTATGGAAAAGAAAAGGCTTTGGTGTTCAGCTTACTGGGGGTGCAATAATATTGTCGTAATGATAATTACAATGCACGAATACCTCAACCAATAACAAAATCATGACACATGGGTATGAAAAGATAGACTATTTCAAGCATCAGAAGTCTGACTTTGTGGACAATTTTTTTTTGGGGGGGGGGTTAATACAAAAAAATACCCAAAAGGGAACCTGAGCACACTTTAGCAGCTGTACTGCAATTTCACAGATTTCCAAACATTGGAAAATAAACCCAGTTGGAGATACACAGCGTGTGGGCAACTTTATTTTGAATGGGTACAACCAAGGCATAAATGTCAAACAGTCCAAAACTGCCACTGCTGAAGTTCAAGATATGTGCAGAGTGCATGTATTGTGATGCATGTCACATCATCACTAGTTACTGTTATCTGGATATTATGGTGAAACTGTGGTATCACAACACCACATGCAGAATTAAGGGTCAGATGGCTTAGGGGAAAGGTTTTGTGTTGGGGGGGGGGGGGCAAGGACTCGGGGAGGAAGGGGTTTACCTCTAGATCCTCTGCTGGGGTTTCCCCAATGCTTGCTGCTCCTTCACTGTTTTCTGCATCGCTAGCTGGCTGCAAGTCACCTTGTTCCTCATCACTGTGTTCATCTTGGACTGGCGTGCTACCTCCATCACTCCCTGCACATTGAGCAAGTATTACATTACTATTTTCACTGTGGCCCAATTGAAAACTTTACCATTCTAAATTATGTCCAGATTATACATTCCTGATCTTGCTGGGCATGACTGTACAAGTTATATCAAAAACACATAAAGTGATCACCTATTTGACAGAAATTCGCCAAAAAAGAATGCTGAGAAAATGGCGATTACTTTAATACGGACCCCTCTTTAGTTTTGTTCAAGTAAAAGTCTGATGTTTTTGACACCGTTTTTGGTTAATTTTGAACAGGTTCTTGCTGCAGAAAATGCAATATTCTTAAGTGTTTTACGGTAGGTGCCATGCGAATCACGGCAATTTTGCATGTTCATGGTGCATTGCGGTGATCGGCATCTTTATTTTCGTGTTGCGTTTTGTCGTCTTCATCATCGTTTATCTACACATTTCCCTCAAAGATTCAAAACCTTGCCCTCTATCTACGACATACAAGTTGGTTTTTAATGACGCTTATTACATGTAGTTTGGTAAAATTGGTAACTTCAATAATCGAAAAGTGGATTTTTGTTCTCTTATACTAGGAACAGGGCCTGTAACTACACAATCACTAGAAAAACAATTGTTGAATTTGATATTGATAATATCTCAAACGTTTTGCACAAATATTTCATTGATTTTCATACTGATTTCATGCTAAAAACGTGACGCGACGCCTGAGGCACTCCATTTGTGGTGCGTATACCTCTGTGTGCGAATCCACGGACAATTGGGTCATCGCACTTCGGCCTGATTTCGTGGACTTTTCTCGACTCGGACAAAGTACCACTACTTTTAGATCTGCCATTGATCCATCAAGTTATGAGTAATAACAGTTAAGATCTCACTCTCTCTCAGTTACACTAACTTGTTGATTTATCTGGTCAAATTCTCCCCCATCCCATCTGATAACCAGTATAAAGTGGGGGTGTATTCGGAGGCAGAGTCCGACAGATCGTTACTAAGCAAAAACCTTCAGTCTGACTAGGGTTGATGCTATGCTGCAAACATAGTAAGAACATGATCATGTGATTATGGTTCAGATCTCACTCTCTCATTTACACTACATAGGCAGTGCCACTTCTCCTTCAGACTGGGACCTGGAGTGCTCTGAAACGTGTCAAACAAAATCAGGCCCACTTTACTCACTCTTTAGCCAGCAAATTTCTCCAAAAAATCCATTGGGCAAAGAAAAGATCCTCAGTATTTCACCAACCAAGTTTGCAGACTCAACTCAATTTTTAAAGGAGGCATTTCTTCAATATTTTGCACATGAGAGGGAAGTCAAGTGATTTCAAACTGAGGCTAAAGACTAAACTGGTACATGTCCAACCATGGTCCAACTATTTGAAAAGACTGACCTCTTCATTCAGTGTCAATAGTCTGGTGGCTGACTATGGAGAAATGCGAAGTAACTTGAGACTAGTTTCCGGTTCATGCCACATGTTTCTTAAATTCTTTTGGCATGGTTGATTGATGCAGTACTGAAGCAGTGATAGACTGGTTGTTTCAGGTGCTAGTCGATTTTCTTGTTTTGCATGTTTTCAATACCTTAAATTTACGACCCACATACACAGTATTGAGAGATCCAATTTTTCGGACTAGTTCTCCATATCCGATCAAATACTCCCCCTTTTTACCATATCCAATAACGGGATGTCGGTAAAAAGCAAAATCAGACATTTCAGCTTCATTTCTGAAAGTTTCATGACATTCTGATGTCTGTCAGCCCACCACGTATCTTCATTCCTTCCACTTAGTTTGTGCGCATGCGCCAAAATCTCGGCTAATGCCAGTGACTGTCGAAATGGCAGCGCCGCGGAGAGGAAAGACACACCAATTTTCATCTATAAACATCCTGTTCATTTTGCTAGATTAAGTCAAATACATGCCACTGGATGAAATTAAATTTGTTTATTATTATCTTATTATTATCTTATACCATATTTTTTTGTCAAAATTTTCAAGAAAATGTGGTTTTAGATCGTTGTTTGCTTTCCATTTCCATACAATCATCAGCAAAAGGGCCAACTTAAGTTGGGATTTTTGTAATGTTCTCCAGTTTTCCCAAACATGCCACTTATCGCAGCATTTGAATGAGATATTAAAATATATTATCACAGGATTTTCGAGTTATTGTGAACAGGTTTGCATTCCTTAGGTGGGTATTGTATTTGAAGTTTCCGACTGTACCTTTACATGTATGAACCATTCGCTGTCAAAAACGATGTCACAGTGCACGGACGGCCATGTTGAGCCATCCACTGGAGCACGGGCCCGGCTTGCGTAATGCGGAAAATCACGCTGCGCTATATGGGTCAGCGGAAAAAAACGAATACACGTCGGCAGATACTTTGATTTATTTAGTAATTTTCGTCTGGTGCGTTGTCGCGGAAAGCAAGACAACGAGAATGCCCTCCACGGCAACCCACCAGACGAAAATTGAACTCACTTGCGGCACCTGAAAGCGGTGTGGTACCCACATACATCGCGCGCGCAGATTTTTTTGATGTCATCACGTGATGCATACATTTACATAATTAGTAAAACAAAATGGAAGACAGCCGTTGGAACTGGCGTATTTTTACGGACAAGCCACCGAAATCGTCAAGATTTTTCACTTTTTTTTGTGGTCTGTTTCAAGTCGATCATTAGGCTTCGTAAACATGGTAAATGACTGCTGAATGTATGAGGTATGTAAATGAACTCTGGGGTGGGATATTAGAGGTGAAAATGAACAATTTTTGAGAGGCCATTTTTTTAGGGTCTCTTGCTACCACATTCTAACGAATAGGTTTTGCCTCCAGCGTTACATGTGAATGAATATGGAACATGTCAGCTGGAGTTACTCAACTACGCGGTATCAGGTCAACTCGGACCCAAACCAAGTCGGACCCATGCCAAGTCGGACCCATGCCAACTCGGACCCACACCAACTCAGACCCACTACCAACTCGGACCCACTACCAACTCGGACCCACGACCAACTCGGACCCACCACCAACTCGGACCCACTACCAACTCGGACCCAAGCATGACCAACTCGGACCCAGCAATGACTCAATCATTAGTTTCAGAGATTATATTTATAGGTGATCTTAATGTTAGTGCTTATATAGTAAAGATATTCTGTAATTATATTGGGCAGAATGGGGCTTTTAGTTTTGTTGTTTTCTTGTATTGCAGCTGTGTGGAGCGCTATTTTATGATGTGTACAGTAAATACTGTTGCTTAAACGCTTATCGTTTTGAACGTCATAAAACTAAACGTGCTTAGCTTTTTGAAACCATGACCTGTGAAGCTAAACCAAGCGATATTAATAGCGTATAGTATAGGTTAGGCATATCGTATGTCATTTGTACAACTTGATATATACGTGCTTTTTCAAAATCTCGATTTTCTTTTCCAAACGAAATTCAAAGGATTATAATTTTCAGTAAAAAATAAATTACTTGTTTGTTTTTGCAGGCCTTTGTGTCGTCTAACAAGTGGTTTTAAGTGGCACATTTTGTTTCAGTGAGGAAGTTATTAATTTGAAATAACTATTTAGGCCTTTCATTTCATGTATTAAATTGTTTGTTTTTGTTTAATTCACATGCTGGCTTTGAATTTTGTGGGATTTTTTTATGAATCTGTTTAACTTTTAATAATTTTTTAAACTTTTTTCCCCCGTGGAACATCATAGTCGAACATACAGGCAGCTACCTGTAAGGCCTTGAAGGATAATCTTCCCAGAGCTCCAATACTCCTTTTTGATGATTGACAGTGCATCTATTTGTAGGGGATTAAACTTGATCATTTTTTAATTCACATGCTGGCTTTGAATTTTGTGGGTTTTTTTTACGAATCCGATTAACTTTTTATACTTTTTTGATTTAACTTTTTGTTTAATATGGAACCTTCGTTTTTCTTGCAGTGTATGCAATGGTGTTTATGTGGGGTTTTTTTTTAAAGAGATTCTAATAGACTTCGTTTTTATATCTTATTTATTTTATTTATTGACATAATGTTTACTTATATTCATTGAGTTAATAATGTTATGTTTGAAAGTGTTTATGTTTTAATGCCATACTTTCCAATTTTATTTTTCTATGAAGATCTGTCTGTTCTTAATTTGTATACTCGTTACGTTGAAGTTTGGATTAAAAACGAAATAAATGCTGTTAAATTTAGCAAGATGGAAACAAACAAAAATAATAAATAATTAATTACACTTTTAAAGCGCATTTCAAAATAGCATTTCAATGCGCTTTACAACGACAAAAATGTTATAGGGGCCTACTGCTGCAATACAGATATGAGATAATTTACCTTACAATTACAATGAAAATTTATACTAAACAGCATCACTGTAATAACAGATGAGAAGTGGACAAACTTTATGAAATGAATGATTGAAAACGATGTCGAATGATTGAAAACGATGGGTCCGAGTTGGTCATGCATGGGTCCGAGTTGGTAGTGGGTCCGAGTTGGTTGTAGGTCCGATCTTGGTAGTGGGTCCGAGTTGGTCGTGGGTCCGAGTTGGTCGTGGGTCCGAGTTGGTAGTGGGTCCGAGTTGGCATGGGTCCGAGTTGGTAGTGGGTCCGAGTTGGCATGGGTCCGAGTTGGCTTGGGTCCGATGTGGTTTGGGTCCGAGTTGGATCGAAACTAGCCCCATAAATGTGGCCTATTTACTGGACTGCCTCCGTAAACATAGGCCACACATCCACATGTACAAAAATCGTGTCGACGGAGCCAAATTTTGATTTTCACATTTAGGCTTAGTTTGTAGGGTTTTTTTGCTTTAGAAGCATACTCACCCTCTTTATAGGCTAATCAGAAAGTGCTGCCTTTTTCAGATGTATATTTTTCGTGAAATTTCCAGATTCATTTTTACACGTTTGCGTATCAAAATTTCAACATGAAATTTCACAAAAATTAGACATCTGAAAAAAGGCAGCACTTTCTGATTAGCCTGTAAAGAGGGTGAGTATGCTTCTAAAGCAAAAAAAACCCTACAAACTAAGCCTAAATGTGAAAATCAAAATTTGGCTCCGTCGACACGATTTTTGTACATGTGGATGTGTGGCCTATGTTTACGGAGGCAGTCCAGTAAATAGGCCACATTTATGGGGCTAGATCGAAACCAACTACGCCTACGGCATGTCATGCATGTGTCCGGAAACCGGGCAAGGCCTGCTGTAATTGTAAACTCACCACTCTCGTAATTTTCTTCCATTTTTCAAGTAGAAGGTGTGTGAACGAACGCGTTTCGATGATCACTTTAACTCTGCCTTGGATTCATCAGACACAAAACAATATGCCGGCAACAACAAAACGGATCGCAAAACGGGAAAGTCAAAAAACACGATGAACCCTAGGTCCTAGTTCTCTTTATGCGTACCATATTCACAATCAAGAGAGGGCGCTATAGCTAGAGATCGACCCGCGCTGCACTGACTAAGAACTTATATTTTATTTACGTGAAAATTATATATCTAAATAAAGCAGATATCATTAGAAAGCTGGATAGGAAAGCCTGTTATTTATTTATTTATAGTTTTATTTAGACAGGCTAGCCTAAGCAGTTTTAAAAACTGCTATTATGAGGGCCCTGTATGTATAAAATGACAATGATCATGAAAATGAAATAACAAGAAAAACATAACGTAAAGTCACTAAGAAAAATTCTAAAAATTTAGAATGAAAAAAGCAGACATGTAAAACATAGGAATGTGAATATGTAAAGTAAGAACAAATATTAAAATACAGATATGAACAATAATGACAAACTGGACAGAAATTAAATTTTAAAAAAATCCAAAACAGAATATGCATTGCAGGTGTCTTAGAGGGTATTCTTTGTTATTTTGAACTAGTAACAAATGTAACATACAGCAAACTGGAGGTTCATTGTTCAATCAGTTTTTCAGGATAAAGCTTGAATGGTCCCTTGCAGATTCTGTCATGTGGCTCATAGACCTTATGCGCTATGGCGGAGTACCCGGGGCAATGGCTTTGTATTAATATTGCATGGATAGGCATGTAAACCTTTTGTGCATTTGTTACAGATTAAAATAACAAAGAATACCCTCTGGCACACCCGCAATGATAATACATAAGGTATGAGAGGCAGTCGAACCCCATCCCGCGGCGCATGTACTGGCGAAAGTTGAGACTAGACTAGAATGAGATAATCCCAGCAATATGGTTGCTAACCGCAAAGCGTCGCCGTTGTTAAGAAAAGCTAATCCGATTACGTACATAGACGCTATAACGGAGCAGTGAAATTCATGCACCCCCCCTAAAAAAAAATGGCATTTCGAACGTTGTGTTTCTCAGAAAATATGGTCGGTATGATTGAAATGTTACATTCTAACTGAAGAAGAAATTCTAAACTTCATACTGGTTACTGTCAAAGCTGTACCTTCAAGTCTGGAGGAAATCGTTCAAAAACTTCCCCAAATGTATGTATTTATCCCAATTTCTAGGAATTTATCCCAGTTGTTATTTCACGAGTAGTTGAACACTTATATCATCTCAGTATATTCCGAATTTCAGCTTAATCTGTTGTTGCGGACGCTAGTGTTACAACGTGAACCATCTCCATGGAAAATTTCGAAGAGAATCAAAACAATTATTTGCCGACCCAACCCCATGTGCATTGCTCAGCAAAGCACCGTAGGCGCTACGGCCCGGCTGACCGATTTCGGCCCAGCCCACAATGATGACGGGCATATTATTAGCACGGTCACTCGGCGTGACATGGCTTGGGTCTCGGTATCGACCAATGGAAGCCGGCAAAAAGGTGATATACGTTAATTAACAAGTCATGAAGGAGGTTTTTATGCGAAGGTTTACCGCACACCGTAATTGATAGGAACCTCATTAATATTCGTGAGGCTTGCAAAGATTGATAGCTATCAGTGCGCACGCCAGTGTTACAATTTTCAAAATTGCAAGTAGCAAGGCCTATTTTCCCAATTTCAACGGAAACTAAAGAACATATCACAACGACTTTTAGCACATACTTGGATCATTATAGGGGAAATAATCCTGAAAGTTGCATTAACATACGGTTTTTCAAACTGGAAATATTAATTTTCAAAGATTTCACCCCCAAACGTGACCATGTCTGTCTGTGTACATGTAGTTTCATTCAAAATAAAGTGTTACGTAACCTTTAGAAACTGCCCTTCGCAACCATATGGCTGATCAAGGCAAATTGTGAAGAAGAACAAAATATCTGGAAAGTAGGGCTATCATCTAAAAAAAAAACAGGAATTCTCTGGCCTTATCGCTAATTGCCGACTCCAACTGATTTCCGATCGCAGCAAATTCTAAACCGGGCAGGATGGATGGACGCCAAGTATATTAACAAAGCTGTGAAACCTTTTTTTGGGGGTATTCTTCGGGGGGGGGGGCTGCATTGTGCCATGCTCCCTCCAGGAATTTGCTCCACTCTGTGGACAATATTGTAATTTTAACTTTAACATTCGCAACAAACTTTATTTCTGGCCACTTTCTCTATACAGAGCGGCTGGCTAATGTGCACAGAGCAAGGGCTGGGCCCATGGATGCCCGTCAGCGCAGCTCGCCCGGCCGGTGTGGCAGGTAATTCTGTCCCCCCTGGTAAATGTGTCCCCCCGGACAGATCTACCGGGTCGTGACCCGGTAAATCTGTCCGGGGGGACACTTTTACCTAGGTAAACCTGTCCCCCTCTTGGTAAATCTGTCCCCCTGCACGACGTTAAATGTGTCCCCCCTGGTAAATGTGCCCCCGTGCAACGTCACAAGTCAAGCACCCAGACTGTATATTAGTGAAGTTATTAACTGTTTTTGCGCGGCGCCTTGCTAAATTTGGGAATGGTGCTTACGTCAAAGCACAACTCCCGTTTTGATGACGACTTCGGGCCCAGCGAACGATTTGCATGGTGGGCGTGCGCGCGATACCGCACCTATGGGCCGCGGCCGGGGGGGACGGGGACAACATTGCACCAGCAGCAGGCCTGCGGCGCAGTGACCCGTGTCGCGTATAATTTTGCCAATTCTCCTCATTGAAGTCCGCCATGACAGTCACACGCGTATCGGCGGCTGATGCGCGTGCGCGCTAGCGATAGGTTGAGTATTACTACGCGTGCCTTCTTGCAGAAACATAGATCGGTTGATTAACATCTTAACGTTAATTTCATTTTGATAATTATTGATGAAGGGTGGAAAAATCTAAAAATGTATACCTGTGCGCTGAATTTATTATAATAACATCAATATAACAACTTATGCGTGCAAAACCAGGGGGGACAGAATGGACCGATCCAGTAAGCACCGCCCCATGGTGTACTGACCAATCACAGCCGTGATTTATGTCCGACGTGCGTGCAAGGAAGTCCGACATGCGTGCACGCGCGTATGATGCGCGCGGCAGGAAAATGCAGCGTGGCATTGGAGAGGAGCACGTGGTTATTTGCCCACGTGCGCAGTGGGCGGGGCTTACTGGATCGGTCCATTAACTGGAGGGGACAGAATTACCTGAAGGGGGACACAATTAACGGGACAGGGGGGACACTTTTACCTAGGTAATTCTGTCCCCCGGACACTTTTACCGGGGGACAGAATTACCGTCCACACCGGCCCTGCGCAAAACTAAACTTAGATATATTTAGAAGAGAGAAAAACCACAAAACCCCATGCCTATAAATATCCCTGTTAGTCTGGTGGCATATGGTCGGAATCATGACCGACTGGTCCAAAGCACCAAACTTGACAGACTAGATTCTTATAGCCCTAGAGAAGATATTTAAAAGGGGTGACACCTGAAATTCTTTTGGGAAGGGTGCCTAATTTGCATAAATCGTTAATCCCTGCCGTGTAATATATTTATTCCCATATTATATTTGGGTATATTTTTATTTTTTAATTTTTTTGAAAAGTGTATTTTGGTGATTCTACTTACATATCCTTACTTCAATAACATTTTCTAAAGCTAAAGTGACTGAATAATTATGAGAACATAGCAAAGTACCAAAATGGCTACTATTTTACCCAAAAGTTGCGCGCATTTACCTTTTCCTCAGATATCATCAACTAGTCTCGCCAAATGTGGGTATTGATGAGCTTCAACACAAAGTAACTTACTAGCACAGTTACCCTAACAAAAATAAGTGGAAATCATGTGAAAATTTATAAAATCTTGATGTTTAGCCCACAAGACAAAAAAGGGGAGAAAATGAGGTGTCCATATATTGGGCTACTATAGGCGAAGGGTAACGTGGGGCTTGAACAAGTTCAACGAATTCCCCCCAAATGAGAGATTATTGTTGTTTACAATAATTTTGTCTACACCAAAACGTTTTCTCACCAATAATTTTGGGAATTTCCTTGAACTTGTTCCAGTCTCCCATGTAAGGCACGCAACCCTTCACCTACTTGTTAGGCCAATTTAAAGACACCTAGTTTTTTCCCGTTTTTGTTTTCTGGGCTAAGCATTACAATGTTATCATCAGTTTTCACATGATGTTGCATAAGGTTTTAATAGGGTATCTGTACTAGTAAGCAACTTGGTGAATTTGAAGTTCGTCAATGCTGATGTTTGGCAAGACTAATTGATGATATCTGGAGACAAGGTGCGCGCAGCTTTAGGGCATAATAGTAGCCATTTTTGATTGTTACTATGTCCTCGTAATTATTCAGTCACTTATATGCTTTGGAAAATGTTATTGAAGTAAAGATATGTAAGTGGAATCCCCAAAATACACTTTTCAAAAATATTTTTTTAAAATATACCCCCACATGGGAATAAATATATTCCACGCAGGTATTAACGAATTATGCAAATCAGGCACCCTTCCAAAACGAATTTCAGGTGTTACCCCTTCCAAATATCTTCACTAGGTCTATAAGAATCTATCTGCCAAGTCTGGTGCTTTGGACCAGTCGGTCACGATCTTGTCAAAAATTAGATCTAAGCTACCTGACTATGTTAATATAGATAACAATAGCCATACAAGTTAAATCGCGGTTTTGGGGTTTTTGCGACGTTAAATTAAAGATCGCACAGCCTATCGCAGCATAATAATAATTATGATGATCTTGCTGCTAGCTCAGCGTTCAGGGTGCACAGCGCCCTCTTCGGGTGATAGAGGAAAATCCGAAGCGACGAGTTTGATGAAGATGGCGGCCAGCGGGAAGTCGAAAAGTCCTGCGATGGACGGACTTGTCAAGCAGTTTGCTGCTATCACGGGTAAGATTTCCACATATTGTGAACGAATAGGTGTTGATTGACACTGCATGGAGTTATTGCAGAATACCCTACAACTGGAAAATAACCCCCCAAAAATCAGACTTCGGGTAGGCCTACCTACCGCCCGGTACATCGAAGCAGGTCGTTTCGTACCCAAGTCGTTTCGTACCCAAGTCGTTTCGTACCCAAGTCGTTTCGTACCCAAGTCGTTTCGTACCCAAGTCGTTTCGTACCCAAGTCGTTTCGTACCCAAGTCGTTTCGTACCCAAGTCGTTTCGTACACAGTCAATTATGATGCACAAAGGAGAAAAGCCAGTCATGCAAACCCGCTCCTGTGACGTCACCGACGCGCGGCATCATTTAAGATGTATCAAGTTCCCAGGGATTAAGATTGCGTCCTACATAACTGGCTGTCTGTTTCACTGTCGATCATTCTGCCTCAGAATGTGTATTAAAACTGATGAAGTCTCGACCAATGCGGTGGCATTCACGCACAGTAGGCCTAGCTACCGAATGTGGGCCCTCTAGCGGCGAAAAATCCTTTGGAAAACACATTTGGTTCCCGTTTTTATGAACGTAATCATCTTCCGATTCGCCCTTCATGCCCTTAACATGCTTAAAGATTGTTTTCCCTTTTTGAATTTTTAAAACTCATATTGAAAGAATATACGCAGTGGCTATTGTTACGGCAGCCGTAACGCATTTCCCATTTTCTATCGTTACGGTAGACTGCAACCTGGCAACTTTTATAAAAAAAAACATGACAAGAAAATATAAAATTAGAAGGAAAAAAGTGAATTTGAACTTTATGAAATTCGGACTTTATTTCCCTTTTAAAAAAAATCCTCCGAAGCCTCAGGTTAGAAAAGGAAATAAATTCGAGTGCAAAACTGAGTTTCGAACCCGCAACCTCGCGGTGCAAAATCCTACCCTCTATCGGCTGAGCTGGCGCACTGCTCGATAAAACGTGTGGAAACAAATAATTATATACCTGCGTGCGTATCAAAAAAATATCGTAGAGGGCGCTAAACAACGAGTGCCGTAACGATAGCCACTTCGAAGAATATAACACTGGAATAACACAATAGGCCTAAACCAATTTAAAATCTATCGTATGGGGATCTACATAGTTTTTTTTTCATTTCAAAGGAAAAGCCTTATCCCCTTGAAAACCCGGGTAACTGGAGAATGTATAAGTGCATTGACGTATGAACCTCCCGGACTTGTGTTTTTTTAAAGTTTTTTTTTTTTAAGGTTTCAAATTTGCTTGTCATTTTGATTCCGTTACAGTTATGGTGTTCCAATTTTCAGATATGATACAAACTGCAAAACTACAAAACTAGTGAATTGCATTTTTTATTACAAAACTAGTGAATTGCATTTTATTACTCACAACATTTTTTGAATTGAAATCAAAACTTGATAATTATAGAAGAGTGAAAACATTAACACCAGGGTAGATTGAAACATTGAAAATTTTAAAAACAATTGAATTGCATTTTATGACTTACAATAGTTTTTTAATTAAAGTCAAAACTTGATAATTATAGAAGACGGAAGACGTTTACGTAAATTCAACATGAAATTTAATAACAAAAAGTACAATTTCTCAGGTTAGAAAAGGAAATAAATTCGAGTGCAAAACTGAGTTTCGAACCCGCAACCTCGCGGTGCAAAATCCTACCCTCTATCGGCTGAGCTGGCGCACTGCTCGATAAAACGTGTGGAAACAAATAATTATATACCTGCGTGCGTATCAAAAAAATATCGTAGAGGGCGCTAAACAACGAGTGCCGTAACGATAGCCACTTCGAAGAATATAACACTGGAATAACACAATAGGCCTAAACCAATTTAAAATCTATCGTATGGGGATCTACATAGTTTTTTTTTCATTTCAAAGGAAAAGCCTTATCCCCTTGAAAACCCGGGTAACTGGAGAATGTATAAGTGCATTGACGTATGAACCTCCCGGACTTGTGTTTTTTTAAAGTTTTTTTTTTTTAAGGTTTCAAATTTGCTTGTCATTTTGATTCCGTTACAGTTATGGTGTTCCAATTTTCAGATATGATACAAACTGCAAAACTACAAAACTAGTGAATTGCATTTTTTATTACAAAACTAGTGAATTGCATTTTATTACTCACAACATTTTTTGAATTGAAATCAAAACTTGATAATTATAGAAGAGTGAAAACATTAACACCAGGGTAGATTGAAACATTGAAAATTTTAAAAACAATTGAATTGCATTTTATGACTTACAATAGTTTTTTAATTAAAGTCAAAACTTGATAATTATAGAAGACGGAAGACGTTTACGTAAATTCAACATGAAATTTAATAACAAAAAGTACAATTTCAAAAAAAAAAAACAACCAAAGAAAATCACGCTACAATATAGAAGAACAACATCATCGATCATAACCCAACCTAAAAAAAACAACAAACCGCAGGGTAGATAAAATCCAAGCTCCAAGAAGAACAAAAAACATGCAGTGGCAGGTTAAAAAAATCAAACAAAACAAACCGCAGCGCCGTCAACACAAGTCCTGTGAACCACCAAGAGTGATTGACAGTAGCATTGTTGTTCAATAGAAAAGGATTTGGAACCCTTTGTCACGTGTGCAATGAATCCTGGGTGCGAAACGACCTGGGTACGAAACGACCTGGGTACGAAACGACTTGGGTACGAAACGACCGACATTCCTGGTACAGGGCCACTCCATTCTAGTCGTGTTCTACTTAGCTTGAGTAACTCCAGCTGACATGCTCATATCCATTCACATGTAGCGCTGGAGAAATAACCTGTTCGTTAGAATGTGGTAGCAAGAGACCCTAAAAAAATGGCCTCTCAAAAATTGTCCATTTTCACCTCTAATATCCCACCCCAGATTTCATTTACATACCTCATACATGTACATTCAGCAGTCATTCACGAAGCCTAATGATCGACTTGAAACAGACCACAAAAAAAACAAATACGAAAACTTTTGATGATTTCGGTGGCTTGTCCGTAAAAAACCGCCAGTTCCAACGGCTGTCGTCCAAATTTGCGCGCGCAATGTATGTGGGTACCACACCGCTTTCAGGCGCCGCAAGTGAGTTCAATTTTCGTCTGGTGCGTTGTCGAGGAAAGCATTCTCGTTGTCTTGCTTTCCGCGACAACCAAAGTTGAACTCACTTGCGGCGCCTGAAAGCGGTGTGGTACCCGAACGATAATAGGGGGTCGGGAACTAGGGCAGCTTTTATGGACGGATACCAGTTCAAGCTGGTTCCCGATTCCCTTTTACCGTTCGAAATGCACTTGTGTTTACTAACGCGATCCAGTCTACTCATTATCATAATCGATGCATCGCGCGCGCTCGGTAACGGAATCGCACTCGGGATACGGGAACCATTGAATGTACGCTGGGCATGAAGACCACATCGCGTCGTTCAAATATTAACACGAATCGGAAATTTAACGTGTTCACGATCGCGAGGGGACCCCTCGGAATTGAACGGGAAATTTCACTTTCCATCCGGATCGTAAGTAAACTTCAGTACAACCATCTTAATTATCGATGTCTACTTGTACCTCAGTTGGCGTATCTAGTAATTTGGAGGCCGTTTTGAAGGTGAAATCTGAGGTTTTTTGTTGGAAAATGTTGGTTTTTGGAACAGTGACAGAATTGTGTTGTTCAGCTCGCACTATTAGCTTGGACCCCACTATCGCCAGACCATGTCCGAATGTTAAAAAGGCGATAAGTTGGGTCTAAGTTACTCGGACTAGTGATAAACGCAGCTAATAATTTGGAATCGCACTTATGATCCGGACATCAGGAGTGCCCGGAGCGTCAGTGCGATACCAAATTATCTGCAGCGTTTATCAAGTGGTAAACTACATGCATCAGGAGGAGGTTGCAGGACGTCGAGATCTTGCCAGATTTTACCTCGAATATCGTTTAAATGCCAGATTTGGCATAAAAGCAGATTTCAACATGTCCAAGAAAGCTTGATATGTGAATACTTATCACAGGGTATAAAGGCAATGTTCAGTCTTTGTCATGGAAGGACGATTTCGCTTGGTTCGAACATGTACAAGAGCATGGCGTACTTTACAAGCCACGTTCACGGGTCTAGTCGTGTTCCTGTTGTGCGCTATTTTGTGATTTGCGCAATCATAAGAATGCGTATGCACATTCTTATGATTGCGCAACTGGATCCTTGTGCAATCTTCGCAAAAAAACTCTTCCAGATTGAGCGCACATTCTTAAGAATGCGCGACAAGATAACGGTCTTGTCGCTGCCGAGCACCAGCTGCGCTTGGCAAGTCTAGCTGCATCCTCATTCACTGATTCTTAACAATTATACTGTTTGCAACGCAAGGTCACTTACCTAGGAAAAGATTTAACGATGAAAAGTATACACGTATTCGGGGGACCGGGAAAAAATAAGAGACATAATAATAGTGTAGTGGAAAGAATTTTGATTTTTGGGTAAACAAGGGGGGGGGGGCGTAAGAATGAAGAATGTGAAGAATGAGTCAAAAGAGCAATTTTGGCAGCTTCTGGACATCGTTTTTTTGTGACATGCATATGATACATACAGGGACTTGTAACTTGTCTAGCCTAAACGAAACACTTCCCAGACTAGTTCCCAGTCCTCCGTTATTACAAAACTTCCCATAGTGGGCAGAAAAAGCAATAACAGGTTTAATTTGATTCAAATTATCGTAGTTATACGAGTACAGAAGCATAGATCATTTTCTTTCCTCATTATATGAATTATTTCCTCTTTAATCGCTATACATTTCGTTTAACATAATTATGCTGTGCAATGTTTATTAAGATTGCGCAAAATTCATAAATTGCACACGTGATATTCCCATGCAATCTTAAGAATAAGCGCTCATTCTTCAGATTGCGTGCTCATTCTTAAGAATGTGTGCCCATTCTTAAGAATGCGCGCTCATTCTTAAGATTGCGTGATTTGCAAGAAAGCGCACATCATTCTATTGATGACTTCATGCTCATCCACTCCGCATCCGCGCATCCAAGACATCCCAAGCCGTCTCACTCGGTATATATAGTACGTACTTGTCAATAATTCACTCTCTATAGCGCCCTCTATAGGTGATATCCCTATACATACATGCACATTTCAGGGACAAAAGAAATCCCTGCTTTAATCCACTAGTACAATGCATAGGGATATCACATTTTGCAACACGTATGCCAAATTTTAGATGAGCTAGAAACCAAACCAAAAATATAATACCTCCAATTTTTGGATATTTTGTAGAAAACATGTTGAGGTATAATCTTCATCAAAGTTCGTCTCAAGGTCATGTGATCCACAAGGTCAAATTCAAGTTCAAAGTAAAGGTCAAAAGGTCATCATACTTCAAAGTACTCTGACATGAAAAGTAATGGATTCCTTATGATGTTACCTTTCCAAATAAACCAAGATTAACAAATTTGGCTCACAGGTTATGGAAATATGTTCATTTGAAAATTGGTGGCCATGCCCATTTTGACCAAAATTGACAAACAATGGTGAGCAGTAGCTCGAAAAGCGTTCATCGGATGGCGCTAAAACTTAAAATTTTAGCTTTTTCAGCCTAAATTACCCCATACACCAAATATTAACCAATTTGAAAGGGGTGGGGTTTAAACTTTAATTTTTTTTTGGTGATTTGACACGGAATGACCCAGTCCTGAAACGTGGCGGTATTTAAAAAAAGAGAAAAAAGAGAACTGCCCTTGCGATTATCTCAAAGCTTGCTTGGTGAAAACTGTGAAAAAATTATTCAAGTAAGGAAAATGTAAATAAAAGTAGTGCTCACCAGTAGTTTTTGGCCGAATAATAAATAGTTTTTGTCAGTAATCATGACCTATGATGTGGTTTTCATTTGTCAAGGGGCTACTGAAGATGTTGGCCGTCGCTTGCTGGAGGTGTGCAACGGAAACCTGGAGATGGCCATTGGCATGCAGCTTGAGGGCGCTGTTGAGACGGCTGAAGCAGGGGCATCAGCCGGCCCATCCGGGGCTTCAGCGGGCCCATCCGGGGGCAGCGCTGTGCCAGAAATACCACCTGAGTAAGGGCAGCTTTTGAAAATGTACTCATCCCACATATTTAATCATGTTAAGACTACTCTGTCATAGGGTGAAAGATGACACAAGACTGCTCAGACAAAAAATGTACTTGCACAATGTTGAACTGTAACTTAACTTACATCAAATGTGACTTAGCACAGTTGTTATTCGGTAAATTTCTGATGTACAGTTAATCACTTTGCTTTACTTTTGACTTCTGTTGAATCAGTGATAGCGTCCGAGCACCTATACCTCAGAAGAGAGAAATTATGGTTCCAGAAGTGCCAACTTTTGGTAAGTGTCTAGATATTAGGCAGGATTTGAGTAAGTGAGAGTCTAAATTTGACTTGGAATGAAAAACTCCAAATCGGAGTTATTTTTGCGCACACATTTACATGACATATTGTTAAAAAAGGGTTCTGAAATCAAGCCTTGCCAAAGATGAGTTTATGAGTGTCATCGATATTATTGAAGACAATATACAAATATTAATAATAATAATATACAACATGTTGGCAAAAAGTGCATTTGTATACATGTCTCTGTGCTTTTCCTACCTTATGAATTAAGTATGTGGGGCATTTCTATGAATTTAGGGTTTTAAGTTGTGACATTTTTTTGTTCCTGTTACCTTGGTACTTTGTGAGTTACCGGTACCATTCAAGTATCATTAAGAAGGACTTCAAACAATTTTTCATTTGTTGGGTACTTAGTTTTCTATTCATAATCATTCTTGGAGGACGACCGCAGTGACGAGTACATCAGAATTATATAATCACAGATGTCAAAACGTAGACCCCAAATTTGTAGACTGACCCATTTATGTGCCTGTATGCATTCATCATAAGCCAATCTATGTTGTCATTTTATCAAATGGCTAATTTAAGCAAAAAAGTATAGGACATATAATCATGTCATATAGGACATGAAATTTTGTACCAAAAAATGGCCCAAGAACATTTGGTGTTCTGTAGGGCGTGGCTTCCAATCCCAAATTTCTTTTTGCACTGTTTGTCACTCATCTCTGTTTCATTCATCTTTGCTTTTGTCCCTAACTGTCAGGTCCTCGACCGAGGCGGAGAGGCGGGCAGATGTCTATATTTGATAAGTTCCGGGACTTCCAGGCAGAAACACGTAAGAATCACAGAATCTCTCCAAAAAATGTTTTATTTTAAACCTTCCTTACCCCCAATCACACGGAAAACACTGAAGGCACTTTACCTGGCAAGAAATGGTCAATGGAATGTTGGGTTCTCTACCAACAGATTTGTCCGACCACATAACAGGAATAAGCTTGTTTGCTGGAACTATTTAATGGAAATAATCTTGTTTTATTAACCCCAACCTTCCTCAATCCTCCAAAGTCCTACAGGTGGTTTTGGAAGATTTTGGAAGATTTTGGAGGATTGAGACTGAATGCAATATACAATGTTGGAGGATTGTGGAGGATTGAGGGCACATGGACATCCCCATCCTGGCAAGCCCATGCACTTTTGTCCCGAAATGTTTGCTATCGAATGCGTGACTCCAGTCATACTTGTCATAAAGTAAAAATATCAAACTGCTCCTTGGCTCCCACTTGTTCCAGTTTTACTTCATGGTTTAATTAAATCAAATTAACTTAAGTTGTCCTATTGGGTAAACTTGTTTGGGTTTGATCAAGGGTTCACCTTTGTTACATTCGTGAACTATCTCGTTTTTATTTTATGTCTGAAAAGTACTGGGGAATATGTGTAAGTGTACCCCTGGAAATGTACTCGTATTTGTACTCGTGGAAAAGTACTTGACTACAACACTGTTGCAAAGTGTAGATATACTGACACTTGCCCATGCATGAATATAGCTGCTGTTGTGTCATTCTTGTGATCTCCTTCTTTAAAATGCATGGCTTTGCCCAGTTTGCTAATCTGACCACTAATGGTCTCCATCAAATGGACACAGGCTCTGTTTGGGGGAAATCTCGTTCTTATCAGCAACATTTTTTTCTGAAGCTCATATTGTAATTTCAGAGCAGCAAAGATTGTTGGGACTTATCCTCCTTGGCAACAACTCCTCTCTACATTACATTTAGATTTTTGTTTGTGTATTGTTTTTTTTTGCAGGGCATCAGGAAGCCTTGATTCGTAACCAAGGCAACGAGATACCCCAATCAGCCAAAATACGCACCCTGGAGGACCTGTTTCGACCCCCTGTTGATCTGATGCACAAAGGCACCTTCAATACGGTTGGTACAAACGCACCTTATTCCCTTCTAAAAATCAAGTGCAAAAATCATGTCCTTGAGGTGTATGTAATACACGTACACACATTCTTGTTCCGTAGTTGTGGGGACATACACTCGTCAATACGAGGTATTTGTGGGTACCAAAAGCGCTATGGGGACAGCAGAAAGTTCCCATTAAAACTGCCTCATAATGCGGTGTAGGGCTATTCACACACGCACACACACGTAGTCGTTTTTTGCTATGCTTCCGAGGATTGGCTTTGTGTTTTCCTTTGTCCCTGTAATATAACACTCTCCCATTGACTAAGCACACAAACCTGCGTTCGAGGACAATAGGCACCTTCCTTCGAGGATCAATGGCCCCTTTGTGCTCCTTTTGTTGTCTGTCCTCAGGCGTAATGCCATGCAGGAACACCCACGTTTGTTTATGATGTAAATCGAGGATTTTCTATTGTTCCTCTTCCCTTTTCCTTTGTTTATACTTTTTTGCAACAGCTCTCATTGGTTTTGTACATGCTTTCTAACTGAGGAGTCCTCAATTTGGTTTCTGTCCTCGATTCATCGATGATGTTGCAGTGTGTGTCCTCGATTTACACCATAAACAAACGCACCTTTTCTGCTTTATTGTATATAGCGGGAAGTCTATTCATGTGGCAGCTGCAATTGGTGGTGCTGTGTCATTTGCATCTACGCAAGTTTTGTGTCTTATATCACCCTCTGCACTCAGTCCATTGACAGAAACCTCCAAAATTTTAGCACCTGGGACTGTCTTCCACAAAATAAATTAATATGTTGAAGTTGGGCCCCTCTTGCTTCAAAATCAGTTTGACCTTCGTTTGTTCTGTTTTCTAGGCTCGAGAGGCTGGTCAGAGCCAGGGGCGATGGTTGATTGTTAATGTTCAAGATGTACAGGAATTCAATTGTCAGAAGCTCAACAGGGATGTATGGAGTGACCCAACGGTCCGCAGTATCATCAGAGAGTCTTTCATATTTTGGCAGGTACTTTTACATCCCTCCCCAATATGTTTTTCAATAATATAATATAATACAACAATTGTGCTTATATTGCGCTTTCCATCGTATCAACAATCTCAAAGCGCTTTACAATTATTACCCCGTTCATCAGGCCATGGGACCACACGGCAGCCGATATCAGCGCTCAATCGGTCCTCGACCCTCACGGGCACCCATTTATACTCCTGGGTGGAGAGAGGCAATTGTAGTTAAGTGTCTTACCCAAGGGCACAAACACCATGTTCCTTCTTTCATGAGTCAAACACCGTAACCACTGGGACCCATGGCATTTATCTGAGTTCTACGGTTGACTTAATTATTGGCTCCCTGCACGAACAGTAGAGGCACCTTTTGACCACTTTTGAGAGCTCCAATGGGAGGGACACACTGCGTGCGTACTGGCTGCGCGTTTGTCACAGGAAGTATGCATGACTGATTTTATTCTGAATCTGCACAAACTCCTAGCGTCTTTGTGTGAGATTCAGGTGTGTTCAAATGTCTCTCCCAGTGGTCTCTCCCAACTCTCCCCTTGCAACCATTGAGGGGGTACTAGAGTGGTAATAGAGTGGGAATCAAGGCTGAGCACCAAGGCTGTGTTGAGTGAGCAGGAAATTAGGAATGAGTGTTGGGACATGGTTGTGCAAGCATTTAAATTAAAGGCACGTAGGAATGTTGGTAATAACCCAGAAATTTGCTTACAGATTTAATGAAATGCCTTGCTCAAAGTTGGGCTGGTTTCAAATAGACTACCCTGTGAAATTATCCTGCCAGAAATGGTATTTGATTGAAAGTAAACTGCCATTAGCAATGGAATCAAGTTACGAGACCCAAAAAAATTTGCTGAGGTTTTGCTCTGTTTTCTCAAAATGTATAGTAGCCACTGAACTAAACCTTCAACAGATTTGTTGTTAGGCACCTACTTAAGATTTTGAGCAATTTTGTTGCCTCAAATGAAATGGTTTTTTTTACAAAGAGCAAATGAACCTGTGTTCCTTTAACCACTTCGCGCCGGGATTATTTTGACATTAACCGGACCCAGGCTCGAGATTGTTTTTCACGAACCTCAATGCCAGACGGGTTCAGGCCATCATCTGCGGGTAGCACACCCTGATATTTCCGGCCTCGCCCGCTGCGAGCGGGTTGCAGACAGATATTTCCGGCTCTGCTCGTTGTGTGTTTATCCGTCATCTGTTCCGAATACGGCAAAACCTTGCGTGTATACACATCATCTGATGTGAACTGGTTAACAAAGCCTACAAACATTTATCATTGTCTTCAGAACTGACTTCAGCATTAAACTTGGTATAAAGAGTAAAATTTTCTACTGTTTTGTTTCCATTCCACACACATACTGTAGAGTTTGCTTCAAAAGCCTAATTTAATATCAGTTGGGTTAATCTGTGGCATTTTGTCTATTTTCAATCTACCGGACTATTGCACCTGCATTTGAGAAAATAGAGGACATGCAGTAACGTGACTGCCCATTGATTTTGGAAAGGCACCGTTTAAGTGATCCACTGACATCATCTGCCGTCTTCTGCCGTCTTCTATAACCAGTTTTGTGTTTTTGTATTCAGGTGTATCATGATAGTGATGAAGGCCGTAGATATATGCAGTTTTACAGGGTCAACGAGTTCCCCTATGTTTCCATACTGGACCCAAGAACAGGTAAACAATTAACAATGTTATTGGAACAACACAGATTCAGTGTTATTTCAAGAACTGCACTTGTTTATAGTTCTCTTTCATGATAGAATATATAAATGTGTCTGAATTGCGGATTTGTATGGAGTATTTATCAGTGTTATAGTCACTGGCCTTACGATGCATCACAAGTACGTTACAAATGCCATCACAAGTAAGTCCAAAGTATATTGATTTATATCACCCCGACGCAAATTCAATCTTATGAATAGTTTAATTGCGGTACCCGCTGCTACATGTACATCAGATTCGAACCAGCCAACCGATCCCGCAAGCTCGGTGGTCGAGTGGTAAGACATCTGCACTAGAAAACAGGAGGTTGTGGGTTCGAGTGCCACTCGGGTGATTTTTCCCAACTTACACTTGGGAGGTAACACACTGAGTATACAGTGTTTATACATCGGTGAAAGGCAAAACCTAATATTGATTTACATCACCCCGACACAATTTCCATCATATGAAAAGTCCAAAGTAATTCATGAGTCCAGTCACAAGTACCAGGGGATGAACAATAACAAAGGAGTGGTTTTGTCATAGTTCATATATAGCGTGTGACTTGACTTGGGACTGGAGCACTTGTTATTGACTCAACACTATCTCGACTACAACACTGGTATTTATGCAAGCAGACACAGACACAAGAAACTTTGTGGCATGAAAGCTAACATATGAACTGGCTTTAAGTTTATTTATTTTGTTTATATTTTTTCGTTTATATTGTAGCCGTCTTAATTCTAATTTTGTTTGTCCCCATCTAGGCGAGCTTCTTGTGTCTTGGATGAAACTAGACAGTGTATCATTTTGTGACCTCGGTAAGATACTTTCCTTCCCCAAAAGATTTCTTTTGTGGGTTATTTAAATCCTGTAATGGAAATCCAACATTTGAGTCTTTCCATTTGATTTGAACATTAAAAGGTCTACAAATAATTTCAGGGCCAGAGGCTAAGCAAAAGCTGGACATGAATTCAGTGTTTCCGAAATAGCCCTACTCTTTTTTCCTACAGAGCGAATTGAAATGCTCATTTACTGACTGCTTGTTTCAGTTTTGGAGATATCTGCTTCATTTACTCAAATAGATACCGGGTACATCAATAGATTAATGCACAAACATTGATGCGTCCGGCAGGCTACATTGTGTACAGCAAGTTAGCTCTCTAGTAATTTCACGCATCTCTAAGCCTGGGACACATTGTTAAGAGTCCTCACATTGTCTTCTGATCCTGATTTCCTTTCCATTTACAGTCATGGAGTTCCTATCTGACCATCCATGTTTTGACAAGGACACGTTGTCATCACCGCCTGCCAAAAGAGCCAGAACTGTAAGTTATGCACAGGGTCATAGACTGCATGCATGAACAATAGATTGCGCTTTTGGCCACTTTGGAGAGCCGTTTTAGGCGAAGTATGCACAACTAAAAAAAAATTCTGAATGTGTACAAACCCATAGTGTATTCCCATCGTGAATGTGCACGGAGCCCATATAATGGACCCCTACAGGATCTATAGCTTATTGTACCTCTACAAGCACTAGAAAATAAATGTGTGTCGTTAACCCTAACCCTGCTGAATCCAACGGGATCCAACTATGTCATATACCCGATGGAGCCTGTTGGATTGAGCAGTAAACCCCTTGTGAACATTCCTCATGCAAAATGCAAACTGCATTATAACGCCATGTTGGACTCCGTTGACTTTAGCAGACAACCGAAAATAAGGCACAGTGGATTGAGCAGGACACTCCGGTTGGACACTGTTGGATTTAGCAGGGTAGTCCTGAGGAAGTACTAGGGGGTTTGTTGACCTCCTAATTTGAGGAAAGCCGATGGCCTTACAGTTTCTGTGATTTTGTTGGTTAATCAGTTAAAGACAAAATGCTTCTTTATCTAGGGCCCTTGGCCCTAAACAGATTTATACTTATGAATTGATGGCCTGCTGAACTGCTCAGGCACAAATATCGGTGACAAAATGAGACAACTCACAAGACCGTTTCTGTTACTTTCAACCAATCCACCAAGCTGGTCACTTGAACTTGACAAATTGAATACCATTGTGCTGTGCTGTACCAATTTCCCCTTATATTCATAACAAAGCCCCGGCATGTGTATGGCCTAGGTCTCCCTGGTCTCAGAACCTTTGCAGTTGACCATCCTCTACCAGAAGTCTTGGTTTACACCCTTGGGTACAAGCAAATACGTTACATTACGGCTGCATAACAGCTCAACAATGCAGACATTACTGGTATCTGTCAACCCTTGCTCTGCTACACTCTACAAAACACTTCATTATTTGCTGAAAGAGAATCCCCAATGTTTACTGCAGGCTCAAGTGGTGTAAGCTGCGCTGGTGAGCAAATGAGAACCCTTCAATGCACTCCATGGGGCAGATAATTGGCATTTCCGGCTGAATGATAAAAAACTGCACACAGAGAGTAAAGGCTGTTGATCTGCATGCGCCAGAGTTAAAATACTGCAAATTTGCAGTGTGGAAACTTACCGTGATGTCACAAATTCACATTCGCGTTGCATTAGTTTTTGCGCCGAGAATGAACCAGTCTGAAGTGTTGAATCAAACAATCTTTGACAACAAATGACACTGGCATTCTAAGCTATTAACCTGATTCCAGCTGAAATGCTGAATGCATCTTCCATTTGAAACTGAAGTACATTTTGATGTTTTGTGAGACAGGTAACCTCTTTTCTCACACGGTTTTTGTTTTGTGTTGGTTTTGTTTTCAAGTCTTTTTTGTAATTTTTTTTTTCCTGTCATAAGACCAAGAGCATATTAGACGCCAGTGAAGATTCCCAACTGGAAGCAGCCATTGCCGCCTCTCTTGCCGAATCCTCCAGCTCCGCCTCCCAAAGTGCCCAGCCCACCAAAGACTCATCAGCCGCTGCTTCGTCCTATAAGAAAACACCTGAGACAATCAGTCTCTCTGGCGACGAGGACGATGAGGATGAAATTGAGGACGATGATGATGATCTCATTGTGAATGTTGAGAGCAACTCCAGCCGCGACTCCAGCGACTCGGATTGCGTGGTTGAGTCAGTGGGCGACCACAGCTCCAAGAAGGTTCCACCAACAAACCCTTCCTCCTTGTCGCAGAACTCACTTCGAGCTGCTCCATCTCACGTTGAGAAAACGGAACACTTGCTGTCATCGTTAAATGGAAATGCCATCGCAGAGAAGGAAGGGAGAACTAAAACAGTCAACCAAAACAGCAACGGGGATAATCATGGGGGTGGGTCAGATAAAGACGTGAAAAGGAAGGTGTCAAATGCTTTAGATGGAATCACTGAGAATAGGACAGAAATGGCGGAAACGAGTCTTAATAACGGCAAGACTGAAGTTGATGCAGGTCAGTTTAACAACAGTAAAGTTTTCCGTTGTTACACACCGATAGCTTAGCCATGCATGACTGAATGATGAACAGAGTACAGCCTACTTACAAGTCCATCGCAAGTCCTTCAGTTTCAAGCCATGTTCCAAGCTATATAAATTAGGGCTGTGAATTTTCGAATAATTTAGTATTTGATTATTCCAACTTGGATTCGATCAAATATTTGATTTTGAAATGCACTAATCAAGTTAAACATGCGCCAGTCTAAATTGGCCGCTGGTCGGGATTTGCATGCGCCTGCACTTGTTAAAAATTGACAGAGATTATTAAAATAAGGTAATGAACAGGTAGCGGAATGGCTGATATTTGACCGATTTTTAAAAAAGAAATTTGAGCTATGTTCCTCGTGGAAGCTATCCTGTCATGCGCGACTTTCAATAAAAGTGTGGCACTTGACAAACATTAAAACCGACTTGTGGCTGACTCGTGATGGACTTGTAATTTGACTTTTGACTGACCTGTGATTTGATATGTGATGGAGTTGACTACAACTGCACAGTGGAATTCCCCTGAGTGCCTTGGCTGCCATTTACACCGCCTTAGGTGTACAAAGTGCCATGGACCAAGTCACAGCAGATAACATTATTGTATATTGCTACATGTATTGAGATGCCAGTGTAACTCTCTTTCATGTTTTGGGGTTCTGCAGAGGAACAGTCACAAGCCAAGCTGATGCTACGATTCCCAGACGGAAAGAGGAAACAGCTCTCACTGTCGGAAGACACTCCTCTATTGGTGAGAGAACACTAGGATTCATTTGATGTCTGTGAATGTGAAGTGAAGAACCCATTTTAAGAGTTGTTCAAATTGATAGTGCATTAACTTCAACCATAACTCCAATGATCCATCAAATCTTGGAGTTTTTTGTAGGATTTTGTAGGATTTAAGATGGTACAGCCCAGCCACTGCTACTTTGCTTTGAGCTCAGTGCCCCTGGAAAGTTAAGCATGAAGCATGCGAGAGGTGGAAAAGTTGCCTCCCCACATAGCAGGCGAGGCTAAGTCTTGTAGCGGATAAAGCAACTTTGCAGTGCATACTCTCTTCCCCCCCCCCCCCCATTTTTTGTTTTAATTCTTAAAGCATTGTGCTTTCCTCCAATGCAGAATATTGGCTTTTGAAAACAGTATGCAAGTTTTTGGGACTCTTGTTTATTTCCAGCACCAAAATTTGTCTGTAGAGTCCCAGGAATATGCATTGTTCTCTTGGCCTTGAGTCAGGTGGCTTAGACCCAATTTTGGACAAGATCGTGGTCCAAAGCACCAAACTTGGCAGATATATTGTTATAGCCTTAGAGAAGATATTTAGAAGGGGTGACACCTGAAATTCTTTTGGGAAGGGTGCCTAATTTGCATAAATCGTTAATCCCTACCGTGTAATATATTTTATTCCTATATTTGAGTATATTTTTAATTTTTTGTTGTTGAAAAGTTGATTTTGGTGATTCCGCTTACACACCCTTTCTTCAATAACATTTTCTAAAGCATTTAAGATTGACTGGATAATTATGAGGACACAGTAATGATCCAAAATGGCTACTTTTATACTCTAAAGTTGCGCGCATTAACCTTGTCTCCAGATATCATCAAGTAGTCTTGCCAAACCTTAGTATTGATGGGCTTCAAAATCACCAAGTTGCTTACTGGCACAGTTACTCGATTAAGTCTTCATGGAAAATCATGTGAACAATGATAAAATTGTGATATTAAGGCCAGAAAACAAAAACGGGGAACTTGATCAAGTCCACCACGTTGGGCAGGCTTCGCCTAGTTTTTAGCCCAATTTACGGACACCTCATTTTCACCCCTTTTTGTTTTTGTGGGCTAAATATCAAGATGATTTAATTTTTCACATGATTTCCCATTTATTTTTGTTAGGGTTACTGTGTCAGTAAGTAATTTTGGGAATTTGAAGGTAATCAATACTGAGGTTTGGCAAGACTACTTGGTGATATCTGAGGGAAAAGGAATGCGCGCAACTTTAGGGTATAATGGTAGCCATTTTGGATCTTTATTATGTCCTTATAATCTTCAAGTCTCCGATATGCTTAAGAAAATGTTATTTAAGTAAGGATATGTAAGTAAAATCCCCAAAATGTGCTTTTCAAAAAATAGCAAAAATAAACATCTACCCAAATATGGGAATAAATATATTACACAGTAGGGATTAACGCTTTATGCAAATTAGGCACCCTTCCCAAAATGATTTCAGGTGTCACCCCTTCTAAATATCTTCTCCAGGGCTATAAGAATCTATCTGCTAAGTTTGGTGCTTTGGACCAGTCGGTCACGATTCCAACCATATGTCACCTGACTACTTTTTAAAATCTGAATATCACAGGGATGATGAATTCGTTTAAATAGAACTAATAAAAAGCTCTGTAATCACAGTAAAATAGCATTTCCTGATTTCAGTTTGTAGGGTTTTTTGAAATGTTACAAAGATTATTAAACCTTTTTTCTTTTTCAGAACTGATAAAATGGTTTAACATTTTGAAAGTTATTTCTGTACCTGTCATTGAGTTGTGACACTCATTGTGAGGGATACATTTTTGTGTCCGTTTTAGTGATTCTTCGACATCCGTGAAACTTACATGAAACGAACCCTTCTATTGGAAAGAAAATTAAAAAATCAAACTGCAAAAAACTTATCTTCATATGTTTTTTTAATCTTCACACTCACAGACTCTGGTGAAACTGGTGGGCAAGGAAGGTTATGCCAACGAGCGCTACGAGATGGTGACCAACTTCCCCAGGCGGAAACTCTCCTACATGGACTTTGACAAGTCACTGAAAGAGGCTGGGCTGTGCCCACAAGAGACCATCTTCATACAGGAACGCTAAAAGACTGAACCTGACGATCTAAGAGGGACCTGCAGGGCCCAATTTCATGGCCCTGCTAAGCACATACTTCTGTGTTTATGAGTGTCATTCCTTGCTTACAGCTCTACCACAGAAACTGTAGACTCAACTTGTAAGCTGTGTGAACATCTACGTGCTTATGCCGAATCTCTTGCTTATCTGTGATATTCGCTAACTTCATTTTCTGCTGTAGTGAGCGGGAAGTCTGCACTAAGTAAAGGTAGTCAGGGCCATGAAAGTGGAACCAGCATGGAGCTGCTTATACTGCAGAAAATATTGCTTGAGAAATATTCTCACTAAGTAGATGTCATCTGGGAACCAGTCTAAAGCTATATGCATTACTTTGGATGTTTTGGTTGGTAACCTTGAGTTGCTAAGAAGGACTCTTATGTGTTAAGCAAGTTCTGTGTGCATAGCAGCTTCAAGACACTGGCTCTGTATTCTTGTGGTATAACTGGTGATCTGGTCAGTAGACTCCTGGACCTTGGGCATGAATCAGCCGAGCCCAAACTTCTTGGGATCACAGCAGCTGTGTTTGTTGATCTGTAAACACCAACAAGTTTTGGGAACTTTCAATATTTTAGACAGCTTTTGAGAATGTCTGTTTTCACAGAGGTCCCAAAGAGTGCCCTGTATTTTGGGGGGCAAACTATTACAGCAGTTCAAGTTTTTCATGTATTCCTCATACTCTTTCACTCAATTTCGTATGATACACTAGTCACTTCAGATGCTTTCCACAACCAAGGCCCAACTCGTCAAAACTTCTCACAACTTATCTGCTCTGAAGAAAGTTTACTTATGGGGACTAAAAAGAGAATGAGTTGAGAACATAACAGCTGTTTGCAGGAACACGTAAGGAGGCTGTGGAACCCACTCACATGGCATATCAGCACAAATTGTCTGTTCTGTGCTCTGTGTTGTATTTTGTTTGTGCATGTTATTATAACTATAAGCCCTTCCACAGGCTTCTAGTCTTGCCAAGCACGCATCCTTGAGAAGTTTGAATTAGTCCTGAAATTCTTCAAGTCTCTTCATTGAAACAGTCATTTTCGCTTTGGATATTTGTAACCATGTGGTTTTTATCAGTGAAGATTGGCCCTTGGGTATGTTTGCTTGTAATCTTTCCGATTCCTCCAAATATCTAAAATGATACAAGCTCCTAGATTCTTGCACTGATAAAATAAAATCATCTGCTTTCCTTCCTGCCATGTTGATAAAGTTAAAACTCATGCCAACTTTGGGTTCTCGTTTGGTCCTAACCATGTCTTTATGCCAGCATGATCAAAGATGTGAAAATGCTCAACCAGTTAAAACCAAAGAATGCTATAGATATATTTGTTTTGTCTTGAATAGGGGAGAGAATGTATTAAAGGCATATAGGAGCATTTGCATTTATCCCAAAAGTAACCTACCAAATTATTATAAAAAAGGCTTACATGGATTAAAGATCGTGAAATATTTTCATGAAAATATTCATGGCTTGCTGTCATTTAGAAGAAATCAAGAAATGTTGGTGATTTCCAACAATCAGTCGATAGTTGTGCATGGTTTTACACTGTGCTCTCAAAAAGTGCTGTGTCCACCGAGCTGAAACTTCAATAGGTTAGGTTTTGAACGTTCTTCTTCGGATTATCATTTTGAGCAGTGTTACTATTGGAAATGAACAATATGCATGAAAAGCTAATGATCCTTTATGCCTTTAAAGGAACCTCATTTTGCACAACCAACAATTCCACAGGAAAAATTACATAGTAGAGGTGTCATTGACAAAATATAAATCTACGATTAAAGTGTAACCCCGACTGTACACAGACCCACCACAAGAGGGCCATATGATGCATAAACCTTACAGCAAGAATCGTGCATGTTCCACCTGTATCTGATAGAAGCATAAATTAGAGCTGGCCTCTCATCTCTTATCAGTGACGTCTCTATAATTGGTATTATTCAATCATTGAAGATGTATCTATTTTTAATCCAAATTTGTCAATAAAGTTCTTAGAAATTCATGATGCTGCATAGTTTGTGTCATCAATATATTTGCTGTGTCCAGGACTTTTATTGGGAAGTTGTCTATTAGGTCCCAGTTATGGTGTGTTTCGAGTGAACCCACAATTTGTTTGTTGGAACCATAATTACTGGTTCACGCGCAAAGCAACGGCCCAGTGAACACCGTGGTTCCTGCTGAAAGGCAGTGAACCATTTTCAGGAACTAATTTGTGAAAATGTTCTGTACAAGTTGGATGTACAAATGGCTAGTAAGCCTGTCCTGACCTTTCTCAGTGTATAGGTGGTTGTGACCATAGACCAAAAAGTTTGGGTTTTTTTTTGGGGGGGGGTGTTGTAGGGGATTTTGGTAAACAGTTTGAGGACATGAATCATGTTATTTGAGTACTGTTGAACTTTAATACACATTCATAAATACCTTGGACAGTTTACCCATTCCTATTGGTCGAGAGCCCATCACGTTGCCAGTCTTAAATGGATGATAAATACATAACTGGCTGGTCTTAAAAAAAAATTCAGTGCCTTTTACCGTTCTATTAGTTGAACATTCAACATCTGCATGTAGGCATGCGCAATACTGCCAGGGAGTCCGTATTTCATAGTCCAAAATTCACAACGCACTCACCACAGCTGCATCTGCGCGACGCGCGCGCCAATCTCCACAAAAGGAGTTGTTTACATCTTAACTGTGAGCTGGACACTCCATTAAATAGCTAGAGCGGTGTTTTGAAAAACAGAAAGTAAAAAGTGTTGAACAAAATTGTTCGAAATTTCCGACTCGTTTTGACTTTTTGACCAAAAAGGTATTTATGAATGGGAATAAATATGTGCTTGGTCAGTATTAAACACTATGTTTAAGACTGGTTGGAGTACTGGAATGGTGATAATTACCCAAGGTGAAGCCGAGGGTTTGTGTACCCTTACTTCCCTCCCCCATAAAATGGGGGTTGTGAAAGATGTATTTAAGTGACATCAATCTGTAATGAACCCATTATTACAAAGTATATTGTGCACAACACCACCACAGCATTTTATTCGAAAGAAAAACACTTGCAATGTATAGATAAAAAAAGTGCACCCTTCAAAACTTAATTTAATGTACAAATTAAGTGTACAAATCAACTTAATTAAATATAATACAAAATTGGAGCTTCCGTCTTTGCATTTTGGAACCTTGAAACCATGATTTTGAAGTGGGATATGCCAAGTTACTCGGTAAGTTTCTTAAAATCTCATAAAAAGCACAGATACAAAAGGCCAATAATATACCATCTGTACATAAAGAATAAAATGTTTACTGCTTAGAAGTAAATTTTACAAATAAGCTATTTTAACTAATAACATTACATTTTCTTTCATAATGCTGAATTTGGCCTAATATGTAGGCTTTCAAGCAGACCAGGTCAAAAAGTAGAACAGTGGGATTCAAGAAAACAAATCACACAAATAATTGTTTGATTTACATATAACAATGTGTAACACCATTATGAACATTTTTTGAGATTTCATTTTTCCGAAAAAGTAGGAATTTCAAGAAAAATGTAGGAGCAAGGTAAAAAAAAAAACAAAGAAGAGAAAGGGTAGGACAAGTACGAATACTTGAAAGCTGGCCTTTATGTATTACACTGGTTGCCTTACTTGCCGTCCTGATTAATAGATAAAAGCCAAACACTGGCAAGGCAAAGGTTCTCCACGTTGATCTGTGTAAATCACATTTAGCTTTACTCTACTCTACCCTTAAGTTTACACAAGTGCAATTTAGCCCTGGTTTGAACCAAGGTTAGCCAGATGCTCTATATCTGGTAAAAAAACCCCAAAATTATGGCCACCCTAATTATGTCCATGCCCTTACATCATTTAAAGAATCATTGCATATGAGAAAAGTGTGCTTCATGTTTATGTACAGTGTTTACATTAACAATACTGTACCGAGATAGTCCAAAAGGGCGTTGTGTAGTATGTGTACAGTGTATAAGCAGAAGCAGAAGCAGAAACAATTAGGGATTACTCATGGACTGAGTCCATATGGCAAGTAGTCAGTTAGTATAGTATATTGCAGAGAAAAAGTTTTAGCCCATTTTGCTTTTCAATTAGAACGAGAGTTTGCCATGGAGAGTCCATTTTTCTAGTTTACAGTCGTCAATACACGGCTCATTTGAATGAGTGTCAGTGGACAACTTGAGCTAATTGGTTTGGGGCATAGCGTTCTGCCACCTTACAAAAAACAACATATTGATAAAAAGAAAACACATACAATAAACACCTCGGCTAAACCGACATCGTGTAAACCGTCATATCGCTTAAATCGGCCGTCTGACGAAAGTCCCGATTGTCTCTAATGCATTTCCAATGACATTTTCTTTTCCAAGCCAGCCTTTGTAAGCCGCCATTTCGCCTATATCGGCGTGTTACTTTCAGTCCCATTTCCTCAAAACCACACAAATTCCTCTGTATAAGTCGGCATCGTGCTCTGCGGTTTGCAAGAAGTGTCAAGTGAAAAGTCGCACACACTGCTAATTGACATCTGTTTATGGCACAGCCCGTGATTGATGCACGTGCGCGATTAAAAAGGGGTTTTCCCGATAGCACATCAATACCAGTACCCCCTCTCGACTGCATGCATGCGCTCTGTTCATTTTGGGGGTCCCCTTATTGTACCAGTACCATGCACATATTTAATTCGTGGCTGTACACGAACGTCGTGCACAATGTACACAACATGCACATGGCCGGCCATGGATGTACAGTATGCAAGCGATCTGTACGAACCACTGTTAACGCTTGCCGGCCGCACTGTCCTTGCTTCATACATACGTACATCTACATGCATGACTTTTTGCGATACCACAGCCTGTTTGTGATGATAAACATTGAGGATATATTTGCTGGAATCAACCATGGATGTAGAAATAAACCAGGGTAAATCAAAGCGTTTGAATTTTAGCCATGAATCTTGTTTGCATGATCCAGATACAAATGCGCATAGGCCATTAATTCAATCTATTTTTTTCACTCCGTGATTCAATTAGTGCATTTGTGTAAGTCGGCAAAATGACGACTTGCAGCAGAAGCCGACATTCGCGTAAGCCGTCACAAATTCTCTGGTCCCGAGAGTGCCGTCTTAGCCGGAGTTTACTGTACTTGAATCATACGCTTACGAAACTACTGCCTGGAAAAACCAACAATTTCAAATGTCCCACGCTGCGAATTTGTCAACCATCTCCCACACTGCACTGGGAAAAAATGAACTCTCTGTGGCAACCTCTTGGTGGTGCACTGCATTGTGAATCGCCCTCATTGTTTGCTGAGGAAGAGGCCTCCTGTTTCTAATTTTAAGGTTAACATCCGACTAATACTGTCCTGCAGTTAATCATTTATCCTTCAGTAATTTACATGTACATACTGAAATACTAATCCGACCACATACAAACACAAACTCAACATTGAGTATTCGGACAAAAAATTCCATCTTATGGAATTCAAACAAACAAAAACATAAAATTGCAGTTGTTCCAACAGCAAATTCTAGGAAGTATTCATCCAGTTTCTTGTGTTGCAGTTGATTAATGATCTGTCCCAGTTCAAAGGTAACGTCAATACTTTCTACTTGAAGTATTTTTTTCCTTCTTTTTCTTCGATTTCCCTGTGTGGCCCTCACCTTGGATGGCCCTTGAACAGGGCGTTGTGATATGGGTGACTCATCAAAAACACAATGTTTGGAGTGGAGATGTCAACTTAAGTAAACTTCAAAATATTGCTTCTCCTAGTAGCCTCTTTTTGGTGTACTATATCATTTTACTGTACCTCATACATATTCATGACCGAGAGCCGAATTCTCACTGGTCCATTCACCATCAAGTGCCAGATGCTATTGTTGCTGTTTACCAAATGCACGCGCAAGTATTCACGCACAGGCTAAATATGCATGCATAGTGGTACGCATGCGCATTACAAAGCAATCATGGAACTGTTGCACGGGTGAAGTACACACGCGGGAATATCGCCCGAGCTAGCTACACATGAAAAGATCATGGTTGCACATGTAAATAATTAGTGTTTTCCCGAGCTCAATGATGCCGAATTGGAGAATATGATGGACAATAAAGATGTCTTCTGTAATAAAACAAATTGTCCACAAATGATTGTATTTACAACCGTAGTTACTGTATTGCAAACGAACTGAACTTTTCGGAGGTTGAGCAATATTATTCCTCTGGTGCGCTGGACAAATTTCTCCGAAGATATATTTTGCCTGCAAGGTGCATACATTGTACTTATTGCATCAGGGAAAATTTGGCAATTGAATATGTATGAGGTATAGTTAAACAAATATAACATGGTTTATTTTGGGTGGACAGTCGATATAAGCTCCCCTCGGTATTGGAAGTTGACAAACTCAACTTCCAATACCTCGGGGAGCAAATATCGACTGTCCACCCGATATAAACCATGTTATATTTGTACAATATTCATCCAATGAATTGACAAGACAATACAAACCCTGTACCACCACTGTACTTCATTAGTCTAGATTGACCTTGAAATAATCAGCCACTGAGACATTGCTGTAGCCACCAAAGTAATCCAGAAGCAGAATTTGATTGATGTCCATCTTGAGGAAGGTGTGTTGATGGAAGTGCCAGCTGGACATGGAAGGATGGCGAGGGAAGAGGGCTGCTTTGGCCGTGGCGTTGCCTGCCGCATCTTTCACTAAGTGCATGTCACCTAGAGTAGGGAAATACACAAATGGAGAAAATACTCATTGAAATGTCAGGAAGATACCACTGAACTTCTAGGTTAAACTCCCTGTGAAATTATTGTTTCTGGCAAGCTGTCATTTTGAAGAAAAATAAACGAAAGAAGGCCTTTCCAACAAGACACACCGTTGGAAATTTCTGTTAGTAGTTTTTTTTTTTTATTCGGCGAAGCGCACGCAAGCTTTGGCACGAGGCACATGTGCGGGCGGTTGCTATAATTTGTCGGATCGGTGCGCGACATCGCGTAGCTGCAATCAGCTCAGTGAGAATGTGTCTCGGACGCTGAATTTAGGCCCAATTCAAAACATGATTCAGCAACCTTTGATTTGAAATTGAGATCCTAGAAAGCTGTTTTTCTCGGAATAGACAGCTGAAGCTGAGCTGAAACTTCATCAGGTTAGTTGTTCAGCACCCTTCTTTACATTTTGAGCACTTTTGTTGCTTCAAATCTTTTACATCCATCATCTAGTAACAGTCAAGGAGATTACAGACTAGGAGTTTTGGATCATTTCTCTGAATCATTCATTTGGTATCATGGTTAATCAGCCTAGTCATGGACATTATACTTTGAACCTTTCACAAAGCTGGAAATGCTCATATCGTGTTTAAATCCTTTAAAAAACTGTGTCAATGGTTTTCTGCAGATCGAGTGTTGGAGTTTGGAAGATTTTGGAAGCTCCCAAGGAATTATTGTTTTTGGGCATGACATTTCTCAAATGGGCAGCAGTCTCAGCAAAGTAAACTCTTCCTAGTGGGCCCATCTCAGTCACACGAGAGGATTGGATCAGCCTTTGGCCCATCTAAAATCTTTGAGAGGCCTCAGCTCGCAGCCATCATTTGCACTCTCTATTCCATATGAAAAACTAATTACTAATTAAAACTAAAACCGTTCAGAAATCATACTAGAAGATACAACGACTCTAGTTGAGTGCTAAATTTAAACCCACCCTCGAGGTGTTGTAACTGACCGTTTTAGCAGCAAGACAAAACCAATTTAGGGTAAATTTAAAACCGTTCAGACACTGTTTTAGCAGAAAAGTAACACCGAATAGAGTTCAACTAGTATCTTAAGGGAATTTAAAACTGCCTCTGAACGTAGCCTTTTACACCCTAGCTACCCCCAGGATCTGCCACTAACACCTAAGTAGACACATACTGCAGGGTAACACATGGCTAAATAATGACTGCTTCAACTGGGCCATGTTCAGATACCGTTTCAGCTAATACGGTAAAAGTTAAAACGGTCGCTTACCACGGAAGGCTGGTTGTAAAAATAAAACTACCGATCATCCAGACATTGTTCAAGTATATAGCAAGTTGAACTCGAAGTGGTTTATCTCAGTTTCTAGGGTAATGTAGAACATCAGCCTCGGAAAAAAACGCGCGCTAAAAAGAACCTTCACTCTTCCATTTTTACACTTTGCTACACATTGTCTGAGCCTCTCACCGTCCTGATGTGTGTTACCATGTTTGACATATTCAGCCTCGGGTTTACTGCATCAACTTGCCTGCAAAACATGCCAGTCACGTGAAAATACATTTGATATTAACGTCGCATTATTGACCAATCAACACCCTGGTAGAGTCAAACTAGCTTCTCCTGGTCATCCACTAAACAAAGAACTAACCAAAGACAATGCCACGGGAAGATGAAATGCTTTCCCTGTAAACCACTTCCCTCAATCCCTCTCCGCTTCCCCACATTGTTAGATTTTGTCACCATGCCTTTTTGGTCTTATATTTGATAATAATGAATGTATGTTACCCATCAACATCAGCCTTGCACACATTGGCCACTCCGGGTCTGAATCTTTGGTTAAGAGGCATTCTTTCAGTCCAAACTGGGCCTCGCTGAAAGTCAATGTCACCTGAAATAAAACAAAGAGAAAAGCTGAATATGGAATTTTGACTCTTTACATCTTAGGTATTATAGCCACTTTAATTAAGGGAAAAAATGTGTGCTGGTTTTAACCAGTTCACATTGGAGGACGTGATAACATGCACTGGCTGTTTTTATACACACGTGCCGGTTGACATTTTGGCAGAAAATATCGTACAAATACTGTTGAAATTAGTCTTGTGAATCTATATTTGTGGTGTTTGGCTGTATATCAGAAAGTGGCTGGAAAGTGTTGTTTTCTTGCGAAAATTGAAATTTTCGGCAATAACAGTCCCGGCACGAAGTGGTTATACCATGTTTAAGACCGGTTTGTAGTCTGGACACTGATAATGACCCAAGCTGAATGTCATTATCAGCGTCCAGGCTCCAAACTGGTGTTAAACGTAGTGTTTAATACCGGCCAAGCACATATTTATTCCCATTCATAAATATCTTTTTTGTCAAATAGTAAAATCAAGTCAAAAATTATAAATTTCCAACCATTTTGTTCAACAAGTTTACTTCACGTTTTTTTAAACACTCCTCTAGCTATGTTATGGTATGTGCCTCTCGCGAGTAGCTGTAAACAACTCCTTATATGGACATTGGCGCGCGCATTGTACATACTGTGAGATGTGGTGCAGAACGCAGCTGTGCCGGTGCAGTGTGAATTTAGGATTATGAAATACTGACTCACTGGTGGTATTGCTCATGCGTACGTGAGGATTGTGAACATTCAACCAATAAAAGGGTAAAAGGGACCAGATTTCATATGAGTGCAAATTTCATGGACACTAGAAAAGTGTTTTAAGACCAGTCAGCCGGTGTTTAAGACCGGCCACGTGATGGGCTCTCAACCAATAGGAATGGGTAAACTGTCTCAGGTATTTATGAACTGAAATTTAATGCAATAGTTATTATACCTTGCGTGTTTTTTTCACACTTTTGCATGTTCCTCAGGTACCCCTTTTGTGATTTTTAAGTACTATTGTTAAGTCTTCCAATATTATCTCGTTTTCAAAACCCTGTTTATTAGAAAAAAAAAAATAGCCTCAAGTTTTTAGCTTCCTTGGGCACTGTCAATAATTCTTTATTTGTTTGATGAGCAGGGGTACACGGTTATAATTTGACACCTTGAGCAATGCATAGGAGGATATGCATCTGGAAACAATTGAATCATTTGTGAACATTATTTGTCACATGCTTACTTTGCTGTTCTGGGAAATATCCTGCACTATGTAGGATACAGTGGGCTGATACATGTAGGGAATGCCAGAACTCTTGTCCACCGGCCCATCGCTCATGGAAGTAGGGTTGGGAAATGGTTGGCCAAGCAATGCTGGGCTGGATGAAAGGGTGGTTATGACGCACCAGTCAGCCTGTACCAAATTTGAGGAGAAATTTCAAGAAAGGAAGATTCTTCTTAAGTTTGTGCAAAATCATAAGTAAACTTCAGAAATTAGAGTTTTCAAAAACAATTACAGACAAACTTGTGTGTGCTATAAACTGCTTGTAGACTGAAAATGTAGTCTACAAACAAAGGGAAACTGACAAGATTCACTTGTAACAATAAATTATTAAGTTGATCGAGCTAACTTAATTCCACTGAAGTGGGATTTTAAAGCATTGGCCTAATTTCACGGCACTGCTTACCAGTGTTGGAGCAAAGGCTTTGACCCTCAAGGCCAAGGCCAAGGCCAAGGCTTTGACCCTCAAGGCCAAGGCCAAGGCCAAGGCTTTGACCCTCAAGCCTCGAGGCCAAGGCTTCACCCTCAAGCCAAGGCCAAGGCCCTGTTTTATGAAATGACCACTGATATAGAACTAATTATAGTCACATGAGTGACACATCATCACGCAAGGGCGGATCCAGAACACAATTTTTTTTGGGGGGGGGGGCAAAGAAATTTGGGTCCCCCCCAAAAAAGTGGGTCAAAAAATTACGGCTTGGGCTTCGGGGTGCGATTTGAGGCAATTTCTTACCATTTTAACCGATGTTTTTTTAGGAAAAGATGGTGGTGTACTCATTGCCTGCCTTTATTACGACGTCACATAAACAAAAATGGTTTCAGGGTTTTTTTTGGGTGGTGGGGGGGAGCACAGAACTCTGCTGGGGGGCACATACCCCCTGTGCCCCCCATAGTTACGCCACTGGCTGTATTCGGACTCTGTCTTGTACCAGTTTTGTCCATGGAGAACAAATCCATTGCCTTTGGGAGGTACGTTTGATATTCTTCAAGTTGTCATTAACATGTTGATGTACCTTATGCACGATGTAGCGAGCTCTCTTTGCTAGTTCACCATGTGGAGGGGGATCAACACACTGTCCAATATAAAAAAAAAACACAGGAAGTTCAGTGAAAGTCTCTGATGAACATCAAAGGAATGGAATGTGGAAACAATTATCAATATGCTATCTCTTTTATTACACTTATTTTAATAGCACCATCAATTATTGTTAATACTACTATACTAGCATGTTGGGAAACCCGGTGCTACAAACAACCAGTACTATTTTACTCGGAATTGACCATTTCACAATGCTAGGAGTAGACTAAGTAGTACCGTACTACAGTACTATACTAAGAGTAAAATGAATGAGTAAAGCCATAACTCTACGAATTGTCTGGTCACGCACTCCTGAGATTCCGAGATTCTGAAATTCTGCCATTCTTGTCCTTAATTATTAATAAATATACCCCTAACTCCCTAGGGGGTGTGAAAAATCATATTAAAATTGGAGGATTCAGGACTGTTGTTAGGGATAGCCATAATACAACAGTCCTGAATCCTCCAATTTTAATACGATATACAAAAGCACAAAAGCATACGACAGAAATTTGTGTAGAAGGAATTTCAAACACTGCTCCAATCTAGCTTGCACGACACAGCTCATGACCTCGGAAATTCACCATTTAGAATTTCCCATGTCAATTGTCATGACATTTATGAGACCTATTGGTCGAGAGCCCGTCACGTGGCCGGTCTTAAACGGATGATAGAGACATGGCTGGCTGGTCTTAAACACTTTTCCAGTGTCACATGAAATTTGGACTCCCATGAAATCCGGTGCCTTTTACGTTTTATTGGTTGAACATCAAATTCCCCACGCATGCATGCGCACCAGTGAATCATTATTTCATGGCCCGATACTTATATTACACCAGCCCAGCTACGTTTTGGGCGACATCGCGCAGTACGCGCGACCATGGAGGTAGAATGCACGACGCGCACGCAATTGTGGAGGGGCATTCCATATTATAGTCAGAGGGGTGTTTCGTAAAACATGAAGTAAAATTGTTGAACAAAATGGTTGGCAGCGTCTAGTTTTTGACTTGTTTTGATTTTTTGACCAAAAAGATTTGTTTTTTTGACCAAAAAGGTACTTATGAATGGGAATATTAATATGTGTTCCGTCGGTATTAAACACTGTTTAAAACCGGTGTGAGTCTGGATGGGTGATATTTACCCTCGGCTTCGCCTCGGGTAATTATCACCCATCCGGACTCACAGACAGTCACATCGGTTTTAAACAGTGTTATATGGTGGTGTTCCCTAACGTGGCGCACTTTGACGTTTACCCGACTTTCATCGTGTAGTGTTTCCAAACCTCTTTGTTGACAAACCTCAAATTCATGCAGTGAAATACTGGTACCTTTACCTTATTAGTACTTGCTTTTTAACCTCTGTGAACAATTTCGGTGTCTTGAAATTTAATCCGAAATTCAAAAACGGTGGCGTCCGGAAATTGGGGACAAATTGTCGGAGTGTTCCCTAACGTGGCGCACTTGAATAAATCTCGGAAAATTCCAAATTAACATTTAAGAATTTCTGTAACCTTGATAAATTCTGATAAATCATTATTATCTTCACTTACAAGCCCAGCCAGATGTTTGTCAGAAAATTATTTTCTTATTTTTCGGGGCATTTTCAAAGGGTTCACTTTGCACTTGAAAATAAAATCGGAAAATCACGCCAAAATAATTTTTTCTTTTAACTTTGTAACGGGTAAATAAACTCGCGATTTATGAACGGGAGTGTTTAGAACTTGATGAAATTTCACTTTCTGTGAAATTTCAGTTAAAACTTTTGCTCTAGCTAGGCGCTACAGGTGAAAAATCAAAGTGCGCCACGTTAGGGGCCGCGCCACGTTAGGGTACATCAACAATACTACTGTCGAGCGCAATTTGAGTCCCCCACGCAAGTTTAAACTTGCGCGAGGGACTCCTGAAGCAGCAAATTACACCGCGCCATTTTAATTTGCGTGCGCAAGTTTAAACTTGCGCAAAGGCGATCGCAACCTTCTTTTGCGGGCGGAATTTTCATTGATGAAGAATTTTTTTTTCAAAACACGAGTACATGGAGAAATAATGGAATAAATGAATGAATAAAGAAATAAATAAAAAGGGGAATTCAATTAGCGTCAATGAAAAGAAACATTGAGATTTAGCAGTGCTTATCAGAGAAGTTGTTTAAGGGTACGTGGGGGCGGGACCGGGGAGGGGACCGGGCAAGCAATCAACTTAAGCACACTAGCGGCGATTGCTTGGAAAGTGTACTGAAGTTGTTCAAAAATGGAGACCAGCTTCAAGTTTTTTGCTTTGTAAACCTAATTAGCATTTTATTTATATTCTTGAATGTAAACAAATCATAATTTCCTAGGTGTAACCCGCTGTTAACGTAAAAAGAATGATTATGATCCCTTCAATTGTTCAAGTTTGGACATTATACTAATCATTTACATTATTTTTAAAATGCTTATGTATTCTACAATTAAAAAAGTACTTACTCTTAAAAAGATACTAATTAATTTAACAATTAATAAATTGTACGGTACAATAATTCATATTGTTTTTAGAAATACGTGCATAACATTTCGAGCGTTGTGAACACTTCAAAAATGCACAATTATAAAAAAAATGAATGAATGCATTACTAATTTAATTAATTAATTAAATGTATTACATTAATAAATATTTTTTATTGCAGGCTCAATAATTCATATTAAAAAATGTTTACAACTTAAAGACGCTATGCATATAAAATGGTAATTATTTTAAAAAGTAAATAAATTTGCAAATGATTTAATTAATGAATTTAATCAAATGTTTCAAAAAAAAAAGGCATTAAGGCATTGTCTCCCGAAGTTCAGTGATGCTATTAAATCGGAGAAAAAATCTGCTTTAAAAATAATGTTACATATCTGCATGAGTATACACAGGGGCAAAATAGTTTAGCGGCTCTGTATGCGTGGCCGGGAAAATCTATGCAGTGCGCAAGTTTAAACTTGCGTGCGCAATTTGTAGCAAGGAAATGAATGCGCGCGCAAGTTTAAACTTGCGTGCGCGCAGGTTTAAACATGGAGAAATAAAACACTTGCGCGGGGGACTCACTTTGCGCTCGACACTACTACTACTAGGCCTACCTCCGAAACACACATTTATTTCCTTATTCAATTATCCAGCTAGCCCATCCCTACCCTCATGACCCTGATCCCTCGTTCTACTTAAATTCTAGGCTATTCAACTAACCTGGACAATCACACAAAACAGCAGCAGGACATGTGCAAAGGATACAATCGGCTGGGCCATTGTAATCGGTTAAACTGTCTGCCAGACAATAACAAAGATAAGGCCACACAACCATACAATATATGTGCAGTCGAGTCGATCAACAAAAAAGGAAACAGGAACTGTAGCTGATCATTGGGAAGGGCGCCACCATGTTCCTGGTAGGTAAAAAGCAGATATGCTCCAGTCAACGTGATGTTAGTTATTTATTGCGCAAAGCCATTAACTTTTTTCTTTGGAAAATCATGGAGATATGTAACATTTTAAAGCAACTGATTTTAATACAAGTCATGTATTTTAGGGGGAAATGCCTAAGTGCCTCATTTGAAATTGAGCTGACTGTATTAATTGTAAACAGGATTCAGAGTTGGGGTGGTATGAACAATCCCCTCCCCCCAAAAAAATCTTTCCACGTTTCATCATGCCTTGTCATGTATACGTAGACATTGTTTATGGCTTATTCACAACAGGACTTTTGTTTTAAAGTATACAGTAAAACAGTATTTTGATTAATTAATTAATTGTTAATTATTTTGTATTATTTTTTTTATTACTTTTATTTTTTTCTTTCTGAAGAATTTGTGAAGAGTACCGGTGATGTCCGTGTGATGTAGACGTAAAGCGTTTTAAAAACAAATAAATAACAATAATCACTATTATACGACTAAATGTACCAGTAAGGAGACATGTTAGCGTCATTTCTTCGAACGGCCCGGGCTAGGGAGACACCGGTCTCTAGGGACACATTTTGATATCTCCCTAATGTCACAGCCCCCTTTAGAGGCAATTTCTTTGTCGCAATCAGGTTATATTTGTTGCTCGTGGTCTTATAATTAGTAAACACATCGAAATGCGTGGGGGAATGACAAGGGAATATTGGGTTAAGGCACATTTAAGCAGCATATATGCATCGTCATCGGCTTCCTCGTCCTGTCGACAACTCCGCCTTCCAGTCAACAATTCTTGCACTGTTCCTCAATCAGCGACACAGCCCATGTATATACTGCCTGCACCATATTACCGCCATTCAATTTTGATTTCAGACACTTCTTTACCCTTCTGATGTACTCTTTACTAAACCTTTCCTTCACTTCTTCGTTCATCATTCTTTCCGCCTCCAAGACACCAAGATATACTTGTATCCTTCATGCTCTCCCAACGCCTTCAGCAACGACCATCTGGCAGAGGAATGCCATCGGAATCCACCTTCTTCCCGCTTTTCAATGTACAGACAACACACTTCTCTTCACCATGCATTCCAATGTCCTCACTGTATACCCTAACCGTCTGCACCAATGAAGCAACCTCCTTCTTGTTCTTGGGAACAGCTTCATGTCGTTAATTCTGCAGCCGTCTTTCCGTTCATCTCGTATCCCGCCGCGGCCGGCGTTGACCTTTCGCAAAACCATATACAATGGCATTAGCGACAGAACAAACAACAACGGCGACAGTGAGTCCCCTTGAAAAATCCCTCTTCCGGTACTAACCCCACCCAGGCTTTCGTTCTTAGCCGTCAACTTAGTCCTCCAGGTCTTCAAATTGTTGTTAAGTAAATGCCTCACCCCCTCAGCAGCCCCCACTAGCCTCAAAGACTCAACGATCCACGAATGCGGCTTCATGTCATACGCCTTCTTGTAGTCAATCCAAGCCATCGACATAATGGTCTTCCTCTTCTTGCAGTCTTTCAGCACAGCTAGTGTCAATCGATCACCGGTTGATCCTTCGTTCGCCTTGACCGTTTCTTACATCCTGTCTGCTCATCTGGAAACAAACCATTTCCCTCCAAGTGACAGTAGAGATCCTCAGCTATCAGATCAGTCAAGAGCTTGTAAGGAACAGAAAGACAAGTAATAGGTCTGTAATTACTTGCAACACTTCCCTTCTTGACATCCTTCATGAGCAAAACAGTCGATCCTCACCTCGGTCATCCACCTTGGCAGATTCCCATCCCGTGCACGAGACACTCCTGTAAATGCCCTGCAAGTCTACCGTGTATACTGCTGAAATTCTTCAGCTAGTATCCATGAACATGATAAACTCCCAGGGCTTTCTAATTTGAAACTTTCCTCAACTCACTCTTGACTTTTTTTCCCACAGCGATCGTTACCCCCTCCTGCCTATAAGAATACACCTTAGTTCTTCTCTCAGTTCTTGCAGCCACTTTGCCCGGTTGTTGTGCTGCTATGGCTTGTTCCAAATTCAAACCCAGATAGCCTTTGCCTCAGCTGCCCTTGGGACTTCCTGAGAATCGTCATCCTTACCATCCAGTTCCCTGAATAACTGTCTCTGGTTTGACCTAACCAGACTATTCTGACGAAACTGCCGAATCCTGTCGTCGTAGCTCTTCACCTTTGCCTTAATCTGCTGCTTGGTTTCCTCCTTGACGACCGTTATACCTTTAACCCGCACCTGGTATTTAACCATTAGCCTATCTCTCATGTCGGAAAAATATGTTTTGCCCCCCTCTAGAAAAAATCCTGGCGGCGCCCATGTTGATGGCATTAGCCTACCTGTTCAATTCTCTTCAGCATTCTTTCCTCCTCTTCTGTCAAGTCTGCATCATGATCCGCTCCTCTTGGCACCCCCTCACCCGATCGACCTCCGCCCTCGTGTGCAGCAGCCACATCCCCAATGCTAGCTTCAAAACCACCACCTGCACCCCGGACTCTCCATCCCATCATCTCTTGGAGCGTTATGCTGGATCCAACCTCATCAATTGAATACTGGCACCATCCTCTACACTTTCTCGCAAATTCCCAACCCGAGCAACCCCCTCTTGATTTCTTCAATTTCCACAGCGGTCACCACTGATTCTTCCTAATATTCCTGACCTGATCTGCTATACCGGCCCCTTTCCTGCCACAACTCAAACATATCCGCCTCCTATATCCTCTGGTTTACTACTTAGATAACACTGCCACCCTATTTTCTTCCTTGCTCCACTTTCTCCTCTTTCCTGCCTTAATACTATGATTATTCTGAGCAACACAAGTATACGATTTGGAGATGCTTGCCCAGGCGCACCTTCCAAATCGGGTGATGGACCATGCCGGAGAGACATGGCCATCTATTACACACCGACGACTTCCTGACGTAAGGCACACATTATCATCACAAAACTTATTATGAGCAATGGGTCCTACTTTAAAAAACTGATTGTATTCATCATTAATGATAAAGAAATAGATTTTTTTATCAAAACGAAATTAATTGGTGTGTCTTATTTTGTTATTGGCTGTCGTGAAGTAGCAGTAATAGTAAAACAATTGACAGAAATTCACAAGGGAACACGTCTTCTCTTGAGTCAAATTCTTTGTTCAATTTTTCAAAAAAAGTTTGATTTAAATTATTTTTCAGATGCTACGGTATTGAAGTTCATTCAATCGTTTAAGTTTTACATTAGTCCAACATGACGCTAAGTTCATAATTTTAAAACAACTTGACTATACTTTGGAGGTAACTCATTCGGTGGTAAAAGCAACTAATTAAGGACTCATATTTTCCACTGATCATGCATAAAATCTTAAACCTGCCTAATTCCTTAGGACCAATATATCATCGTTTGATCTGGTTTCCATATTTGAACAACTTCAGGAAAGTTGTGGACTCTTGAAGCGATCGTCACTTGAGTCCTTAATTAGTTGTATTGCCCCGATAACTAATTTATATTGTATTCTCGGATTTGTAAGTAAGATTTGAGGCTTTGCATGGTGGAGATACTAAATAATGAAAGGTTTGCGGAAACACCATGTGCGAATAATTTCTCAACTAAGAGAATGGTTCTGAAAAGAACCAGAAGTATAAACTCGACGTTCCGGTCAATATGCTCTGACCGTCTTCAGGAGAGATTTGATTAACATTGCTAAATCTCAACCTGATCTTAACATGTTACTATTTTCACTGATAGGTCTACTTTCATCTCCCTTTTATTCATTTTATTCGTTCATTCATCTATTCCTTTATTCTTCTCTTCGCTTCTTCATTTTGGGACCTTTAGAAAATAACATCTTCAATCAAAATGAAAATCCCGCTTGCATTTTCCATCCGATGTTGAATAATTCTTGCGTTGATTCTACGTAGCCTCAATCACCCGCATTTACCTATCTAACGCTAGTAGCGCCCTTCCCCATCGACCCAATTAATGACGTCTAGCGTTTCATCCGCGCTGTACAAACATATACCCAGTGTCCTTTCTTTCCGGTTCCCTCCAACCAGGCGTCATGTCTAGAAAGTAAAAAGCAACGGTAGAGTTGGCGGAGCCTCAAGTTGGCTGCAAACCCTCCGTCTTAAAAAGTTATCCAACTAACCTCATTTTGGCAAAAGGCCACCGTGCATTTTATCATCAGCTCATTGATGGAACTAAACAAATATCATATAAGCCATTTTAAAAAAAAAGGAAATGGAAGTGTCAGCGCCTCCGACGGTCGGAATCACTACTCACAACGTATTCTGAATATCTCCAATGTTACTAGCCACCCCCCCCCCATTTACTTTTTTTTTTATTTCACTGGGTAAAACCATGGAAGTATAGCTCCATGGTAATACCAAAATGTTTTTATAAATGTGTACATCGAGTGTCCGAAGTACGTCTTCATCCCGTCTTGCATGCGCAAACGTAGGGGCGGATCTAGCTTTCAGTAGCTGGGGGAGGGGGGTTTGATATAAGGGGGGGGGGGGCGTTCGGTACGCCCTGCTAGTGCTAGTGGGGTTCGGAACATTTTGAAGTCTACAACCATGATACTTTCTCCAGCATTCTAAGGGAATTTGAGAATAAATTTCCATTTATTATTTTTGGCCCAATTTTACTATTATAACATACATTCTACTATTATAACATGCTTCATAATATTAGCTAGCGCCTTTGATCAAGAACTCCCCCCCTCCCCTCCCCTCCCCTCGGGGAACTCGCAGAAAAACATTAATACCGTGGAGTTGATGTCATTGTTGCATTGTTGCATTGTTGCGGCCAACCACTCCCCCCCCCCCCCCCCCCCCCTCCAAAAAAAGAGAAGAGACTCTAGCGAGTCTTTTACAGCATGGAGGAAAGAACGCATACAAAGATCATTCTCGTCATTTGTGACAAGTCAGGAGCAACTCAACACTAAACTTTGGATCAAGTATAAAGTGCACTGGGATAGAATATTAATTTGGTTGCAACACCGCCTGTGATATTTTTTTCTTTCTAATTCAAATTAAAGGATAACTAGTGTCTCCAGTCCATGGAGCTACCTCCAACCGTATACAAAATACCATCAATCGGATATCGTCTTGCTTGATAAGAACACAATCGATTGTTCTTTGTCCCTTTGAACATGGAGCGCCAAAAGAGCGATTTAATAGTGACCCCCTGGCGCGCTCAAGTGCTTATCGGTTCCACCATCACCACCAGCAGAGCAGACGTCACTTTTAGTACCCGAATTCCTTGCTTTCTACTGGTAACTTTGTATTACCGGCGGTCCAAATTTGAAAACCGACCGAATCGAGAATTTTATTTGTGTTGGATAAAAAGAGAATAAGAGATTGTGGATTGCCTGTTCGAATTTATTTATTATTTTGTTTTTATATTACATGTATTTTGTTTTATTTATCAATGTTAGCTACTACGAGCACGATTAAAAATGCCTTCATTTAATGAAGACTATGGCATATAACGCTAGCGACGGGGAGGGGGGGGGGGGGGGTGACTGGGGAGTGAGGGAAGGGGGCGTTGAATAATGATGGGGGAACTTCATGCAGGGAGAACGGTCAGGGTGTGGAGTTTCTCTCAAGAATCAGCTGAAATTCTGGCACTGTTTGTAAATATGTATAATGTATTTTCCATCGATTCTAATTTTTTGTTTCCTTCATTTTTTGGGGGAGGGGGGGGGGTAACTTTAAAATCAATTAAATATGTCCTGTCCGTATCGTTTTCGAGTTGCACCCGACCCCGAAAAATAGATTTTTGTTTTACATTTAGATTTTTCTAACAACAAAATAGGTGTTCACTTCTGGATGGAAACATCGATCAAAAAATCAGTCAACCATTATATGGAGTGCGATACTTTACTGAAGACTTTGTTATTTTTTTTGGCGGCCCTACAACCATGTTCTGCCACGCGGTCTATTCACAGGGTGGATCTGAATGATTGTGCGCGAAAGAACCACCAATGAAAAGAGTTTTTTGCAGCTAGGGTTGCAGACGGCAAAATAGAAAAACATTTTGAATTTAAATATAATTATAAAAAAAAAAAATCCCCCGCCAAATATTCCCAATAAATTCGTAAGTGGGCTTAAACAAAAACCATTTTGGGCTGGCCCTCAGATCCTGCTTTAGTATTTTACAGTATATGCATGTTTAGAAGACTGGGTACCACACTACTAGCAGGTACTAGAAAGCTGTGACGTAAAACACCGGCGACAAAATGGCGGATTATTCCACGAAACGTGCCTCCTCCTGTTTAGTCTGGATGTGACAAAAGTTTTTACGCAAATAACCACCAAAAATGACACGGCGTGACGGAGACGCCACCATCAAAATGACAAGAATGGACCAGCAAGAGCCAGGACCTAGGAAATACTCGCTTGGGACTGAAAGTGAGGGCAAAACTTCACCACAGCCGGCGCCGTCGTCGACGGGGTCAAAGCACCGGCATGATCGCGACAGTCTGCGGTCAACTTCCAACTCGCTGCCGGGCTCAAGGGCCTCGTCACGGCCCGGATCACGCATGGCGTCCCGGACAAACAGCCAGGAGTCCATAATTGATCTTTTCGATGGCATGACACTGGCTTATGGTCGGAATGGGTAAGCATAAGTTGAATCATTCTTTGCAATTATAATCATTCATCTAAGCCCCTGGCCATGACACAAGTTACTTGGACTACTCCATCATGTCCATGGCCACCATACAAAATTTAAATCTGGTGGCAGTGGTGCACTTTTTTTATGTTAAGTATTTATTCATAATGTATTGCTCCATTTTTTGACAACCATAAAATTATAATGATTTTCTTCATTCTCATCTTTAAGTTTATAAAGCACTGAGTTGCATGTAATTCGTAAACGGATAACATTTAGCTAAACGTGACGATATGTTAAACAATAACATCATGGTCATGATGGTAGGCCTAGGCCCTATCCTGTTTTTCACAAAACTGGAAATATTTCTTTGTACAAATTTCATTTTTTTAATAATTAAATCACATTTGTTATGACTAAGACAGTCACTGGCCATGCTGGCCATCATTGTTGTGGTAAGAAAGTATTGTCAGGATTACTAGTAAATACTATCCAAGTCCAACTTTGTCATGATGTATTTAATATGCATTGTAAACTCGATATCTTATTTTATGTAAAATTGTTTTGTTTTTATTTTTGGGGGAAACATTAGGTCAGGTAAACAAGAAATATTTCCTCGCCCGGGCTTTTTGAAAAAAAAAAACCACTATTTTCTTTCTAGGTGAGGTCCAGACTGGGACCTTAATTGTTGATTGCTCAAAATTGTTGATTTTAAGTGCTCAAAACCATATAAAAGAAGATCAGGCCAACTTTATTCACTCTTTAGCCAGCAAATTTCTCCAAAACTTTCACTTGGCAAAGAAAAGGTCCTCAGTATTTCACAAATGAATGAAGTTCGAAAACGCAACTCAATTTTAAAGGCGACTTTTCTTCAATATTTGGCAGTGGATTGCACATGAGAGGGAATTCAAGTGAGGGTAAAGACTAGACTTGTACATGTCCATCCATGGTCCAACTGCTTGACAAAATTGACTTCTTCATTCATTGTCATTAGTCTGGTGCCTAACTATGGAGAAATGTGTAGAAATAGTGACCTAGTACCCGACATCCTAGATATTTCTTGTGGCACAGTCAGCTTGATGCAGTACTGAAGAGTTGGTGGACTGGTTGTTTCAGGTGCAAGTCAAGTATTTTCTTGTATTACATGTTTTTGTTGTGCCCATTCTTGAAAATCACGCATTCTTAAGAATGTGCATGCACATTCTTAAGAATGTGCAACTGGATCCTTGCACAATCTTCGCAAAAAATAACTCTTCCAGATTGAGCGCACATTCTTAAGAATGCGCGACAAGATAACGGTCTTGTCGATGCCGAGCACCGGCTGCGCTTGGCAAGTCTAGCTTAATCCTCGTTCACTGATTCTCAATAATTATACTGTTGCAACGCAAGGCACTGAAAAGTAGAGTGGATATGATAAGTATAGGCGTATTGATATGGGGGGGGGGGGGGGGGACCGGGAAAAAATAAGAGACATAATAATACTAGTGGAAAGAATTAAATTCTGATTTTTGGGATAATAAAAGCGGGGGGGGGGGGGGGGGGGGGGGGACGTAAGAATGAAGAATGTGAAGAATGAGAATGAATACTGCGACATCCCATAGTGCTAATGCTATTTCCCATTTAAAATGCCACCAATTTATTGTTCACACCCCACCATTACGTCGCAGAGCTGTATTCTATCTAGTCAAAAGAGCAATTTTGGCAGCTTCTGGACATCGTTTTTTTTTCGTGGCATGCATAATGATACATACAGGGACTTGTAACTTGTCTAGCCTGAGCAAAGCACTTCCCAGACTAGTTCCCAGTCCTCCGTTATTACAAAACTTCCCATAGGGGGCAGAAAAAAGCAATAATAACAGGTTAAATTTGATTCAAATTATCGTAGTTATTCGAGTTCAGAAGCATAGAACATTTTCTTTCCTGTTTATATAAATTGTTTCCCTTTTAACCGCTATACATTTCATTTAACATAATTATGTCGTGCAATGTTTGTTAAGATTGGGCAAAATTCATAAATTGTGCACGTGATATTCCCACCCAATCTTAAGAATGAGCACTCATCCTTAAGAACGCGTGCTCGTTCTTAAGAATGGGCGCTCATTCTTAAGAATGCGCGCACATTCTTAAGATTGCGTGATTTTCAAGAATGGGCACAACATTTTCAATACATGTTTAATTTTTGGAACTCTCATACACAGTAATTGAGAGCCCCAAATTTTCTGACTAGGTGAGGTCACCTTCATAGAATATATGACCAAAAGTATCTTTTCATGTAAAAAATACAAATTTGTTCATGTTTTTTGTGACAGATGGGACATAGCGACGTGGTTTTTACCATTCTTTCAAAATGGTGCAAGACTGTCATGTTTCATCTTTTGATTTAAAATTCTATAGTTCTGGATAGGGATGGCATCAGACTTTATAGTCATCCAAGAATAAAATATTTGAAGCATAATTTCCATCAGAAAATGGAGGAAAACATTACTTTTGTTTCTTGAAACTTCAACTTCAAGCCTTGATAAAAATAAATCCAAGTGCAGTAGAAGGAAAAAAAAATGTTTCTGAAAGCTTGGTTTGTCTACTTTCCAAGAAAAAAATAATTTACATGTAGAAAATGTACTTTGAAAATTTATGACTTCGCAACTCTTATCCAGAATTAACCATTGGTGATGTGGTCATATTTTGAGAAACCAAATATGCTAATCAGACTCTTATGAAAATGAGACTCCTTTACCCTCTTTATTGAAACTACTCATCTGAGCTTGTGTACGAAATATATACGAAATGGATTGTCTACATGCGTGATAATATATCTTGCATGTGCACATAGAACAATGCGTAGAACATGTAGACAGTGTGCGCGCCATGATCGCCGACAGCTGGCGTCCTGACAGAAATTGACCACTGAAAGACTGCAGTCATGCGCCGAGTCTCGTGCACGCGCAAGTGCTGTATCACGCATCTAACCAGAAATTTGGGGAAGTCCCTTATCCTTGTGAAGAGGATCCGTGGTTAAACCCTCTCACGTGACCAGTCCTCTCCTAATTATCTTCACTTAAAGGGAAAATACAACATTTGCAAACATTGAAAAATAAAACTACCAAGTTGTTACAAAATACCTTACTAGGATGTTGGTAAATGACAGTCTAAAGCATCTTGTAAAATTATGGCACCTGGAGTGAAGTCATTTTCAAGAAAAATTGTACTTTTGTATGGATTTCCAACGGTGGTCGGCCGACCATCGTTGGAAAAACCTAGCTATTTTTCAACTACTGCTCCAAATTAACCATTTTTTTTTTCAGTCCAAAATTTGTTTGCTATTGGTCCCATGTTACGTTCATGAACGGGTGCAGGCCAGCTAGATTGGTTCCCTTACCTTACAATTTTCCAGCATTTTTGATCCATTTCATCTTTAGTGGAGCCAGGGAACCAGACAACTTAAACATTTTTGTTTTTCTTCGTTTTTGCAGCATTTGCGGACACAAAACTTCAAACATGTCAGTGTAACAATATTTGATCTATTACTTACATGTACCCCCAAAATAATTCATTTCTGAAAATTACAGCAAAAGCCAATGATGTACATTCCCTTTAAGCATGCGCAAAGTTACCAGTGAGTCCGTATGTCATAGAGTCCTACAAAGTACAATTTACTTTGTGCTAACATGTACTTTGTACAGGTCTTTATTTTATTTGGTAGATTCAAGGGTCATTGTCATGGCAACAGGGCTTAATAGTAACCGACTCACCTTTGACGAGTCGAAAGGTTTAGTGTGGCAAGCACAATGTACAGATATTGTATGCATGATGTACCCAGTATGTGTACGTTAATACAAAATAACTATATTCCAATCTGTTGCAGTTAAGGAGACTTGTTAAAAAACTTTCTGCCATTAAGTTGCATTTGAGCCATCTCCAAACTAAACTGGAAGTTCCTAGAGGAGCATACATTACATGTAGGGCCATGTCTGGACTCATTCGCCAATTTTGTCGGCATCTGTCCACGTGTATTGACACGGATCAATACCATTCTACATGAGAGCATAGGGGGCACAAATACATTAACACCACAGAAATCTTCCCCATTTCATTTGCCCAATGGCATCCTCTACCTCCCTACCTCTGGGGAAGCCTTTACGCATTTACATGTGAAACCCAACTTGACAGGATCCAGATTTGCTCACAAATTAGTGGGGGAGGAAAAGGGGGGGGGGGGGGGGGGGGAGGGGGGGAGGGGGGGGGAGGGGGGGAGTTCACTACCCATCTACAGGTACCAGCCGTCTTGTACCTGCAACTTCAAATATGTATCCATGTGAGAAAATGTCGCAGTTCAGAGCATAAGCTGAAACAGCTGTGCATCCATAGCACCACACGCACACTCCACATGTACACGCATACTATTGTATGGTATACTACCGTAGCGTGCACATTTTATCATTACCCTTGTTGGACATTGCAGTTCACTCCAAGTACCTGCAATTTTACTCAAGTACATGTGTTTTTAAGATTAAGAACATGTTTTTCACTTTGTTACCGGAGCACAACATTTTTGTTGCCTTACTCATTGAACCTTTTATTGCTAGGAACCTCAACAAAACCACACAAATGTTACATTTTCTTTGAACGTGTTAATATAGCAAAAGCACAACAGTAATGTGCAGATTTTTGGGACAAAGATGGTTTCAATGCATACACATGAAAATAGAATAAATATACGGGTACAGATGTAGATTTTGTACATCTGCATGTAAAATCTGTTGATTCCCTTTCATTTCCGTGCATGCCATACCCATCCGTCTACGTATCTTTTAACCAGAAATAACATTTCCTGTGATATTTACCAATCTTTCATGTGTTGGCACCCACATCATGAATGGACAAATATTGCCTGGCCTTATTGATCTCCTTGTGGGTCCAAAGGTTGATGCGTGTACACAGCATACCCTAGCCTAGGCAGTTCATAGCATGGTATAAAAAGTACAGTTGACCGGTCCGGTTGTGAATGTGTGAAACCAGGAATTGCAACAACAACAACAAAAAAAAAAAAAGTTAATCTCTTTTCTTTTGTTATTTATATGTTATCAATAGTTTTCACATGTTTTGATGAGCTGTAAGTTCGGCAGTATGATATATTTTTATATTACCCGAAAATGAAGTGCTCACATTTGTCCTTTGTGCATTGTGGTAAATTCATGGTTTTCAGATTGAAATTACTCTTGGGACATATTGGTTGTTTCTGTACTTTAACCCTACACACAACTACCCTTATATCTACACAAAAAAATCACTACGTTTTGTTTCAATTCTGATGCATTTAAAATGCACTGAAATTAGTTAGTTTGGATTGATTGACATCATTGTTGAAGCTGTGCTGAGTATTTGAAGAATTGAATATTTCATTTATTACGTACTAGTGGTACACGTAAGTGGTGTATTCGCAAAAATACTCTGTTGTACCGGTACCATTCCACCATTCAAAGATTCAAATCATATTCAAGATTTTAAAAATTCATATTTTAATTCAACAATTCAGAAATAAAAATGTAGTTTAAACAAAGAGGAAAAGACAAGACAAACTGTTTGTTATCAGTGCCGTGTTGATCTCTTTTTTCCCTGTTAGATACTCAGGATTATTGCTTAAAACAGTAAGATGCCGCTATTACAAATATAATAAATACAGTTTAATATAGCTGCTCTAGCTCATTGTTAAACAAAACATTCTGAATATTTGATTGATATTCAAATTTGAATATTCATGCATGAAATTATTCAGACTGTATTGTTTTGCTCTTATTGCAGTCATGAAGGAAAAGGGTTCCAGCTTATCTCTCCTAAGCCCAGAGACCTCCCTCACCAAAGGTGGACATGGACCGACAAGTTGCGCATCAATAGTGCCATCTGGAGGGCATGGCACATCCAATGTGAGTTTTGTAACTTCCTCGGGTGTTTGGGGGGAGAGGGTTTGTCAACCACATTCATGTTAATTGATATGATAATAATACTTGGCATGAAATCAAATGCAAAGTCTTATTTGTGATGTAACGGCAAGTATTCGAGCTACAAATTTTGCAAACTTGAACTTATTTCAACCACGGATCCTCTACAGAAGGATAAACGACTCATCTGAGCTTGTGTACAAAATGCACGGAACGGTTTGACTACATGATGCGTGATGTTCCGCGTCCGCGCATAGAACAATGCATAGAACATGTAGAACAATGCGCATGCGCCATGAATCCCAGACATGAAATCTCGTTGAAACCAGTCAGAAATTTGACTGTAGTCGCGCGCCGAGTTTCGCATACACGCACGCGCACGGGCCGTATCTCGAATGTAACCAGAAATTTGAGGAAGTCGTTTATCCATGTGTAGAGGATCCGTGTTTCAACTCTGGCAGATATCTCCGTCCGCCATTTTGAAAATTGATATGTCAGACTTGTTTCAAAATTGTGCAGCAAATCAAAAAATTCTGTCACGGGTAAAACAGCAATTTATTTTCTTCAAAAATAAAGCTGTGTCTTTTATCAACTTTGATAAGTTGAGCAATGGCAGGCTCCACAATGATGACGAGTATACTGTATTCATAATTACCTGAGACAGTTTATACATTCCCATTGGTCAAGAGCCCGTCACGTGGCCGGTCTTAAACGGATGATAAAAACATGGCTGGCTGGTCTTATACACTTTTTCAGTGTCACATGAAATTTGGACTCCTATGAAGTCCAGTGCATGCGCAATACTACCAGTGAGTCAGTAGGCCTATTTCATAGTCCTAAATACACAATGCACTCACCACAGCTGCATCTGCGTGTCATCGTGCAGTATGCGCATGCCAATCTCAGTAAAAGGAGTTATTTACGTCTTACTTGCGAGCTGGACACTCCATCATATAGCTAGAGGGGTGTTTCGAAAAAAGTAAGATTGTTGAACAAAATCGTTGGAAATTTTAAATTTTTGACTTGTTTTGATTTTTTGACCGAAAAGGTATTTACAAATATATGAATTTTTCGCCTCAGGTACTTATCAGCATTCCAGACTCCAACCAGTCTTAAACCTAGTGTTTGACACCTCCCAAGCACACATTTATTCCCTCAAGTATTAAAAGTCACTATGCCTTAACTTACACCATCTAAAATGACTGTGCAAGTTACACCATAATTTATGTAAGTCGCAGACTTACGCACTTTGAGTATGACACTTTTGTATGAAACCATGAAACCGACAAACCCTGTACATTTAAGAATGAACAAGTTTTCTCTATATTTTTCTCTAGTTGTGAAAGGCAAGAAACCGATTGGATGTCACTTTGAACCGCGACTTCCTGAATCCCGACCCACACTGCAGGTGAGACCTTAATTATATGACAAAGCAATACCGAGTACAAAGAAGCTGCCATGTACATGTACGTGTACTTGAATTGCCCTAATATAGTTTTGGACATTTACTGTATCCCATTATATTCTGTGTATTGAGAAGTGAACATTAATGTTCAGAATCAGAAAGCGTCATGAGTCCAAATTTCACCTGAAATGTAATTGGGGGTGCTTGGTAGTGGGACAAACATGTACGGGTACCATTCTGTTTTTACCATTGTTCTTCAACCAGCTGCCAAATGCACTGTATTCACCTTCAGTTACATGTACCGGTAGGTAAACAGTTGACAATAGGCCCCTCAAGTCTGGTCTTGTACATGTGCTCATGTACATGCACACACCGGTTTGTTTTTGGTGTAAATCAAGGATTTTCTATTGTTCCTCTTCCTTTTCCCTTTGTTTATACTCAGCTCTCATTGGTTTTGTACATGTTTCTAATCGAGGTCGTCCTCGATTTGGTTCCTGTCCTTAATTCATCGATGATGTTGCACATGTCCTCGACCCTCACAGGTACCCATTTATACTCCTAGGTGGAGAGAGGCAATTGTTGCCCAAGAGCACAAACACCATGTTCCTGGCAGGGTTCGAACCCACACACCGTCGTACATGAGTCAAACACTGTAGCCACTGCACCATGGCGTTCTACATGTACCCAGATTGGAAATGCAATGATTCATTCCCCTTCCCCATGTTTTGTTTCCCAACTCCAGGCGGATGCAATTCAGAGTGGCCGGGGGACTACTGGCAGCATTCAGTACAACCAATCACAGGTCGGCTCTGTCGTCAGGGACTATAGACGATGGCGTCTCTACCACATGGACACCGGCAAGGTATTCAGACTGAGGTTCTGTTCAAACTAGGACAATTGTAAACCATGGCTTTGGCTTTTCATTGAATGCTATGTCAATGCTTCAAAGCTGAAGCCTTAACCAAACCACTGACTTGGATACTTGCTTAGTTTGTGTTGAGGGTTCGCTCATACCCAGTACCCTGTACAGGGGCACTGGTGATGGTAAGTCTCTTACAAGAAACACAAGGCATTGTGGGAAGCTTAACCCAAACCCTCCAGGGTCTTTTGGCTAGAAACCCTGCTGAACATGCAACACTTGTCTACGTGAAAACACTTGTCCACATGACAAGCCTGCCCGGTGTACCAAGATCCATCAGGTCAAAAATCTCAAGGGCCAAACTGCCTCAGAGTCTGTGGTCACCAACTACAGCAGGATACAACTGTGGCATTGTTCAATGGGACTAGCTGTCTATGTCTCGGAATTGACCGTTTATGCACTGGTGATGATGGCTCAATGCTGCAAGGTCCCAGAGACTTTTACACCTGATGCACTGTGTTCCATGGGCAGGGTTCATGCATGTACATTCTGTATTGTGTACAGATGAAAGTGTTAATACTCGGCCACTGGTTCAACAAAATCAACCCAATTACATGTAGAGCTGACACATATAAGCTGTGGTATGTGCTAGCAAAGTCCTGAAAGATAGAAGAGAATCATAAATCCCATACGTTCAGAATGAGAGTAGAGTTGCAAAATCAAGTTCTGAAATTTCTTAACAGGGGGTTTATTCCATGTCCCTGTTTTGGTTTAGTAGAATACGCCATTTAAATTTTTTTTAAAATAAATACTGCATTAGTAGTTTTGGGCCTTCCTAGCTTCCTAGCACAAATACATGTATGCCCACTGATTAGGATTAAAGTACATGTACTTCTGAATGTCTCACCCCTTTTAGCCTGGGACGACCTCCTCCTCTCAAGGGGAGCCTGCAGAGAACCCAGAAGACAAGGCCTTCAATTTGGACTCACGCCACCCACCCCTGTCCCCGATGGCAGCCCGCACACTCCTTAACGATGACCTGTCCAAGGACTTCTACGATACGCTGTTCATCAGCAAGAAGAAGTACTTCTCAGTTCCCCATCCCAAGAAAATTGGTGAGTGAGAGAAGTAGGGTTACAGGCTCATCTGAGTTTGGCTTTTACTCGGATGTTTTTGACCGTTGTGCTTTAACTTTGTCCTCGGCAATCAAAATCAACACTTAAAAGTGTAAATTTTCCTGATGGGTTTTGCCCTTCACAGACGTGCTGTCTTCATGAGCTCCCAGACAGCTCTGTGTATACAGTCCACATGAAAAATACCAATATCCAAAAAAAAAAGAATATTACTGAGGGATGCTTAAGCATACCTCTTAGACATTTAGATGCAAAATTGGATGTGCTTATCCCACCCAGTGAGAATGCAGGAACTGGTGCAGTGAATAAAGCAAAGTTATGGACTTGAATGCTCCTGGCTATAAATGGTAAAATGGGATACAAAATACAATCATAATTTCAAAGCAATATGTCGTCTGGTCAAGTTAGATTTCCTTTGGAACATTGACATTGTTTATAGTGATCAGAAGTGTGGGAAAAACAGTAGACCACTGTTAGAAAAGTTCAGTGACAGGAAGCACTGAACCAGCAGTCAAGTTGATATGTTGAGCCTTACTTAACAGAGTTTTGATATTTACTTACTTGTCCAGCCCGCCATGTCTACAATGCCGATATCTTGCAGCCAGGGCTGATGCAGCTGGAACCAGACTTTGATGATGATTTCATGGATACATTGGACTCCCTACAAGGTAACAAACACAACCTTCAAAACCTATTTCAACATTCAGATTGAACTTCAAAGTTAGAGTCTGCCCTGCCCTTCAGTTTGACTTTCCACTCCTACATTTCAGTTCAACTAGTAGAACAATGTAAACATGTGGATGTCAACAATACAAAAATGCTACGAAATTGGAATCAACCAAGCTTTCAAACCCTATACATTTTGCTTGGAATTAACACATTTTGGCAGGAATTGTTTCAGTTTCATGGGTTCGTATCTCTTCATTGGACACACACTGAAACTGGATTCAGAGACTAAATCGTGCTAATAACACCACAACACCACACATTTTTGGCCTAAGTTTTTAAAGTTTTTGTCGCATACAGTCTGACTTTCCTGCTCATTTTCAGATACGTTTTGCAAGACCCCTACCAAGGTAGATCTGCGTAGTCTGATTGAGTTCAATGATGGTCTGCTCTGTACGGATAGCATGAGCGCCTTCGCTGACTCATTCTTCGGCCCGCTCACGGTAAGAGGGTTTGTTGGTCCTCTGTAATTTAACCCTTCACCCTATCAGATCCTTCAAACATTCTGCCAGAGGTTGTGGAGGATTTTGCAGTATTGTGGAAGCTATTACTTTACATTGAGCTTGATGTCCTTTGAAAGTTTTAAGTACAGGGCAATTCCACAGGATTATAAACCTCAGTGCCAAAATTTCTAAATGGTCCAACTGCCACAAATAAAACATGTATACCATTTGAAGCTTATCATCTGTATCTTATTGAAACATAGTTTATTTCTAAATATTTTCAATATTTTGGCTGTTATTTGCTACTGAAAAATTAATTACACACAAAAAATCAGTTTGATACCATGGTGTTTGGAGCTGATTTCTAGTACAGAAAAAAAAGAATGAGTAGTTTCTTTTTTTAAATCATTGTAGTGACTAACTGATATGTTTTATCAGAATTAAAATCCACTTCAGGATTCTTTCGAAAAATGACTACTTGGAGGGAATTAGGGTTAAAAGGGTACTGATACCGATGCCACTAAAGCTTGCACTCAACTAAACCGAATGGCTTTTATTTAATTTATGCATGAATTTCATTGCTTTCTTGAACATGTTTGCAATTGCTTCCAAGTTTAATTCACTACTGTGCTAAGCCTCCAGTGACATCAGCATCCCGTGTTTGATTGGGAAAATAATCTTTTAATGTGATTATTTTGACGTAATTTTTCCTGGATCAGACCGTGAGTGAGGAGACTAGCGATGCACAGCAGGATCCCATCCCGGTATCAGCCAGCATGGCCCCCTACCCCGTGGCAATCACGCCCAATCCAGCCAACGTGGCCCGCAATCTTACCTTCCCATCCTTCTCGGTCGCTCCATCGGCAAGTACTCCAGGGACGTCCTCCTGTCAGTTCTGGGGCCAGCCCGGCTACCAAGTCACTGCTGGTAAGCAGTCGCAGGCCGGTGGTGCTTTCCCCAAGCAAGCCACAGGCGCTGGTGCTTCTCCAGTGTCAGTGGTCTACACGTCTGGGGCAGTCTTTGACCAGATGCCGCCCATCTTGGAAGTATCGGGTGCTGGTGCTGGAGGTATGACGATGATGGTGGATTCGACCCCTTACCCTAAGCCACAGATTAGCTGTATTTCGTCTACCCATTCACAGGTAAGTCTAGAAATGATGTGGTCATGGAAGGTTGCATCAAATGGTCTAATTTTTAAATGTTGGCATTGCTTGCGCTGCCCATTTCTATGGAGTTTGTGCACTAGTACCCTGTCCATAGTTACAACAAAATGGTAACGTGGCCACCATATGCGTAGCACTCACAATGACAGTACAGGTTCAGGCACATTCAGTATAAAGTATGTCTTGCATACTTCAAACAAGAAAGCACATCAATCTTATCCCACAAGTCTTATCTTTCCAGTGGTTACAAAGTGCCATGTACTGTTCAAACATGGAGTCCATTTCAGATTCAAACTGGCCAGACAAATCTGGAAGTTGAACCTGCCATAAGGTTCAAAATGTATTCATGAAACAGCCGTAGAATGCATAAGTTGAGTTACACATACTTTGCAATTTCCACAGGTGTATTCCACAGCAATTGCCAAGCAGGAGCCATACAGTCCACCAATGGCTACCAGTCCTCAGACCATGAACACTGGAGTGGACATCAACGATGCTCTTGATATAATAGCTGCTCAGTTACAACAGCAGCAGCAGCAGCAGCAGCAGCAGCAACAACAACAACAGCAACAACAGCAACAACAACAATATAAACAGTTGCAGCAGCAAGCCCAGAATGCTTCTGTTGTCGGCATGAGCCACACCAGTTGGTCTGGCAGTAGTCAGAAAGGACAGCTACAGCCCACCTCGCAGACTTACACCATGCCAATGGAATCCACTAACTGGCCCAACTCCAACCTGCCTCAGGCCCTACCTTCCTCAGGCGTGAACTGGTCCTTAGCTGGGGGTACGCCAGATGTTTCCATCACTATGGGTGGATTCCCACAAGGCATCATGTCTCAAGGAGGCCTGTCAAGCTCCAATATGGCATTTATCCAGAATGCAGGCGGCCTGCCCCATGTGATGATTGCTGATACCATGGCACCAATGGACCAAAACATAATCCTTGGTGCAGCGTATTCCCAACAAAATAACACAGCACAATCAAGCACACACAGCACACCGGGCCACGGAACACCAGGTCACACAACACCAGGTCACAGAACACCGGGCCATGTAACTCCAGGCCACAGAACACCAGGGCATGTTACACCAGGTCACAAGACACCGGGACATGTGACTCCGGGTCATGTGACACCTGGCCACATGACTCCAGGCCATGTGACTCCAGGCCATGTGACACCAGGCTATGTAACCCCAGGTCATGTGACCCCAGGTCATGTGACCCCAGGCCATGTGACCCCAGGTCATGTGACCCCAGGTTATGTAACCCCGGGACCACTGACACCACAGATGGATGAAAGCATGGAGTTTGAAGAGTTTCCATTTCCATCCACGCCCAAGTCCGGCAGTAGCACATCGTCATATAAGACAAAAAGAGGTTTGGGGAGCTTTAAAAAGCATTTGGCATAAATGCATGATTGTGCCAATGCTTCAACTAAACCTTTCAATTTGAATACTAACTTTTGGTTTTGTGACTTTTGCAAGACATATTTTAATAAATCAAAGTTATTAAGAATACAAGACGAGAGGAGTCACTGCATAATTTGATGCCCATCAATAGGTTCAATTCTTGCAATAATTTAACATTTGAGGTAACAAAAGGGCATGGATATATGAAAAGTGTTTTGAGGCAACAAAATATTGATGCGGTACAAGAAGATGCAGTTCCTTAGCTTAACTGAAAGGCCTTTTATAAACCAATTTGCTGATACATCAAAAGGAGTCTGTTTGAGAGGATTAGATTTCAATACAACTTCTCCTTTTTTTACAGAGCGCCCTCGCAGTCGGAAGAATTCCCATGACCGCAGTCCACGCGTCAGCCAGGTCGGGTTCACCGACTCGGCCTCCTATGCCAGTTATATGGGAAAGGTATGTGCTATGGGAACCAGATTGTCAACTGGTTCCCTGTTATGAAAAAAGGGTGGGTGAGAGCAAGTGATAACAAACTATTTGGTAAAAATTTTGTGAGGTGAAAGGCTTTTCTTGTTTTTTGAAAAAAATCTAATTTATTAGAGAAAACTTGTTGTGATCAAGTTTGTTCCATTATTATTACTGCCTAAGTTACTGAGAGGTTTCCTTTCACTAACTGCATCGTCTTAAATATCTGACCATATTCAGATATTAATTCCAACAGTTTTCACAAGGGAAAAAGTGAATTGCAATTAGAAACCTTGTTCCTGAATACAAAATTGATTTAGCAGGAACAAGTTGATAGGACTTTCTTATGGAGTGTCTTCCTCTTTGAGTTTAATATGAATCAATTTTCAAAACTGAGGTTAGTCAGTTAGTGGGGGGGGGGGGGTCTTGAAAAAAAAGAGCTTTAAATTTTAACATTCTTTCTTTCAACATTTAAAAGAAAGGAAAAATCATCAGTATTTCTTTTTCTGAAATAGAATCTTAAATATAGGTGATAAAGATTACAAAGGTGAGTAAAGTTTCTTTGATCATATGTTTGTTTTAGTGGCGATTTTTAATCACACTGTCATTCCCCCTTTTTCCCCCTCCTTATACAATGTACATCTCTATAGTCTGAGGCCAAAGATCTTGGCATGCCTAGCCCATCAGAGATGTCTGTAACCCCCTTCCTCCCGTCATCCGGCCATCCGTCCAACGTGTCTAGTGAGTAACCCCCAAAAAAGAAAAAATGCCCACACAAAAAGGAGGCGGAGGACACGAAAAAAAAAGTATCCAGACGGGTAGCCGAGGGCCAGGCCAGGGCAAGCTAGAGTTGTCGGAGGGGCCACCTTCCTCAGAATTCACTTGTTACATGCACAATATGTTGAACCCCACAAACACAATAAACCGTTCGCACGCTGCGTTCGGTGTGCGGCAAGTATAGCCGCGGCGTTATGTGTCAGCGTCGCGGTCTTTTGCTTGTTTTGTTCTCTGCCCTGACCTTTCTTGCGCTTTGGAGAGTTGCTTTTACACTACTCAAACAGTATACTGCCATTAAAGGCATTCTGAACTGGAATTCTTGTTTCAGAATGTTGTGAAATTTGTGATTTCTTCATTAAAATCAAACAATCAGTCGTCGTATTATCAACGGCTGTTCTTTTTTTTTCAGTAAACATCAAATTTTATCTGGGCTGAATAATAGTACTCTTCAAACCAAAAGGTCATGGCCGAAAACTGGTTTGTCTTGTGTGTGTGATATTTCCTACCTAAGCATGTAAGCCTTGATCACCCAAAGATTTTTCTTGTTGTTCTGTAGGCCAATTTTTACAGTCCCCATCCCATTTTTCTTCTTTTAAGGATCTACTTCTGTCCTTATCTACAGCTCCTTCATCTTGTACTTTTAATGCTCCAGATTTTTCTCCGCAGGAAAAAAACACAACCCTCCAAAAATAATCTGAAAATATTTTTAACTCACAAACGAGCACAAGTTGATTAATAACGTGAAATTTCTGTTTCAGATTTTGCTTTTCCTTTTCAGATACTGTACATATGAACAAAAATCTTGCGCATGCCAAATAAAACGAGAAATTGACGCTTAATTTCTCCTCATTTTAAGTAAACAACCTTTTCATGTAGACAAGTTTTGCAGCCCTCAATTTTGAAAGCGAAATACTTTCCAAAAAATCTGTAGAAACTTGTTGTCTGGTAAATATATTTGTCACTCATAAACTGGTAAGATTGGGTTTATAAAGATTAGGCACATTCTGCTTATGCAACCAAAAGAAAGTTTTTTTCCTTACAGAGTATATTTTTCCACTTTTATATTTCACTTATTCATAATTTTTTTCTAAATTGTAAAAAAAAAAAAAAAAAAAAACACAAACCACCAGCATTCAGGAATAGTGCAAACAGATTTGCGTATACAAAATTTCGTAATCCTTATCCAGAGTAAAACTATAGTTCCGGCACTTGATTCAAATTGATTTATCCACACAGATGTCTTTTCCTGTAAACTGGTCATACATCACCATGTTTCTCAAGTCCATTTTCCATCACAGAATATGAATAACCCCTTTGATTTAATTGTGTGATAAATTTTGCATCAACAGCATTGTGATATAACCTTGTGTTACAGCTTTCTTTGTAATTTGTATTCAGATTTACTAATAGTCCTTTTTTGTTATTTTCTTTCCAAAACACCAAATTTTTGTTCTTTCATTCACCGCCAAATCATCTAACGTCTTCGTTTCGTGATTCGTATGTCTACCTGTTTGTCACTCCTTCTGTCAATGTGTTTGCTGTGTTCTCCATGTCCGTCTCTGTATCCTTTCCACGTACCTTCTCCCCCACCATGCGTCACCCCTTCCGTGTACCCAAATGACCACAGGTGCGGCATCCTCCCCTGGCAGCGTAACAGAAGGCACAGAATTTGAGGTTGGTAGAAAACTATCGTGCTTCATAAGTGACCAGAATCAATTCTCTATTAAACATATGGCATTGGCTTGAATATTGGGTCTGCATGCCCTCCAGCAGTGACAAGATTACATTAGATGAGGGGACTTCATTAACTGTAACTCTCCCAAACAGGTGCTTTTGGCGGAATTTGCAGGATTTATGAGCGTAGAGCCCAGCTAATGTTACTTTTTACAAGTGGCCTGTTGCCCCTTAAAAGTTTTTTTCGTACAAGGAATGAGCCATTGTTTTCCTCCACAGTGGCAAAAATGCTTCGGGAGTCGGGTTTACAAGACATGAATATTCTAGGCCAGATTTCCAAACTTAATAGTTTTCTTATGAAACTCTTTCCAGCTTTATGACTGGATTATGGAGTGTCAGTCAAAGTCGGTGAGTTGAAAAAAATATACCTAAAGTGCGTGTCACCACAGCTTCTGTGAGCTAGAAAACCATCAATAGTTTTTTTACTCCACTCATTCCCCCCCCCCCCCTCCATTTTGTTTTCTTTTTTGGGGGGGGGGGGCAGTATTCACGTGTAATCAGCAATAGTTCCAAAGTGCAGTATTTAAACCTTACCCTTATGACAGGACTATTTACTTCTGCACTCTATGGCACCACACTTTACCATAGAAATGTAAAGGGGACGAACCTTTGTTTGATTGGGCCAGACTCGAGTCGATGTAATGCTGCTGTTGGGGGTATCGTCACACCTCCTCCACAGCGAGTCTGTTACCTTCCCAGCATTGAATAATGCCGGTACCCATTTAACACCTGGGTTGAGAGGAGTAATTGAGGTAAAGCGCCTTACTCAAGGGCACAATACGCATGGCCACGGCGGGGCTCATACCCGCAATCTTACCATCATGAGGCCTGTGCTCTACTGCTAGATCACACGTGCCCTAACTATACCATAGCTCTGGTAAATTGGTCCAAATGCTCTAACACAACCATTGTAATCTGCCTACAACACTACAGCCAAACACCACACAACCAAACACCACACAACCTTGCTGTAACTTTTAGGGTATAATTTGCCCAGTTTACACCATTAGCATAACATGTATGCATGCAGCTGTTTACAATGTGTGACATACACCAAATAGTGAAGCTTTTTGTGGTATAAGGTGGAGGGATGATTACTTTTCATTATATATGACTTGAAGCTTTGCATGGGCGGATGAGATAAAGCAGAAAGATTGCGGGTAACACCATGTGGAAAGTAATCTCTTCTTGAAAGAAGTGTGGTTCTGAAAAGAACGAGTTGGTTGAGTGTAGAACTCGACATTTCAGACTGTCGGACAGAGCACACGGTCTTTCTACTTTACTTTTCATTAGCTAAAGTATATTTGACATGGATAGAGAGTGACGTGCATTGGTATTGTCATGCCAAATTGAATGGCAAAAACTCATCACAGCCATTAGAAGCTTGCTTTATAGAGATACATTCATACATCATGTACATGGACATTTCTTCAAAACTGACTCAAAGCTGTATGTGCTGTTGGGACACTGCATGTTTAATTCCCTTAGAGCTGTAACCAGTCTCTGACAAATTTCCACCTGTTTTGGCTCTGTGCACAAGGCTGCCCTTTAGTGACAGAAATGGGAGATTTTACTGTTAAGTGATGACATCGTACCATCATTTTGCATCATTCACTTTGAATTCCGTAGGCACAAACAGTAAATGTCATTACCCAGTGATTTTAGTAACACTTGTAGTTCTTAGACAAAAATGGGTTATTCAACATTCTGCAAAGAACTGTTCACAGGTCATTGTGCAGAGAACTGGAAACCCAACATTCTTAGAACTGGTCTGTTGACATACTGAGAAAAAAAAACGGTGTCTGTATATTCTGTTAAAAAAGTGTCTAAAATTCTGAGAGGAATCTATAATCAACTTGGCATTTGGAACAGAATGCTCTTCCATAAATAGCAGAAAGATGCACCACAACATAGATTTTGCATGTCGTACATGCTGATAATTTTGTTTTATAATTACATGTTAGGAATACCCTGTTTATGATTTGCATGATTTTGCACAAAGCTTGAAATTTAAGAAGCATTTTAAAATTTCAAGTCAAAATAATGTATTAAGTTTGAATGACAACATCTTTAATGGTCCCTCTTGGAAACACATCAACAGTTTAAGACCACACAGTGTTGCCCAACAGTTGAAAGTAGGGTGTCCAATTCTTTCATAATGTGTAAAATTGGGTGTTCAGATTTCCACCACGAGTCTATTTTTTTAAGTTTCAAAAAAGGGTTTGGTTAGAACCCATTAGCTCCAGTTACGGCCATACTCCAATTCATCTCTTACCATTGCTCCATCAAAAAAAGCTTTAAGTGAAAGGACACGCATAGTCAGAAGCATATAAAAACAAAAGCAATCATGCTTAACCAGTTCACGCCGGGATTATTTTGACATTGACTGGACCCAGGCCTGGGATTGTTTTCACAAACCTCGATGCCAGATGGGTTCAGGCCGTCATTTGCAAGTAGCACACCCTGATATTTCCGGCCTCGCTCGTTGCGTGTTTATCCATCATCTGTTCCGAATACTGCAAAATCTTTGCGTGTATACACGTCATCAAACGTAAACTAGTGAACCAACTCAAGTTTGTTTAGTTTTTGTTTTGTGTTACATGTATATAGTTCCCAGTTCCTTCTGTTCAACACGTTCAATCTGAATGGTTCGTGAGTGTGAAGCACTTAGTGAGAACACAGCAACAGTGAAAATCGTTGCTGTTTAGATGCAGCTCAGAGTATTGCGGAGGATTCTAGAAGCTTCCTAGCAATTTTGTTGGGGGGGGGGGCTTGAGGTGTTAGTTTATTAAGTTTGTAATTCCCAGTGGAAGTGATACATTTCAAGGAATTATATGACAAGGACAGGTCACCTCAGGGTAAGCAAGGTCACTTTAACAGGTTCAAAAGGGTATAAAAAAAAATCTGAAAACCTTGGTTCTTATGTTTCTTTTGTTTGTTCTTGCTGCAGTTCCCCACACCTCAAGCTAAACGGAGAAAGACACCAGACAGCAATGGAGAAAAGGTTTGTAACAGCTCAACAGAACGGTTTGATGCAGAAAAATCCAAGTGAATTTTGCACATGTTCACTATTTTTCAACTCATTTTGCACAACCTGTAAGCCAACTACAATCTAGCATTACTGAATGCAGAACACAAACTGATCAAGCAGCACCTTGCTTTCACCTTAGGAAAGTCGCCGGAGGTACAAGCACCTACAATCTGAGCACAAGCGTCGCTTCAACATCCAGTCAGGATTGGATGAGATCCAGAGGGTGGTGCCCGGCCTGCGGAATACCAGCGACTCCAACAAAAGCAGTACGGCCACCATGCTGCAGAAAGGTGGGCAACTGTAGACTAGCCAGATCCATAGTCTGTAGTCATGACTGACAAGTATGCCTGCAGGTCTTATGTGCACTCACTATGCGCCTTTGTCATATGGGATCACCGCAATGCATGTGAACCTTAAGCAAAACAAGTCATGTGTGAGCGAGTTACAGTAAGGGGGGAGAATGTACTGTGAGGTTAACTGTGAGGATGTACAGTGTTTTAAAGGGTATCTCTGGCTTCAACCTGGAGATGTCACTTGTTTAATTTTGCAGTATTACCCAATGTTTTCAAATTGTTCGCGCCATAAAAGTCCATTGAACTTTCAAACGTTTGTGTTGATACCAAGTTTCACTTTTTTATTGAAGCAGTTATAAGCACTCTTTGCTTTCTGGGGAATGCATCGTATGCGAGAGATTTATTCAAATCACAAGCTATTTAAATGGATGTTGTCAAAAGCATTCCTTTGTTATTGTTCATTCTCTGTTTCTGGTGACTGGATTTGTGATGGACTCACTACATTCCTGCTCAATAGTCCTTTCATAGAGCTGATAAGGTGTTAGCCTTTGAACAAGACTAGATTTGCAGTTTGTTCACCTAATACAGCTAGTCCCTTAAAACGAGGTCCAGCTTAAAATCGCGGTCCAGCTGATATGTCGGTAAAGGGCACTTATACTACGTTATTTATGCTGAAAGATGCACCACCATGTTATTTATACTACGCTGCATCGGGAGTCCTGTTTATTACGTCACGATTTACTATGTTTTGTTTGCTGCCCCCAACGACGACTTTTACACAAATTGCACGTTCAGGTGGAAACAGGACCTGAAAACAGCTCTCAAAAGTACCTTTTGTACTCATTTCATGACAGACACAATAGTGGTTTTTATTTCATCACACCTTAGGCTACATATACCCGAAAAATGACGGAAATGTCTTCGAGCATTCCACAACTTCTTTAAGGGGAACAAAATCAAAATCCAGTCTTGGACCTAGATTCATAGGGTGTGGGATCCCAGCATAACTTCATGTGTGCTTTATTTCTGTGTGCAGCCCATGAGCATATAGTGCTTTTGAAGGCAGAATTGAAAGACATGAGGAACGATGCTGAGAAACTCCGTGAGGAAGTACAGGCGCTCAACACCGAAATAGAGTAAGGCAGATCCTTGTTATTGCCATGTGTAATCAAACTAAGTGAAATTTGAGAGTTAACCATTTTCTTTCGTATTCAACTGAAAATCATTTAACCAGTTTGCATTGGATGACGTGTTAACACGATCTGGCTGTTTTTACATACAGGCACGGCTGACTGGTTAAAACGTCAAGCGTGCCTTGACTCTACATGTGTCTAATCACCCATTTGTTTTGTACACACACACACACAGTCCGAGAAGTTTGTGTAGGCGGACCGTGTGTTGAACTTGAACAAGGCCACTGTGCACCGCCTGTTGTGGTACAATTTACGCTCCAGTGCACACCCCGGAGTGTTGAAAAATATGAGGTTGCGGCAAGAAATATCGTACAAATACTGTTGAAATGACTCTTGCGAATCAGTATTAGTGGTGTTTGACTGTACATCAAAAGTTGGCCTGTATATCAAAAGTTGGCTGCTATATTTTGCTTTTTCAAAAATCGAAATTTTTGGCAAAAATAACTGGTTAAGACTAGCCTTGTGAAATTTTTTCAGGTATGGTAAAATGTGTGTTTTAACCATTAGGTCTGCAGCATGGGCCGCAGATCTGTACCACTCCTGTATGGCTCACTATGTTTGATATCCAAGCTTACACCACATTCTTGCTGACACAGTTACACTGTTCCAATAAATTGGACTGACTTTGTTCAGTTTTAGATGTGGGATGAAATCTCTGGAATGACTTATATCAGGGAAAACTCACAGAACGCAGCAGAGAGTGAATTCCTAATTCATTTGAGGGCCTAGATAGGATCTGAGCCACGGCCACCAACCTGATTCCCTGAGTTAAGAGTAAACAGTGAACGAGAGAGTATCTCTAAAACAAAAAAAAATCTGTTTGTCATGCATAGAAATGTATTACGAGTATTGATTTTATCCGTAGCTCATGTCAAGATGAGTTACCAGATAGCGGGGCACCAGTCACTGCCCAGAGCGACCGGCAGCTGCACCAGATGATGGACACCTACACCCACCAGAAAATGAGGGAAAACTGGACATTCTGGATCGTATCCTTACATTTGTCTGGACTTAAAGGTATAGTCCATCATTTGTAATTAGTGCATTTTGTTCGTTTGAAGCAACAAAAGTGTTCAAAATCTAATGAAGGATACTGAGCAACTAACCTGATGAAGTTTCAGCTAAGCTTCAGCTGTACATTCCGAGAAAAGCAGCATTCTAGGATCTCAATTTCAAATCAAAAGTTACTGAATCATGTTTTGAATTGTTTTGAATTGCAGCTATACGCGGCGTCGCGCACTGATCCAACGAATTATAACAACCGCGCGCGTGTGCGTCGTTCCAATACTTGCGCCGAATAACAAAACGAACTACTAATTGAAATTTTCCTACGGTGCTTCTTAAGAATCACCGTTGGAAATGCCTTCTTTCGTTGATTACTTCAAAATGACAGCTTCCCAGAAGGAATAATTTCACAGGGAGTTTAGTCCACTTACTATCTTTCAACCAAGTGTGTTTTTCAACAGTAATTACGCCAGTTACTTTTCGGATGGCTGCAAATGATGGACTATAGCTTTAACACGTTTTGCCTCCTGCAATTCATATGATAGAGCGCCCAATGCTGCCGGTGCAAGAAAATGTGTTAATATCCATGTGTTGGTGTGTGCATTGTCAAAAAAAAGTTAGATGCAATAATTTTGTCATTTCGTGAAAGTTGTTTTTCAAGTAATGTAAACTTGAGATGGAAGTACATTTGTATTGGCGTGGACATTGGTTGAGTATAACTAGCCTCCCTCAGTGATCCATGGGGAGTTCGAAAAAAATAACACTTCACTGATTACCTCAAGAGACCAATAATAATACCGGAGTCTTATATAGCACACTTAACTACCAACAATTAGTTACTCAAGGCGCTGGTAATTATGTCTATTTTTTTAAAGACGGGTAAATGAAGTTTATGAGAAATATGAGACCCATTATGTAGCACCTTTATAAGGGTTTACAAGGTGCAGTGGCGAATATTGCAGCCACTGCCAGTGTTACTGGGTTCTTTTACGTGCATTACACATCACACTGGACCTACGGCTTTGCGTCCCATCCGAAGGGCGAAACAGTAATGGTAAAGTGCTTTGCTCACAAGCACCATGTTCCCCGTCAGTATTCGAACCCATATACCACGCCACACAAGTCGAACACCGTAATATTTGTACACAGCTCTTTTTACCTTGATGGAGTTGCGTTTCATTTTCCTTGACCTGCCAACCTGTACCCAGTTCAGCCTGATAGTCCGCCCATTGTTTGAGACATACCTGTCAGCTGTTAGCTCTTCCCACATCAGCGACTTTGACCAGACCGTCCAGGACTGGACTGAAGAACACTGCAGATTGAAACCCCTTAGGAAATGTGAGTATGGATTGTAGACTAACCTCAAATGTTATCAAAGTTTGAAAAAATGTATTTGAACTTTGTATGTTTTTTTAAAAGCAACAGCACAATTTCATGGATCTTATTATATTTTGGTTAGTAAATTAATGTGCTAAGTAAACATTCAGCAGATAACCAATCACAGGCAATGCACATCACATGGGTTTTTGGCTGGTATCCTGCATTTGCTAAGCTAAAAGTTACTGCAAGAGGCTCTGTCAATATCAGAAATTTTGTTATTGATATATTACAAGCAACTCATATAGATTATAATTGATACATCAAATTTCATTGCATAAATTTGGCTGATGCACTTTGTAGAATAAAAAATGTTTAAAATTGTCAGTAAGCTGTGGGTTTTCTTGGATTAGAAGAGTACAAGAAGATGATGTATATTTTGCTTCCACTTATGTTAGTTTCAATGTCATTTCTCATATCAACATTTTCAATATTTCAATCTCAGTAAAATCGATATTGACAATATTATGCTATCACATTAAAATTGATTAATATATGTATCAATATATTGACAGAGCTAACTCTGCTGTAAGCAACTTTTTTGCATAGCGGGTCTGCGAGGTTGGCTCCTGAAGGTTTAAAAATGCATATTGTCAACAGCCGCTGTTGGTGGTCTATGGATGTTTCCTATGTTGTGTAATATTGCTCATGTAAATTCATTATCATTAATGTTTTGTTACTTTAAAAAAAAAATTGCCTTTGACAGTGGTGACAGCAGCATTAACCAAAGTTAGCCGAGAAACATCTATCCTGATGGATCCTGCTTCCCTCCCAACTCAGATCAAAGAAATCATCTCGAAAGACAACGACCGGGGCCCACACGGCAAGACATAACAACAAGCCCCTGCACAGAGTATTTTCTCAACTTCTAATTTATTTTTTACACATTTCTTGCTTCCCTTTTTAAGAAAATGAAATAAAATTAGCATTAAAGCCTGAATTAGAACCACTATTGTATTATATGCCACCGAGCCATGAAGTAAAGCATGCACCACAGAAGTAGAAGAAGCCGGGGAGGTCTTTTGCTCGTAGCTGCCGCCAAGTGAAGGTCATTGGTTGAAAATAATAGATCCAATTGGTGCTCACTATTTATTCGTTACTTGGTTGTTTGTATCATCGGTAATGAGCCTCTGTACTGATGACGTCACACTTTGTTTGCATGTGCACTTTCCTGTGGAGCCAGTGGGGTCCACGGTCCACTGAGCACCATAGGAAAGCACATGCGTAAACAAAGTATTACGTCATCAGTACAGAGGCTTATTGCATTCTAGAACTTCTGGGGTCAAATTTGAAATACAAAAGTCAATATGACTTGTTCATGAATGATCTTGCAATCGATTTATTTTCAAAGATAGAAACATTTATTGGAAATGATAGTATACATTTATTTGTGCCATGTGGATTAATCAATTTTTTAAAAATACGATTTGTATTTGAATCGCATGATATGCTGCATTATTTATATGTGTTGGCGAGAAGGTGAGGTGGACATTGTTAAACTGGTTAGGTAAATTACTGCTGCATTGTGGAAATTTGATCCCAAGATTATAAATATTGGTAATCGCCTCAGCTGCTGAGGTCAGGAAAGTTTTCCTTTAGAAAGTAACATTTTTATGTAGCTAGAATTAAGAAGTGGCAACAATGGGCAGGTGGCCACAATGGGCAGGTGGCCACAATGGGCAGGCGGCTACAGTGACAAGTGGCCACAAAGTACAGGTGGCCACAAAGTACAGGTGGCCACAAAGTACAGGTGGCTACAATGGACAGGTGGCCACAATGGACAGGTGGCCACAATTGGCAGGTGGCTACAGTGACAAGTGGCCACAAAGTACAGGTGGCCACAAAGTACAGGTGGCCACAAAGTACAGGTGGCTACAATGGACAGGTTGCCACTATGGACAAGTGGCCACACTGGTAAATCTGTTTGTGTAATATGAGCAAGTTAATTTGCATTGCTGTATATCATCAACTTATGCAGATTATTTGGTGTTGGGCCTATCCAAGCCACAGTGCTTTGCCCAATAGTACCAACATGGCTGTATCTGTGAGAAAAGGATAGATTACAAATGATTTTTGTTTCAGTAACATATGTGCAAACACCACTGTTAACAAGATAAAGAACACTGCCACCTACATGTATGAGTTTAGGTACTCGTTCAAACATATCACCTGAATCAAGCATGGGCGTAAATCGCACAGGGGATGGGCAGGATATCTTTCTGCCCCCCCCCCCACACTTTTTTTTTACCGGGGGTGGGGTTGGGGTTGGAAATTGGATTCTCCATGCGGATTTTGAAACTTTCAACTGTCCAAATTTATGAAATAGTTCAAAAACGGAGAAGAAACAGTTCAAAAGCTTTGAATATATCATTTCCATGTAAGGTTAAGGGACGCAAGTTTGCATTACATGTCCTTTTTTTCATGAACAGTGCCCCAGAGTGTCACATTGTTATCCCCTATCTCTCTCCCCCCCCCTTCCTTCCCCCGCCGGGCAGTTTTAGGATTTTGCGGTATGGTCATCCCTTGTCCCCCCACTCCCTGACACAGATTCATGCCACTGGATTCAAAGGAAAAATACCATCATTGATAATAGAAATATTTACATTTTGAAGAGAAAAATATTTTCCATTTTTACCTCTCATATAGTAGCAAAGTAGCCTGTATCAGGCATTTACTACACATACCATTTCTTTCAATGTTCTGGGAACCATTTCCAGATCAGTAACTTCCATATGCAAGTGTTTGACTGTAACTATTCTCTTTAATACAAATTAGTGCCGTGTGCTGTATGTACAGTGTTTTTACTCATGTAAACAATTGTTCCCTCTCATTGTACATTAACATCCAAGCACAATTAGAAGAAAAATCATGCGATTAAAGACTATGGAAAACATGGCACCAGGTTTAAGATTCATTTGCACACCTTGTAACGATCCTATCAAATTCCATAGAAATAGTACAAAATAAATTTGAATTTGAAAAACTGGAACAAAATTGAAATGACTTGTAGAGGTTTAATTTTAATTTGTTTTTCTTTTACTTTTGGTTGGAGTTGTGTGCATGCTCATGGTCTTAAGCGGAAGTTTTAGAAATAAAGAAGGCGCTGTATTTTGGTTTTTAAGTTACACTGTTCCATTAATGTCTTAGAAATGTGGCATAATTATTGTGTGCTATGTATATGTCTATATTTATGAATTTTACATGAAATATTTGGTGCATGTGTGTTTGTGAGATGAAAGTATGGATGTGCTATCTTTGGATGCTATGTGTACATTTGATAGTGCTGATGATTAGTAGGGTGTAATTTATTGTTTGAATAAAGATGTGTTTTTAGAGTCACCCAAAACAAAGACTGTGTCTCTTATTACTGGTTTTATTCTTTTTCTTGTGTTTGTTTTTAGCGAAGAAAAACCCAGATGTTGTTATCTGAAACCTTTTTGCTTGTATACCAAGTGCAAATTTTGTAAAGCTGCTCATTGCTGAGCACATGGGCAAACATCCAGATTTCATTAAAATTAAATTATGTTCAGTGCTGACTTTTACCAAGGAGATAAATTTGCAAAGCTATTTCATCTGCTTGGAAGCTCAGCGAAATTTGCTCATGATTTCAGACACTTTTACTCATGGATGAATGGACTATAGAATGTAAAATATTAGCAGTTCTAATGGTGTCCATCTACATGTACATATGCAGTATGGGGCAAGCACTCTTGTTGAACGGCTACGTGTTTTGCAAAATAAGTCAATTAGGTAAATATGTGGGGATTTCCTAAAATATCAAATGTCATCATCAAAATCAATGAGATGTTGCCCATATAACAGTTCCTTGTGAACATTGTTGATTTATTTGCGTGAGATATGCAAATGAACAAAAGATTATGACATTGGCTGCACATTTTACTTTAATATGTAACATATTGGCTTCATTTGGGGATCTTATGTATTATTAATGATTTTTGACAATACTTTGTCGGTCACATGGCTGCGTGTTTTGATTGTGGCATTTAAATAACCTTTGACCTTAATCTCCCATAGTTCCGTGCGTCCATGATGTACTGCGCGCTGCCATTTTGTTAATTTCGTCGAAAGTTTTCGGCCACCGGGCGAGTTTTTCCGCGTTTCTCCCGCCTGTTTCTCGCCGAAATTGGGCCATTCTGGGTGGCCTTACCCTAGGTCATGAATGCCTCTCACACGCAATGAGCAGAATTCATCCCTGAAACCGGATCTGGAGATTGGGCCGAGAAAAAGGAGAGCATCGGGCAACAACCACAGGAAAAGAACAAGGGACGATCTGTGCGAGTCGGGCGACGAAAACAACATCGCCATGGGGGAAGCGCCAAAACGGGCGAACTTTTCGGCACTTAGCCCGTCAAATAATGGATTCACAAGCAGAGCCTCTCCTCTAGCCAACAGCAAACCGGGAAGCTCAAAAAAGCTTGTTATTAAGAATTTCAAAGGTTGGTGTAAAATTTGAGTGTTTGGCAGAAATGTTCTGATCTGTGACATGTGACTGTCATGCATAAATGCATGTCATGTGTGACGTCTAGACGTCTGACTTTCTGGAACTTTTTTGTTATAACTGTTCAGATTCAGATGTTGGACCTGTTGAAAAAAAATTGAATATTTCAGCATGATCAATGTAAGACTTTGTACACATTTAATTGTGCAGAAAGTGTGCACGACCATGACGACAGCTTCCGTAATAACTGAGTTGCAATTTCTTTTTTTAGGTCAAAAATACAGACAATATAAATATTATGGGAAAATGTGTTATGTTATGTAAGTAGGGGGCCTAGACCTTGCTGTCTGAATTATGTGAATACCACTTAGGCCTTGGGTTGGGCTCTAGGTCTTTTGTGATGACAGATTTTTGATAGAATGATGTAGGCCTAAGTATGCTGCTGCAGCTGCAGCTGCCACTGTTTTTTCACAGCCTTGAGTGTCAATCGTTGTAAATATGATTGTTGGGGGGAAAAAACATAACGTTTGGACTCAGAAAAATGAACAATTTTGTAACAAGTGCACAGATGTTGGCGATTGTGTAGTGTAGGGCCCTATATTTCCCTAGTAGTATATTAAGGGAACAAATGTCCACTTTTATTTTAACGACATTACAATTACAAACAGAAAAATGTAATATTCAGACGCCACTTCTTTGGTTGTGTACTAAGCCTGTGGAGAGTCAAGTGCATTTTAAAAGGATTTTTCAACAAAATTGGAAATGTTTCTCAGTCCCAGATTCATGTCTTTTGAACATTTTTGCAATGATTGGCCTTCACTGAAATAATATATGATGAAAAAAGTGGTGTCAGGATACAACATTCTTTCCTTGCAAACCAACAGGTACATGTATGCCGTAGATAGAGGGTAGGGCTTTTATTTTTTGAGGGAAAATTTTGGGTTAAAACTTAAATGACGATGAAGACGAAAAAAATGCAACAGGAAAATAAAGACCGCGACCCACAGTGGACATGCAAAACTGCGTTGATTCGCTTAGCACCAACTGTAAAAAACGTAAGAATATCAAATTTTCTACTGCAAGAAACTGTTCAAAATTTCAAAAAAATGATGTCATTAGGATTAAGAGACGTCTGCTTTAGGATGAAAAAGTCATTTTGGAATGATACAAAAACTCCTTTGTCTCTAATTTGATGAAAATAAAGAGGGGCCCTAAACTTACGCAATCGCCCAGAAGTTTCAAGGCACAATTTCCTTTGACAACTGAAAAAAAATCTCTAATTTCCTTTTTTTTTTTGAGAAGTTGCTGTCTTTCTATAGCTCCATGATTACTATTAGGACCCCCTAAGCACATTTTTATGTTTTGAATGCACCTAAACAGCTGGTGAAGGCACAAGTCAATTTTATTTCCCTTGTCTTGGAAAATGTAGCAAATGCTAATGTTGCTGCAAGATGGAACTTTGATTACAGAAGGCTAAATTCAGTATAAATACATTGAATCAAAAAGGAATAAAATGTTATATGAAAACATACTAGGGCCTAATTAATGAAAAGTACAAAAATAAAAAGAAACTTCATGACCTTTTTTGGTTTGATTAATTTATTCAACAGTGAGGCCAGAACTGCCGGAGAACTACCAAGAGCAGACATGGATGCGGTTGAAGGAAGCTGTAGAGGCCATCCACACCAGCCGACCAATCAAATATAGCCTGGAGGAGCTGTATCAGGCCGTAGAGAACATGTGCTCCCACAAGATGTCTGCTGCCCTCTATGACAAGCTCAAGATAGTCTGCGAGTCCCATGTCCGCTCGCAGATCGGGCAGTACACTGGATATCCTTTTTTGGCTTTGTTTATTAATGTTGGATGCAAAACCATGGGCAAATCTCTATCATTTAAACTGTTAAAACTGTTTATATAAAGAGTAGCTTGTGCTTCCTACTCTGTCTGACCTGCTAGTAAACTACAGATGTGCATTTCACATGTCATTATGGCACATTACCCCTAACGATCGCCAACCAGCCAAACTCCAACACCAGGATTTGTTGGAATCTGTTAGGATGAGTACTGCACTAGTAAACTGACTGTGCTTTACGTGGGATTAGGCATACCACAAATAAACAGGGCCCAGCTGTTTATGTGTACAGTTTACCATATGATGTTGGGATTTGCAAGGATGAGGAAGGTTCCTAGTATAAATCACCCTGGGTAGTTTGGGTTAAGCCTTGCTCATTTAAGACTTTTTGCAAGGAACCTTCCTTCAGGAATCCCTTAACAGTAACCACTGTGAGGAACCTACTAGGGCTGTCGAATATTTGATCATCAACCGAATATTAGAATAGCTTTTTGCGGCTTTGAATATTCAAAAACAATAAACTACGCACATGACTGTCATGTTACTTTATCATAACGTTGCGGCGTTTTATTGTCAGGTTCCACTTTTTCTTGTCTGGTAACTTTTTTTGTCGATGGCTGTTCATTGTTTTTATCCTTTTAGCAGGTAAAAGCTCTTGACAGTTATAAAGTGCTTACTGCAAAATGCTCCCCATCGATCGCCACATGCAATTTTAACTGGCGCGCTCTGCATGCAACTTTTGACCTGCGCGGTAGACATTTGCAGCTGGCAGTTTCGAATATCCGAATATTCGTTCAAACACAATGTCGAGTAATTGAATACTAAATTATTCGTAAATGGACAGCCCTAGAACCTACTAGTGTTACTTACTCTCAATCCTGCAACAACCACCAAAATAATGGGTTTTGGAGTGAAAGCGTTTTATTTATGTAAATAGAAGGATTTAATGTAAATATGTAAATATAAATGTACTATACATTTATATGTGTGAATTACAGTTAAAGTTTACATTTCCTTCTAAAAGAATATTCTTGTGAATGTGAAAGTTGCATTGACAGTCTTTAGTTTCCAATTCATATATTGCAAATGAACTATAACTGAACAGTCTAATTGTTGGCAGTGCCATCCATTGACATTTTCTTGAAATGACACATAGTTTAAACAGAAAAAAAGTTATATTTTTTTTTTGTCCATTTATGTGAAGACTAGTTAGTTCACAATCTTGCATTGAAATCACCCTTAACTTTTGTATACTGAAATGCTGGACAGCCTGTCATATCTAAAACAGCTAAACACTTGTTGGCTGGACCACTGTAGACAGATGGTAAGTTGTGTATCAGATAAAACCATCAATTAACCAATTGTCCCAGATAACTAACTCAATGGAAGTTAATTGATGTCGACTAGCACTAGCACTAGTGTTTAAAGGGAAGATACAACATTTGCAAACATCAAAAAACAAAATGATCAAATTACCACAAAATTTTTTACTGGACTGTTAGGGAATGACAGTCTAAAACATCCCGTACAATCATGGCTCCTGGAGTGCTGACATTTTTAAGTGAAGTGGTATTTTGTATCAATTTACAATGCTGGTCGACCAACCAGCGTTAGAAAAAACTGGCTTTTTTTTCAAAAACTGCTCCTAATTTTCATATTTAGTTATTCCGCTTTTTTTTTGCAATTGATTACACACCTGTGGAAGGGTACAAGCCAGCTAGACTGATTCTCTGACCTTATAATTCACCAACGTCTACAAATTGCTTTGTTTCATCTTAAGTGGGGTCAGGGAACCAGACTACAAGAACATGATTGGTTTTTGTTGTTTTTTCCAGCATCTATGAACCCAAAACATGAAACAAGTCAGTTTAACAATATTTGCTTTCCTCCAAATCCATTTATTTCTGAAAAGTACAGCAAAAACAAATGCTGTACATTCCCTTTAAAGGGAATATACATCATTTGCTTTTGCTGTAATTTTCAGAAATGGATGGAATTGGGGGGTTGAAAATATAGAGCAAATATAGTTACACTGACTTTTTTGAGGTTTTGGGTTCAGAAATGCTATAAAAACCAAGACAAACAATCATTTTCCTGTAGTCTGGTTCCCTGACTCCATTTAAGAAGAAACAGAGCAGTTTACATACATTGGGGAATTGTAAGGTCAGGGAACCAGTCTAGCTGGCTTGTACCCGTTCATAGGTGTGTTATCGATTGCAAACAAGCGCGATGGTCAACTGGGGCCAGTATTTGAAAAAAAGCCAGTTTTTTCCAACGCTGATCAGCTGATCAGCGTTGGAAATTGATACAAAAATACCACTTTTCTTGAAAATGACACTATACCAGGTGCCATGATTTTACAGGATGCTTTACACTGTCATTCACTAACAGTCCAGCAAGATATTTCAAAATGATTTGGTAGTTTTATTTTTTGATGTTTGCAAATGTTGTACATTCCCTTTAAGCTGTATCACATACATGTATTGCTGGATGGATTCATGCACACACAGGTTAATGCACACCAGCTTGGACATGTAGAACATCTGTTATCAGTCATAATATTATCCATTTGTGGACCATGCATGAGCTGTCACCATGAAATGAGCATAAACTCGGAAATTACCATTTTGCAGTAGGCCTACAGACGGGCAGTGGCAAAATTTGAAAGGGTGTTCGATTTTCATCTAAACCTCAATTTGTATGTCCTGTTCTCCTTTTACCAATTTTTTTTTGTTCTGTCAAACGTTTTAAAAAAGTGTTTTCATCATGTTTTATCGTTAGTTGACTGTTCATTCACTGTAATACAACCACAATTTTTTTAAATGCCATTTTCTCAAAAATGACTTTTACAACATCAGTTAAGTTGGCAGTTTATATTTTTGTTACTGATTTTAGTACCCCTAAATGTTATGTGCCATTAGAAAGCTCTTGTTCTGCAGAATCTACAGGTGTAGAAAGAAGAATATCTCAAATCTTAAAAAGTCTGACTTTATGCTCATTTTGTGGTGATAGGTCACATATGTTGTGCAAACTGAATCAGTACAATTTCAAGAACCAAGGATCGTATCAATTGTAGCTTTTTTATGCTAGGGGCCGAGGTATAAATGTGCTGTAGATTTTTTTTTTAAGATCTCTTTAAATGACTTGAACAATTTATTATTAGTACCACTTAGTTCTTTGTTATTGTCATATAGGCTTTATACAGTGGCCCTTTTACATTGAAAACAGGTTTTGCCTCATCTTTTATAAATATTTCCAGTGCTCAGGATAGTGTCCACTTCTGTATCTGAATGAAATATACTTATTTATGTATTTCCTTCTACAGATCATGATCAGAAGTATATTCCTCTTCCTGGACAGAACTTATGTCCTTCAAAACTCCTTTGTTTCCTCACTCTGGTAAGTGGTTTGCAACATGTACACGCTTTGCTCGCTTTCATGTATGTGTGTATGTACAACCACATGTGTGCATACACGTACATGCACATGTCTGTGTAAACATAAACAGAAGACTTCTTCACAATTGACTTCTCGTGATTCTTGGATACATCTAGAATTTAGGGAAAGAGATGACCTAAAGATGCCTGATGTCATAAATGTTTTTTCCCTCCTGCCTTGCCTTTTCCTTTTCCCTCACCTGCCTCCTCTTTCTTGAAATGTCCTCCCTCAAAATTGGTATGAGTTGTTTTCGAGTCGTTTGTAAGCTTGTAGTTTATTCTGAGGTGAGTCACTCACAAAAAATTGTCAAACTGTAAGTTAGTTTTGATCAACTCAAAACCTGTAAGAAGTTTCATATGTTACTTGTATCTTAGGTATGAATATTTATCAAATATTTACAAAAATAAAGATGAATAACTTACTTTGTTAGTTTAGTGCCGACTGAAGCCGAGTGTCTTAATATTGTCGCAGTTACACTCAGGTTGCAGAAAATCGGCGACTGATATGTTTCCAACGGTTGTTGCTCAGGCGCAGCTTGAAAAGTCAGTCGTAGAGTGATCTGTGTCGTCGTAAGGTCAACCTGAGTGCAACTTAAAGGGGCATCAAACATTATGTAATAGTGGCAGGGTTTCACCAAACCTGATGGATCTAGAAATTTATATGAGTTTGAGAGTAACAATGGTTAAAATTCTTTGATTTTTGCCCTGAACTTCCCTTGGCATTCTTCCTGGTGTTGATCTGGCATCATTAAAGTTTTCCATTGTTGGCTTTCAGGGATATGGGCCTGGATCTGTTCCGCACCCACATCATCAGCAACAAGACGGTTCAGGCACGGACGGTGGACGGCCTGCTGCAGCTGATTGAGAGTGAACGGGGTGGGGACGTGGTGGATCACAGTCTGCTCAAGAGCCTGCTACGCATGCTGTCAGACCTGCAGATCTATCAGGAAGCCTTTGAGAGGAAGTTCCTAGAGGCCACGGACCGGCTGTATGCTGCCGAGGGCCGGCAGCTTATGCATGAGAGAGACGTGAGTAGTCAAATGGTCAGAACCATTATCGGGAATTAAAATACATCAGAATGTCACTATAACGAACACAATGGGGTCCATTAAAGTCTCAGTGTTTGACATTTTTGAGTATTAGAGTTGCTAGGGTTAACGGTGTTTAGGTGCGTATGTGCATTTACAAAAATGTTTATTGTATGCATTGATTCAGTACACAAGACCTGGGCCAAATTTCGTGGAGAGAGATGTTTGCATGTATTTATACATCTATACATTGTGCAACAATCCACAGAGCGATGGTCAATAGTAGTATAAAACTTCATTGACATTTTGGTCGGTAACTCGGTTTTCAAAACACATCTTTTCTTTGCTTTGCACACATTTGTGCTTAATATCTCCACACATTTGGCCCCAACTAACATTCCACAGGCCATCCTATTTATACAAACAAAAATATTTTTGCAACTTCCAACTTTGTTTGGAATGCGCCACTCTTGACCCAGGTCCCTGAATACTTGGCTCATGTGGATCGGAGACTAGAAGAGGAATCGCAACGAATCATGTACTACTTAGATCACACCACGAGGAAACTGCTAATAGCCTGTGTAGAAAAGCAACTGCTGGAGACCCATGTCGGCGTGATCCTGCAGAAAGGTTGGTCCTAGTGATGTGAACTGATTGAAACTCATTGGATTCATAACAATCATTTATTGTACTTCCTACTAGCTTTTGGTAGCTGAAGGGGTTGACACTTGGCTTCATGCGACAGAATCCCTTGAGGAGTATTTCTGAGTGCCATTACTGCTTTGCATCCATGTTCAGAGATGAATTCCTCTAGGAATATGCTATGTGTGTGTGCACATGTCGACGATGTTTTCACGAAGTGACAAAAACCTGCAAAATCGATTAATTTTTCGATTTTGAATTTTGCTGGCCAATTTATTGCTCTTGACAAAAAGAAGAATTTGACCAAGTTTCAAAGCGAACTATTGTTTACTTTTCTAATTATCGTACACAAATATTTGACAAAAAGCCTGAAATTTGTGTTTTTCTGTTTTTACGAAGTGACAAAAACTTACCTCGTTAGCAGGGCCAGAGGAATAATGCATTTTTCTACACACGCGTTAGGATGGGAGTGGACGCGCGCCCCGCAAACGATGTCGATAAAGAACAGGCGCGCGCACTGCAGTGACGTAAGATGCGCAAATCTAAAATTGGTTAGAACGTTTTATTTTTTTCACAAAGTGATGAAGAGTGTACAACTTAATGGAACAAAATATAGAGGCCTCTGCGTTTTGCTGTTTTCACGAAGAGAAGAATATCTTCATTGATCTTTATTAATGAACTACAGTTTAATTAAGAGAGACTTCTAATAAACAACTTTGAATTAGCAAAGAACTAAGCATACGTTACTTGACAATACAAAATTTCCCAAATCTATAACTACAAACTAGTCGAAAATGTGTTTTGAAAAAAGGACTAACTCCAAATGCGATTATCTCGGAATGATCTTTTTGCATGACATTGAGGTTTTTGTCACTTCGTGAAAACACCGTTGATATGTTCAAATGAAAATTGGCCAAGGCTATTTTCAATTTCTCGGTAAATATTCTGTATATAGGGTCGTGTATCACTTGTATTGATTTTCATGGAACTAAAAGTATATTAAATTGTATTGCGTTATATTCAGGTCTGGATGATCTGTTGGATTTGGACAGGACCCAGGACCTAGCTCTTCTTTACAACCTGTTCCAGCGTACCAAGTCAGGCCTGACAGAGCTCTGCCAATACTTCAGTGCCTACATCAAGGTCAGCAGCCTATTTTATTGTCTCGCCTGAACTTTGTTCAGACCATGCAATCACTATGTCTGTCCGTATGTATTCAAGTATGTATGTGTATGTCCGTGGTATTTTGGTTAAAGTTTCGTAAAATTGGTCTCATTTCAAAAGTTGAAGTCCAATTGGAACCAAACTTGGGTCATAGATGCAGCATGGCAACCTTTAATGATAATGATGTCAAAGGTCACATACCAAGTTTTAAGGTCATTTGAGGTCAAGTTGTGAAATAGGCTGAACATGTCAAATTGGTCTCATTTCAAAAAGTTGAAGTCCAATTGCAATCAAACTTGGGTCATAGATGCAACATGGCAACCTTCATATGATAATGATGTCAAAGGTCACATACCAAGGTCTAAGGTCATCTGAGGTCAAGTTGTGAAATAGGCTGTACATGTCAAATTGGTCTCATTTCAAAAATTGATGTCCAATTGGAACCAAACTTGGGTCATAGATGCAATATGGCAGCCTTGACTCCATGGGCTCGTGAGCGTTCCTTCACTAACCCCTGGCGGTGATGAACACGTAAACGATGCTGACTGGCTATTTAGAGCGTACTGCGCACGCATTTCGAAGATTGTACGCTGGGCGCGCCCATAATGCGCTCGCGTGCTTTGCACGTCTCGTCACGTACGAATATTCAAAACTGCGCGATGCCTGTACGATATGGATTATGGCAGCCTCGTTTTTCGCTAAAAAAACCCCTGTATCTGTGGTTGTAAAAGGACGAAAGGGGTACGTACCTTTAATACAAATCTTTGCTAATAACGCAACGTCCAAACGGTAAGGTTTGAAAGCATTGATTCTTCAAAAAAACATAACTTTAAACATTTTAAAGATGGCGTCGGCGCGTAAAACGGATAAACTGCAGCCTAATTATAATTACACAATTCCAGGGGTTGAGATCACGCAAGGCATAGCAAGATCTCGTACCCATGGGAACGAGGTTGGCAATATGGCAACCTTCATAACGATGTCAAGGTCACATACCAAGGTCTAAGGGCATCTGAGGTCAAGTTGTATATTAGGCTGAACATGTAAAATTGGTCTCATTTGAAAAATTTAAGTCCAATTGCAACCAAACTTGGGTCATAGATGCAACATAGGTACCTTCAAGTAATAATGATGCCAAAGGTCACACATCAAGGTCAAAGGTCACTCTTTACAGATAATCGCAAAAGCAGGCGGGACCCATGGTTTGAGAACCATCTTGTTGGTTAACCCTATGCCTTTAACCCTAGCCCTGCCAGACACAGCACGGTGCATCAGGTGTAGAACATTTTGGGATCTTGCTGCATCAAGCCTTCAACAACAGTGCATAAACGGTCAATTCTGAGATAATGGGAGCTAGTTGCATTGAACGATACCACTCTTGGATCCTGCGAAGGCCTCTCAGGCAGTTTTTGCCTTTGGGTAGTTAACATGTCGGATCTTTGTTGCACTTCGACAAGTGTTGTGTTGATGTGTTTTGTAGGGATTCATGCCAAAATGCCATTGGGGCTTTGGGCTAAAGTAATATTAGTAGCATAACATTTTTCCTTGTACAGTGAAATCTCGATAAGTCAAACTCTGATGACTCAAAACAACTGTTAAGTCAAACAAAGAATCCATTGCCTTCAGTAGTATAACACTACAACCCTGCTTAACTCAAAACTCTGCTTAAGTCAAATTTTGAACCTGGTCCCTTGAGGTTTGACTTCAGGATTTCACTGTATATAACCCAGAAAAATGGTGAAGGTTGTGCAATGTTTGTGTTGTTTGCATGGATAGAATCCCACCCTATCCACTGCCACTGTCATCTGACAAAACACATTGCAACCGCCTGCAAATGGGATCAATCTTTTGTGGTATCTAAAATGGCAAGGGGTAAAGCATTGATAAAATAAACCAACGTTATTAACTTGATGTCTAGTAGAGTTCATATGTACTGCTCACTATGGCTGTTTTCAGAAATGTTGTGTATCATGTTCAAGGTAGAGTATATCATTTGTCATTTATGCATTTTTTTCGTTTGAAGCAACAAAAGTGCTCAAAATCTAAAGGAGGTGCTTCAAAATTAACCTAATGACGTTTTAGCTCAGTGAATGCTGTATATTCCGAAAAAGCAATATTCTAGGATCTCAATTTCAATTCAAAAGTTGTCAAGGCATGTTTTGAATTGCGCCCGAAATCAGCGTCCGGGACACGTTTTCATTCAGCCGATTGCAGCTACGTGATGTCATGCACTGAATCGACGAATTATAGCAACCGTGGGCGCGTGCGTCGTGCTAACGTTTGCGTGCACCCATTCACGGCTTTGCCGAATTACAAACCGAACTACTAACGGAGATTTCCAAAATTGCATCTTTAGACGCATCTTTGGAAATGACCTTCTTTTATTGTTTTCTTCAAAATGACAGCATGCCAGAAAGAATAATTTCACAGGGAGTTTAGTGCCATTACTGTCTTTAAACCAGGTATGCTTTTCAACAAGAATTTTGTCAGTTACTTTTTGGATAGTTGCAAATGATATACTCTACCTTTAAACAGCAATTATTAGTTGCTGAAAAACTGGGGAGGTTTGAAGCAGTTTGAAGAGTGGAACTGCAGGGCACTTCAGGGCATTGTGAAGACCAATTAGCAAAATATCTATATAATTTTTTTTTTACAGAAAACAGGCACAACCATCATTATCAATCCTGAGAAAGACAAAACTATGGTGCAGGAGCTGCTGGACTTCAAGGACAAGATGGACAATATCATGACTGATTGCTTCGCTGACAATGAAAAGTTCCAGAACACGCTCAAGGAGTCATTTGAGAGCTTCATCAACAAGAGGCTGAATAAGCCTGCCGAGCTAGTCGGTAAGAAGGGGGTGGATGTAGAAGTTGTGGATATGAAACATGTAGTTGTGAAAGTTTTCAGAGTGGAATTGCTGGATATCTGAGGTGTGATTGTGGGAGATATGGATGTAATGGTTGTAAGTGTGGTAGTTGTAGGTGATAGATGTGGTAGTTGTGGATGTAGTTGGTGTAATAGTTGTGGATGTGTTAATTGTGGATGTGGTTGTTGTGGATGTGGTAATTGTAGATGTTGTGGATGTGGTAATTGTGGATGTGGTTGTTGTGGATGTTGCATGCGGATTTGGCAAATGTGGATGTGGTAGTTGTGGATGTGGCAGTTGTGGATGTGGTAGTTGTGGATGTGGCAGTCGTGGATGTTGCATGTGTGGATGTGGCAGATGTGGATGTGGCACGTGTAGTTGTGGATGTGGCAGTTGTGCATATGTGGATGTGGCAGATGTGAATGTAGTAGTTGTGGATGTGGTAGTTGTGGATGAGGCAGTTGTGGATGTGGTAGTTGTGGATGAAATATTTGTGGATGTGGTAGTTGTGGATCTGGTAGTTGTGGATGTGGAAATGGATGTGATTGGTGTGGATGTACAAGTTTCAGATCTGATAGTTGTGGGTACGGAAATGTGGGTGGATGTTTGTGGATTTTCATGTGCTTACATCGATGGTCAATACCCTTTGTTTCATCTCTTACCTACAGCCAAGTATGTTGACAACAAGCTCCGAGCTGGCAACAAGGAAGCCACAGAGGAGGAGCTAGAACGATTGCTGGACAAAATAATGGTCATCTTCAGGTTCATCCACGGTATGTTCAACTCTTTTTCAAACCCTTTTTTTCCCCCGATTTTTAAAAATCTTGTGATGTTGTTCATAGCAGATAAGGACATTTCTCTGTTTGGATTGGGGTGACAACTTGACCGTGTGCGGGACACACTTCGTACATGCAATGGTTCATGCATGTGTGGCATAAGGTACATTGTGCACGGAGTCAATATCTCCTAACAAACAGTGAATGGTTGCAAGTCTTGACCAAAATGCATCATGCTGTTTCTACTGGAAAATAATGAAATCCGTGTAAGTTACGTGGCTTTTTTTGGTCTCCTCAGGCAAGGATGTGTTTGAAGCCTTCTACAAGAAAGACCTAGCCAAGAGATTACTGGTTGGCAAGAGTGCATCAGTCGACGCTGAGAAATCAATGTTGTCCAAATTAAAACAAGGTGAGTATGCACTGTCCAGTCCTTAGTGTTGGTTCATGCTTTAGCCAAAATACATAACATCACACAAGTGTAGTTTCACTGTGATGCTGATCATTACCAAGGGCATTGCTTGAGGGGTGTGAGGGGGTTGTCTTGTCCCCCCCCCCCCAATACAACACTGTATTGTCCTATAGTGTCCAGTCTCCTCCACTTTGACCATCTGCCCCCAGAAGTCAGATGATGATCAGTCCCCTAAGATCCAATTTGATTTTGTGGCGGCCAATTGACCTGGGAAGTAGATCTGGCTATCTTTCTGCTCTGAGTTGTCTGTTGACAATTTTGTTGTTACCCATTGCCAAAATTTACCAAATTGATCCGATGACCCCCATGAATCCCGGTACACAGTGGCGGAGATTTCTTGTTACAGGTGGGGGGGATGATTTTTGAAAGGCCATCCTTGTGTGGAACGCGACACGGCACGGGGTCCAAGAAACCGCTTAAGGGCCCCCTGGTGGGTTGCAGGCGCAAGGCCCTTGCTAGGGGTTGAGGTAAACCCCCCCTGGGGTTTACACAATTTTAGGTGCAAAATGGTGTCAAAATTCAACCTTTTCTTGAGCTTGAATTGCAATAAATGACAATAATTAACACCTTCAAGCATTAACAAATATAAAAGATCTTCAAAACTAAAATTTCTCATCCAATGTATTTGGAAGTGTAGGCCTAAGCTATCTTTGCACAATGGAGCTCTGGTCACCTAGCAACACAAATAATGCCTATGCATATATCCCCCCCATCCCCCCCCCCCCCCCCCCGGGATCTCCGCCCATGCCGGTACATACCGTTATTTCGTTTACCGTTTTGGATTTCCTCAAAAACAAACACAGTAAACGAACCATGACCGTTTTGTCGTTTTACAGTTTTGTAAAACGATCAAACGGTTTTAAGATAAATACGATAATTCCGTTTTATCAGTTTAGTAAATTTCCTTACAGCATAACGATCAATGATGTTTGTTTTACAGTTTTACACAAATAACTTTGAAAAACAGCAAAACGGTCAGTATTGAATACAGACTGTTTTTTTTTATTTCACTGTGTCATAGTTAACAGTCCGTGGTGCATTTTGTGGCGGTGGGCATGCAAGGGGGTGGAGGGGGACCATGCCGTGCATTCAGCTGGTGGGGCTTGAAGAGTTGCAAGCAAAAATGGCGCTGGAAAATTTCAAGGAGAAAATTTCACAATGGATACAGTAAAGAAGTTGCAGGTGTTGAAGGAAATTAGAGTTTGGCGCGGTTCTTCAATAGCCAATATTCACAGATTCTGTCGTGAGAACAACGTAATCAAGTGTAAGGAAGGCAATTTGGGCTTCAGGCAATGACTCGATCCCAAGGCCAGGACACATTAACATTCCAAGGTGCATTGCCTAATTGCCGAACCTGAATCAAAAAATGGTCGGCAAAACTATATGGACCGTTGTCATTGTCACGTTTTTGTAAAACAACACTCTAAAAATATAGCAACTAACCATTTATGGCTTTTTACAATTTAAACAAACAACAAAAAGGTAATTGTTTTTTGTCACTTACCCGGTAATACCGTTTAATCGTTTTACAAAACTGTAAAACGACAAAACGGTCAATGGTTCGTTTACTGTTGTTGTTTTTGAGGAAATCCAAAACGGTAAAACGAAATAACGGTATGTACCGGGATTCCCATGACCATTACCCAAACTAAATTAGTTGTTACTGTAATCCATGTGATGTGTCAACCAACCTGTACTCTGTTAGTCTTAGTGCCAGACGTTCTAAGCAGGGTAATTCACGATAGACCGTACAGCCTTTGTACCGCGCAGCATCATTCATGTCGCACATTGTCCCCCTTGAGGGCGCTCTGTTCCCATCCGTAAACCTGACTCGAATGGCGAATGGCACGCAAAGAACGTCTTAGGAATCTCGCATAGGAATAGGGCGTGACCTAATATGCACAATTTGACAGGAATAATTGCGCATCTACATTGGTGGAAACAAAAGAGCCAGTTTGAAAACTGTTAGTCAGGTGACATAGCACTGATTTGATGATTTTTTGTTAGCTTTCCAAAGCCCAGTTTCTTTGCTGCAAAATTGATGGCTTCATCCACGTGGTCCGACTTGTTTATCCAATGAAACTTAGGCCTACAGGCTTGCAAGCTGTGCACCCGTGGCTTGGAATACTGCAGTACGTACAGAAACTGCACATGCTACATCATGAATGCATACAAATGCACACACAGTTCTGCACCGAATTTCCTGAGCAGAAATACGAGATTCCTAGAAGGTCCTTTGCGCCTTGTTTGCGCGTGTGTAAAGGGCGCCTGCTTTAGTGAATCACTGCACTATCCAATAACCCGTGCGCGCTGAAACACCGTACCACTGAGAACGTCTTGGATTTAATACTACTACTCTGTTAGAGTTATTAACCACCTGACACCACAATATACATGATGTAATGTATGCTTTCAGAATGCGGTGGAGCCTTCACCAGTAAACTGGAGGGCATGTTCAAAGACATGGAGCTGTCTAAGGATATCATGATTGCCTTCAAGCAGGTCAGGATATAAACAAGATTAAACAGAAAATAGTGCTTACCAAATTGTTTGTGCTGTAAGTAAAAATAAGTGAGAACCAGTGATAAACAATGTGTATACAGGGCATTCTGGCTGGTGACCTGTATTTTTGGTAAGCAAATATTTTCTGTGTTGCAGATTTTGTGAACAGTTGTTAATTAATAGTTGTATACACAGCATCGTTTCCTGAAGTAATGTTCTTCTCAAAATTCTCAAAATTGGTCAGAATCATCCCAAATCTGTTGTTACATATGTTGTTACATAATTTGAAGCTGTGTTAACTGTGATTTTAGCACCACACAACAAAATTTATATGGTAAATGATAATATTTGTATGGATTGTATTTATTTTCATTTAGCATGTGCAGCACCAAAGCATCCCCGGTAACATAGACCTAACCGTCAACATACTAACGATGGGCTACTGGCCGACGTACACACCCATGGAGGTACTCTTACCATCCGAGGTAAGAAGACACTCTTTAACTGTCATCCAGCAAAATGTCAAGCGGTTAAATCACAAATGGTTTGGAAGTAGTGGCAGATAAGTATTATAAAACCCTCTAAACTCATCAATGTTTAAAATTGCTGGTAAAGAACTGCAGTATAGTGTTTTTCATTGCTCAGGTCATTACACAATGCATTAGTACGGTACAGATCCGGTGTAGATTTTGGTTATCCAATGTCACATCCCATTTGTTGAATGGTCTCCCTGCTTAAGTACGCCCTCAGTGGAAACAATTGCAAGGATACCGTTAGTAAAAGATACTTGAGGTTATCCGCTACACACTTGATAAGGCGGAAAAGAGTGTTCTTGCACAGTTTTATTGAAACGGGTCATACAATTTCCTGTAAATGAAAACAGACTTCTTCTTGTTTTGCAGAAATTAGTGATCATAAATGAGAAAGCAATATCATACAGGTTTTCAAGACTTCTTAATTGTACCTATTTTCAGATGGTGAAGCTACAAGAAATCTTCAAACATTTTTACCTGAGTAAGCACAGCGGTCGCAAGCTGCAATGGCAGCCCAACCTGGGTCACTGTGTGGTCAAAGCACTGTTCAAGGAGGTAGGAAAAGGATCTCAAAATGTTGAGAAAAAAAAAACACCTGAAATTTCAGTTGACTTCTTAATGAAAGAAAAAATACCGCATGAGCATTGTTGGATTTGCCTTTAACTTTTATCATAAACTGAACAAAATTGAGAAGAGGTACAGTTTTTTTCGTGCACTGTTCTGGAAACACAATGGAGTGTGAAGTATATATACTTAAAAAAAACACCAATTTCCTCCTTTCATAAAGCAGATCAAGAGGAAATAGTGTAGAAAAGAAAAATTGTCATTAAACCTCTTTTGATACATCGGAAGCTTGCAGTGTAAATGTGATAACAGGTTTTGCTCATTCAACTATTAACTTTCAAAAGTGAGGTTTTCATTCTTTTCTTTTTTTTGTCCTCTAAGGTCAAAGAATTACACGTGTCGCTGTTCCAAAGCCTAGTTCTTCTCATGTTCAATGAGGGGGATGACTACTCACTAGAAGACATTGCCCAGGCTACAGGCATAGGTAGGTGGTAACATGACTCTGCATGGACTCCCAGCACGAACGGAAGATGACGCTTTTTGACCACTTTCAAAAGCTCCAGTAGGTAGAGCACACTGCTTGGGCATATACTAGCGGGGGAAGCATTCAAGACTGAGTTTATTTCTTGTGTTCAAAACCCAGTTGTATCTTCAAGTGAGTATCTGGCGCTGACGGTAATGCGTAGGAACCTCTGGTCCGGTGGTCTCCTTAACTCTTTCATTGTAACCGTTGACGGGGTACAGTCGTTTTCCTAGTTCCGGATAGCAAACATCATTCAGGCTGCTTTCGGCTCAACTACTCCACGAATTCAAGTGACATTGATTAAAAAGTTTACCTTGAGTGATGGAGAGACCAAAAATTTAAGCTCAAAATTTAAGCTCTTTTTATTTTGATTTTAAGTACCGATGTCACTTTTCCTAGTTCCGGATTGGTTCAATCAGTTCCGAATCAATCAAAACTGCTTCACGCGAAAAACAAATCACGCGAGAAAACTTTTTTTCAGCCAGAACCAACCAAATCAAGCATATTTTCTGATAAAGTATTATTTCATTTTCCAAAAATAGTTCATTCAAGAGAATTCCAGCAAATTTTAAAACGAGACAAAAACGTAAATGATTTTGAAACTTTTGTGTGCAGCCCAATGGCTCGAACTCACGCACGGACCGAAAATCTTTGACCCAGCACAGAATATGTCACACAAAATCGATTAACGCGCGTGTAGTTGGGTCGTAAAGTGCATGCGCTATCCGGAACTAGGCAAAAGCATATGGTCATTCGTTGGCGAATTTTCAAAAATTAGAGACTTTACAACTTATTTTGATTCAACAAGCATTCGATGGAAGAGTTTATACAACTGTAGTGTATGAACAAAATATTCGAAATCACATGGTACAAGTGATATACCGAGGAGAAAATTTATCGTCGATTCGCAGCTCAAAATTCCTCTTCTAAATATTTTATCGGAAAAATCTTTGTGTATCAAGGAGCTTACATTTTTCTTTTCAAAATGCACATCGTCAGAACAAAATTATTGGAGACTAATCCAAAAGAGGTAGATTTTATTTGAAGCTATCCGGAACTAGGAAAATCCGGAACTAGGAAAACGACTGTACTTGTACACAAAGTCCATTGCTGCCACTAAACTCCTTTACCTCCTTGCTTGTTTTTCATCTGAAGCTAATATGACAGAGCTGCTAAGCATAGAAAATATTTGCTAAGCAAAAGCAGGTTACCAGCCATGACATCAAGTAATGTGTATTGCTTGTAACTGGTACTCAGCTGGTTCTTGTTAGTGTAACCTGGAAAAATGACACACTTAGGGAACTTGCACTAAAACTAATACAACTAAACTAAACTCAGGATCTTGAAAAGAAAAGTCGCGAAGAAATTGAATTTATAGAGACAGGAGACAAATTCTAGATTTCAAACAAAAAAAGGACAAAAAGAATTTATTGACAAAAAATTCAAAAGAAAAACAAAATAACCAAATAATTATAAAACCAAAACCATGATCGCAGTATGGCTGATTTTCACAGTTGTGCATCCCCTCCCTGAGCTGGTTTTCACCCTTGAGTTCTGATCATCCTTTCATTAGCCAATTGTAATGGTTTCAGTGCACAGTGATCCACTATTGACCACTAGTGTCTTGAACGAAGACTACTAGTCAGTAGGAACCAAAGTGTACTCTACATTCCTGAGCAAAGCTAATGCGAAAGATAATTTTCAAATGTTTGTCTTCTGTCACAGAGGATACGGAGCTGAGGAGAACACTTCAATCTTTGGCCTGCGGGAAGGCCCGAGTCATCACAAAATTACCCAAGGTAGGCTGAAGTCAAGAAAACAATTATGCCGAAATCAAGTGGTCCTCATATCGTCGCGTCAGTGCAACAAGGTTGTAACTCCATTCTGCAACAAAGTGGTATCTGGCGTGAATACGCTCCGTGCAACAAGGTCGTATCTCAACGTCCATTGACTTTGTGTGTAAATCTTTGTTTTATTTTAAGTGAGATACAACCTTTTGACGTTCTGAAACTCGCGTTTCACACGAGATATGACCTTGTTGCACGGACACGACGATATCTAGGTTCAGCAATTTCAGCAGATAATCCTTAACTCTCTATGCATTGTTGCTACGAACCTTTTTGAATCCTCCAAAATCATCCACTGTGCAGGAAACCAATGGTATACTCCTTGTTCTGCCAAATTTCAAAGGGTATTAAGTACTGTGCAAAGTATGGACTGTATCTTCCTAAATCCTACAAAATCCTCCATAACCATTCCGTGGATTTTGAAGGATCTTCGAAGTTTGAATTTAAGGCATTGCAGTGTGGAAAGTAGTCTGAGGATCAGACGTTCACGTGTGCAGAGCCACATTATGAATGTCTGATATATCATAGCATGCAAATTTTATGCAACCCCGTGCCAGCCAATCGGAATCGACTTTCGAAATTGTGGTGTCTTTTCGAGCAGAAATTTGGCCTAAGGTGTTGATTGGTCAATTGGCTGCCATATTGTTGTAATACAACAAGAGGTTACCAAAGACCTGATAGAAGGCGCTTGCTGAATGGCCAATATGTGGAGGGTAAGATGCAGTCTTGTTTTGCATAAAGAGAAGGACGGTTTTGAGAGTAGCTAGAGTTTTATCTTTGCCCTAAGTTCTGATAACATGTTGCATTTAGTGTGGAAAAACACTTGAAAACTCGCCACTGATATGATGAACTTTGTTTTTAATCCTTGGAGGGGAGAGATGTGGAAGACGGTGACCGGTTTAGCTTCAATGGTGACTTCAAGCACAGGTTGTGTCGGATCAAGATCAACCAAGTCCAGATGAAAGAAACGGTAGGTCCTCACTTTTCCATGCAGCTACATGTACTTATCTGTGTTATGTTTGTCCCACTGTCCCATTTTGCTGAATTTCAAATCTTCATGAAGTCTCATGTACATTGCTGATTATTGAATGCAATTCTATGTCATGGACCAGTCGTAGCTGTCTAAATGTATGGCATATGTAAACACTTCACTGAGTATCAAAAAATCAGTGTTTAGCTGCTTCTTTTTTTTTCTTTTCTTTTTGAGCAAAGCTTTTTCTTTTTGAGCAAAAGAAATTCCTGTGACTCCTCTCAACCTACTGTGTAGACAACTTGCTGCAAAATATTCTCGATATTTTGTGACCTCAGCAGCTAGTAATGGGCAGTCAAGTCAGTTTAAAAATATTTGAAAGAAATATATCTAAAATATCAAACTGTTCTGCAGCTAAGCCAAATTTCATGAAAGAAATCGTGAGTAGATTGTGCAGCTCTGCAACGAATTTGTATCACAAATCTGAGGCATTTTGTAAGAGTTAAGCACTGTTTCATGAAATTAACTGCTTTTATTACCAACTGTGTGAGTCTGTAAATGATTGTTCTTCTCCAAATGCTGGCCAAAGAGACTGGCTAATCTTTTTTTATTGTTGATTTCTTTTCCAGGCGGAGGAGCAGTCCAACACGCAGGAGAGAGTATTCCAAGACCGTCAATACCAGATAGATGCCGCCATTGTTCGTATCATGAAGATGCGTAAGACCCTGACCCACACGTTACTGGTGTCGGAGCTGTACAACCAGCTCAAGTTCCCAGTCAAGGTAAGGGTGGAGGGGGGAAGGGGGGTGAGGGGGATCTCAAACACACCTGGTGTTCTTGGTCATGAGTGTGCACAAACTAGTTGCGTCTTCTCATGAGTGTTAGGCGCCTAATGGCTTGGAATGTCCCTCCCGTTGGTCTCCCCAACGTTGGTCTCCCCAACGTTCTCGTTGAGAAGGTACTTGTGCACGGAGTCTATAGGGAGTTCCAATTTTAAATTGCCAATGAATGTGCTTTCTGTCGGGCTTATTTGGTGCCTCATGGCACGGCAGCAGATCCATGCATGGCAAGCAATATAGCAAGTATACCCTCAATTAATCTATGAGCATTCCTTATATGGGAATGTCAAATTTATGAGTGTCTACAGTAACTGGTGAAAAGCCAAAAGTGTCCAATTACAGTTGAAAACATGTTTATTGTTCATTATTAGGTGTTGGGCCTTGAGCCCAAAACCTATTGTTATTGTAAGAATTTACTATTTTTTTTTTTTTAGTTCTCCTCAGCAAATTGTTTGTCAAAATGAAAACATATATGAACTTCAATTGTCAATACACGAATGCACAACCCACTGAAGATGTGCTTTTTTGTAATTACGTCATCATGACGTCATCATGGGTCACGTGACGTCACTTCAAAATATAATAAATTTAATCTTTGGAATTCAATATAAAATCAACCGTGAGAGACCGGAACTTGAATTTTGCGGGAATCGACATGATAATACATGCTCTTCCTTTTATCCTGTGCGCGTGAAATCACGTGACCCTTCCTTCCGGTCGAAACCGGAAGTGCCTAATAATTTGAAAGTGGAAAAAGATGTGAACTTGCTTTCAACGGTGTTGGTGTCTGCCTGGATTGACCTTTCAAAAAAAATAATGGGTGATGCCATGAAGAGTTGGAGCGCCCTCTAGCGGCAGGTTAAAAAACGCGAAAAACGCATTTTCACTTGATGTCTGTGGCGAAGTTTGCGGTATTCGATTCAGAATTCATGTACATGATGACCACATAGGTCTTGACCTATGTGCAAAAAAAATTTGATTACGTCATCAGATCGGAAGTTACAATAAAAAGACCTTTAAACCTTCAAAAATTGCTAAAAAATCAACCGTGATAGATATAATCAAGATTTGGCTATATAGCACAGTTAAAATAGCTCTTGAACTTTCTGGTAATGACGTCACAATGACGTCATCAAGTATCATATTACAAGCAATCAAAGATTTCTAGATTTAATCTTTGAAAATCAATATAAAATCAACTGCTACAGATTTGATTTTGATTTTTATGGCAATCGATACAATATTGCAGGGTCTTCATTTTTGGTATTAAGTGCAAAATCACGTGACCCTTCCTTCCGGTCGAAACCGGAAGTGCCTTATTATTTGAAATTGGCAGAAGATGCGAACTTGCTTTCAACGATGTGAGTGTCTGCCTAGGCAGTACTGTACAAAAATTTTACAGGTGACGTCATCAAATGTTAGAGCGCCCACTGGCGGCATGTTGAAAAAGTCAAACATGGATTTAAACTTGCATATTTTGAGTTGATGTGTGTGGCAATGTTTGCGGTAGTCCATGGCCCAACACCGTGTGGTTGTTCCTACAACCTCTAGTTTACCTTTGTGTTTGTTGTTTCTGTTTTCAGCCGTCGGATCTAAAAAGAGAATCGAGAGTTTGATTGACCGGGACTACATGGAGAGAGACAAAGACAATCAGAACCAGTATCACTATGTGGCCTAGTAGCCTCCTCTCCAGCAGTTGGATCACAGCTGACCTCAGTAGAGTGGATTGACTATAGATGTAAATGGACTCCTCCCGTGCAGGTCTTCTTGGTAGCTTTGATTTGCGGCTTGTGGAGTGAGACTACTTTTGAAAGCTGGACCACACTGCGGTGTTCAATAGACTTGTCTGCCACCAGTCTGAATTTTTGTTCTTTCTCAATGTACAATGTGCTCGGCTAACCAATCTGTGTGGTCTACACATTGATTTACATGTACAAAACAACATAGGGTGTAACACAGCGCAGCCTCCATTCCAGCCTGACGAATCTTGGTTGAATACAACGTAAGCCTTCTCACAAACAGACCCAGAGAGTACAGACTGGTGAAGGAGACCACATTTTGCACTTGATTTGTATATTGATATGCAAACTTGCTTTCCCCAGCCCATGTTGTTCATTATCAGTGACATTATTAGTTTTCATACCAGTAAGGGCCTCTGTATTAACCAAATTAAAACATCCCATATATTTTGTTTTGGTTCGTTGAAAAATTTGTAAATGTTTTGCCTTGCTGTTGCTTTTGTTCCAATGAATGTATCTAACTCCATCTATTTAATTATTACTTGATTCAGAAGGTATATATATAATATATATGCAGTATTCTGTCGCATACAGTTAATAACAAAGCTTGCTTGACAATGAGTGCCGAATTTGGGAGATTCATAATGCAGTGGGCCACCTAGAGTTTGCCACAGAGAGTTCATTTTTCCCAGTACATTGTGGGAGATGGTCGACAAATTCGCAGCGCGGGACATTTGAAATTGTCAGTTTTTCCGGTCAGTAGTTTCGCAAGCGTAGGCCTATGTTTTGAGTATCTGTTTGCCCTTTTCTTTTCTTTTTATCAATATGGTGTTTTTTATAAGGCGGCAGAACGCTGAGCCCAAATCTATAACAAATGAGCTCAAGTTGTCTACTGACACCCATTCAAATGGGCCATGCTTTGTCGACGGTAAACATGAAAAATGGACTCTTCCTGGCAGACTCTTGGTGGCGCACTGCATTGTGAATCGCCCGAATTGTTGTCAACTATGTGAGTTAATTTCTTTTCCAGGAAAGAGTCATTAGCTTCCTTCTCAGAACATATGTATCAGCACTTTCCTGGCAGCTTCATTCTGTTTCCTGTCCACAATTCATTCACATTTTCCTTGATTTAAGATTGATCATTACTAATTTTGAATACATCTGCACATTTTCTCCCTGACAGTTTGTTCCTCTCCAAACTTGTGGAAACGGAAAGAAATATCACTTTGTGTCATGGCATGAGACTGTTTTCACAATGATCTCTATTCAGAATGCCCAATTTCAATAGCGCTGCTTAACAGCCGATTTTGTGCTTACTGAGCCTCCATCTATTTCATAGAGACTGTGAGCAGTAAGCACAGTAAAAAGCACGCTTAACTGCGGAGGAAAAAAATGGCATAAATCAGTGACGTAACAATAGAAATCTCCATGAGCGCGCAACTGTTAGCGCATCCACACCTAGCCCCATGAATGTGGCCAATTTACTGGACTACCTCCGTAAACATAGGCCACACATCCACATATACAAAAACGTGTCGCACTTTGCCAAATTTAGATTTTCACATTTAGGCTTAGTTTGTAGGGCTTTTTGCTTTAGAAGCATACTAACCCTCTTTATAGGCTATAATCAGAAAGTGCTGCCTTTTTCAGATGTCTAATTTTTGTGAAATTTCATGTTGAAATTTTGATACGCAAACGTGTGCAAATGAATCTGGAAATTTCACGAAAATAGACATCTGAAAAAGGCAGCACTTTCTGATTAGCCTATAAAGAGGGTGAGTATGCTTCTAAAGCAAAAAACCCTACAAACTAAGCCTAAATGTGAAAATCAAAATTTGGCAAAGTGCGACACGTTTTTGTACATGTGGATGTGTGGCCTATGTTTACGGAGGTAGTCCAGTAAATAGGCCACATTTATGGGGCTAGTCCACACCATGAAATAGTGCTTAAGCAGCAGCATGATCTTCTGCTATAGTAAGCGCAACTTTTCTGCTAACTGTTAAGCAGGGCTTTGAAGCTGGGCCCAGTGAAAACTGGTCCGAAGAGTATGCTGATAAAATGAAGCCAAAAACAAAAAATCCCGACCATATCTGACTTTCAAAACAATAATCCCCAAATGTTTTTGTTGTTGTATCTCTCTAACTGATTTCAGGCCCAGAAATTATTGGTCAAGATTAACTTTGCCTGTGCAGATACTATTGTCTTTTCCCCCATAGCGCATGCTTTGAATTATCTGATCACATGCACGACTTTGTGTGAGTGAGTGGCAGTCATTACAGAATCACTGCAGCAAGTTACTGCGGGCTTTTACACTGTTACTTTTTTTTGGCCACATTTTATTTTGAAAGGAATATGGCATACTGGTAAAACAGTGTATGCCTTTTTCATGTTAGCAAACGGTATCAGATGAGCAACTTGAACTTACCCTTTGATAAAAATGGGATAAACCTGTCACGACACTTTGATTGGCCACACATGAATTGACATTGCTTGAAATTGCATAGTTGTGCTCCGCCCATGCCCATATTTGGTAGCATCCTTACTCCATCCTGATTGGATGTTATCAGTTGATTGATAGCCAAAACTTATACAAATCGCATTGGCTTGGGTTTTACAAACTGCTAACTCCTCCCATTTTGGGTGGGGCTTTTTTAAACCTTGTTTATTAATTGAATGTAAATTAGAATGGCACCTGAATGTTACCCAAACACAGTAAAAAATAACGGTTTCAAAGGCAAAATAAGTTAATTTCTTTTAAGCTTGGTTAATTATCCACTGCATGTAGATTAAATTAAATTCTCTATGACAACATACCTAAGTTTTGGAAAAATGTTAACTGTTTTTGTACAATACGAACATTTAGTTAAAATGGAAATTGTGTGTTAACACTGCTATAGCTATATCTAACTTATTTTACAGGCCCTGAAAATCAAATTATTTTGATAAGACGAGTGTTGCACAAGAAGGCTCTGAATGTCACTTAAACGTAACTTATATTCGGTTTTGATAAAATACCAACAAAAACAAAACAAAAAAATTAAAAAGATGTACGTAAGTGGTAACACCTTTTGTGGAAACAAAAATGGCCAGGGTTATTGTATGAGACTTCTGAAAATGTTGATTAAATATTAAAGTATGAAAAATGTCACAAAATATTTTGTTCGGGTTGGTTTCTCTCTGTAAATTTTGTGGAGTCATTGGCAAGGTTTTGAATATAACTTCAAGGGAATATACATCATTTGCTTTTGCTGTAATTTTCAGAAATGGATGGAATTGCGGGGTTGGAAATATATAGCAAATATAGTAACACTGACTTTTTTGAGGTTTTGGGTTTGAAAATGCTATAAAAACCAAGAAAAACAATCATTTTCCTGTAGTCTGGTTCCCTGACTCCATTTAAGAAGAAACAGAGCAGTTTACATACATTGGGGAATTGTAAGGTCAGGGAACCAGTCTAGCTGGCTTGTACCCGTTTATATGTGTGTAATCGATTGCAAACAAGTGCGATGGTCAACTGGGGCCAGTATTTGAAAAAAAGCCAGTTTTTTCCAACGCTGGTCGGCCGATCAGCGTTGGAAATTGATACAAAAATACCACTTTTCTTGAAAATGACAGTATACCAGATGCCATGATTTTACAGGATGCTTTACACTGTCATTCACTAACAGTCCAGCAAGGTATTTCAAAATGATTTGGTAGTTTTATGTTTTGATGTTTGCAAATGTTGTATTTTCCCTTTCAAATTATCTGTGCTAGATATTGTGGATGATAGCAGTGAACGAAATTTTCTTTTAAGTTGTGCAAGTGGATTCTGATCCTGCCAGAAAATTATGGTTAAAAAAAGGACAAGTAAATTGTCGGGTGGATTGTACTAACTGCACTAGTGGAATTAGAGGCCAAATTGTTTAGTTCCCTACTTGGAAGTAAAGTGAGCCCTCTTGCGATGGTTTGGTCATACATTAACTGTATGATGGATTTCACACATTTTATTGACTAGGAACTGTTACAGGATGCTTGAATTAAGCAAGTGGCGAAGACAGTTACCGATCTGGAACAACATTTAAAATAAAATTCGCGAGATTTGTTTTCAAGAAGTTATTTTATCTAGAGAGAGGTTTCAATAGCGGAACATCAACTACATGCACGAAATACTTATTCGATGACCCAATGACCTACTTTTACCGCCATATCGGTTTCGCTTGTACGTACACGTACGTACGTAAATGTACGAACCACCCACCGCATTGCATGCGTGCAGTGCGGATCGGAGAAAGTGCATGCGCTGCATCTTCGTGCATGTCGTGTGACTAGGTGAAACATCTGACTTGGCCGAACGGCAGTTTATTTATCGTGAACATTCTATGGATTCACTCGAAGTTGTCGCCGCAGATGTTAAGCTGACATGTCGCCGGGACTGCAGGAGGCTTTATGAAGGCTTGTCACCGACCACGCCGCAATGGCAGCGGCGTCTGCCGCCGGCCTGCCAGCCAAGATACTGGAGTTGATTTTCTCCTACTTGGATCTAGCTGACCTGCTCAACTGCTCTACTGTCTGTAAAGCCTGGCATAACTGCCTGAACGATGAGAATTCCTTGGTTTGGCGGGTCCAGTGCATCAGGAAGATTACCGCTGATGCTCGTAAAGGGGATCTGCTGTCTGAGGTGCCCAGTTACAAGGCCAAACTGCGGGCCTTATTCCACGCCTTCAACCCGGGCGATTGCTCGCGGAACGTGTACGTCAAACCAAACGGGTTCACGCTCCACCGCAACCCGGTGGCGCAGAGCACGGACGCGGCCCGGGGCCGGAGGGGGTTCCGGAAGGGCCGGCATGCCTGGGAGGTCTGGTGGGAAGGGCCGCTCGGGACGGTAGCTGTGGTAGGGATCGCTACCAAGAATGCCCCTTTGCAGTGTCAGGGGTACGTGGCTTTGCTAGGGAGCAATGACCAGAGCTGGGGCTGGAATTTGGTGGACAATTACCTCTCACACAACGGTGATCACCAGGGAAACTTCCCACAATGCAATAATGCACCGAAGTATGAGGTGAGAAAATCTCAGAAATGATTTCCATACAATGATGATTCCCCCCCCCCCAAGTGTTTAAATAGCCTTGAACCGGTCCTGCACTTTTCCGTTATTAAGCTGGCACTTGTATAGCGCCCTCGTGGGCACGTATAACTTACACGTACACCTACACCATATAAGATATTACATTTCCAACCCAGTCGAGCGAATGCATGGCCTAGCGAAGAGCGGTTCGATTCTCCGTGAGTACACTCATTTAAAAAAAAAAAAAAAAAATTTAAATTAAGAGTTGCCTTCCTTTATTGTTTAAATCAAATCCTAGATTTAATTGCAGAATTTTACATCTTTTTTTGATTCGTGGCTCGGCAGGATTTTTTTAAAGGGAAGTAAAGTCTGAAATTGCACTAGGTCTGATACCCATCTTCGTGAAAACGAAGTCACATTAACGACAATGTACATTTTGTAAGCATGGAGCCAGACAAAGATTCAGCACGGTAAAAAAATGTCCCGAAGTCCCAAACAACACTCACTGCGCATGCTCACTGCCGTGCTGGTGAAAGAGCAAAAACAATCGGGGACGGCTTCACGGTCAAATATACCATGTATACACTGCCTTTTTTTCCCCAAGATGGCGGATGGGTTCTTCCATTTTTTTCCAGACTCCATTATTTGCTGATACCAAATTGTGTCCAAAGGAGCAGTCAACCTTTCTACATACAATGTCGTTGGAAACAAATACAATAGGCCTATATTGACAATAATATAAATTTAAAAAAAAAATTCAATATTCAACTAAACACACAGTAAACACACTAGAAATGTACCTGTTTCAGTGTTTGTCTTCCAGTCTTAATTTATATGTGCCGGCTGGTACATTACTTTTGATTTTATTTTCACTCGATCCAACCCTTAATATCCTGCTACTGTACATATTTCTGCACCTTCTAAACACCAGACTCGAACTCAGACAAAAAAAATGCAAAAAAGACTCTCTCATTTTAACCACTAAAATTCGTAAACCTAATTCCCTGTGAAGTCAATCCTTATGCATTCTGAGCCATGCTATTACTTGGGTCAATATTGGTCAAGACCCCCATTGGTTTGTTAACATTATGCCAGGGGAGAAGAAGGAAATTTTGACGGTTTGTGACCTTTTAAATAGCAGGAGGGTTATTTCAATTACATGTACGGTGTATAAGTCATTTGAACCGCCCATCCCATCTTTTCATTCTTCAGTTTCCTCCCATCCCCCATCCTGTCCATGACGATAGAATGGATGACCAATGCTTTTTTGGCACCATCCACTGTCACCATGCCAATGACCTGAGGCAGTGCCGTGACCTTAGATTGACTTATTGCTTTGTCATGACTCACTGAAAAAGATGCAGTTATATTGAAATTGGATTATGATTATGGTGAGGTTATTTTCATGAGGAGTGTTATATGTAGGTTCAAGTGCCTTGGAAGGATGATAAGAATATTGTTTAATTGTGTTTTTGCCCCTATTTTTTATTAATAGTTCTAAATTCATTTCCTTTCAGGACCCCTAATTTATGGCTACATGTACCAAACTTGATATTGTACGTACTAAGCCTCAGTACGTACCATAAAAATGAGAAAACCAAGATTTTAAGTGCTAAATGTGCACTTACCAGTACATGTCATTGCGGACCGTGCACATTATTTCATCTGTGTATGCATGGAAAGCACATACCATGTGTGCAATGTACAAACATCATGCGTCTCATTTTTGAAATCATAAATACACCAAGTGATTTATAGTTATTATCTTGAATCTTATTATTAGAACGCTTGAGCCATGACATTGTCTTTTCTCCTTGAATCCTTTCTCTGTGGTTTTAATTTACATGTACATGCGGTAACAGACCCCAGCTACAATTCAAGAAATAGGCCTACATTGTATGTACACTGTTGTGTACATGGCTTGAGGTCATAACCACAAAAGCCACAGTACAATTATGTATGTAACATCAATATCAGTAAAGCCACATTTTTTATTGCTTGTCTATGTAGACTGTACCAGGGTATGTCACTTTAAAGGGAATATAACATTTGCAAACATCAAAAAATACAACTACCAAGTTTTAACAAAACTTGGTAAATGACAGTCTAAAGCACCCTGTAAAATTATGGCACCTCGTGAGAAGTCATTTTCAAGAAAATGACATTTTTGTATAAATTTCCAACGGTGGTCGGCCGACCACTGTTGGAAAAACCTAACTATTTTTCAACTACTGCTCCAAATTCACCATTTTTTTCACTCCAAATTTGCTATTGGTTACATGTTCATGAACGGGTGCAGGCCAGCTAGACTGGTTCCCTTACTTTACAATTTTCCGGCATCTATAAATTGATCCATTTTATCTTTAGTGGAGTCAGGGAACCAGACTACTCCACCATTTGTGTGTTTCTTGGAGTTTCCAGCATTTTCGAACACAAAACTTCAAACATGACAGTGTAACAATGTTTGATCTATTATAGTAACCCCTTAAATAGTTCATTTCTGAAAATTACAGCAAAAGCCAATGATGTATATTCCGTTTAAGAGGCTGTCATATGCGCCCATCACTTGTGTGATGCACCCCATGACCACTGGGAATGGTGTGTCATTGTCCAACAGTGGGTCATCCTTTTGTGGAATTTATGCAACCCGGCCCCTGCACGAGGCAGTATTTTTGACCCACCTTTCACAGATCGCAATGCACTGAGGAGAAGTGATGCACCCCATAATTTGTTTGACACACCAAATCAAATGCTTCGTGATTGGTCACCTGACAGTGATAATATGCTCAAAAGTCAAAATTTGATAATTCAACTCAAACACACACATTATACAAGTTGGATTTAGGATGCTAGAATGTGGACATGTACGTACATGTTGGGGCGTGAGCTGTGGTACCACATGTACCTCAGTAAATAAATGTCTTTGAATTGTAAGTAATGGATTAGTTGAAAGGGTCCTTAATTGTAGCTGATGTTCTGTTCCTTACAGTAGTTCCAGTAGGCACATACCTGGGCTTGTCTTAGTAAATCTTGAAGCCCTATCAATTTGTCAATTTAAGCACCCCCATGTCCCTAGTGCCGTCTTGCTTCAACAAGTCTGTCACTGACTGAAACACCCGAGCCACAATAACTGTCCCGCTGCATGATGAATTCCATCGGTTCTTCTCACCAGAAGCATTAGAGAAGGGCCAACAAAATGTATGCTCCCTAGGCCTGCAGCTACACTCTGCTGCATTTTCGAAACCCAAATCCGCAAAGGCCATGTCAATTTGTCAACACGTCATTTTGCAGCCTGTCCCCCTGTGTGTACCATCCTTCAGAGTGTATTCCTAATCAGCAACAAATCCTGCTGGATTTTTACCACAGTGCAAAAACGATGACACAGTCCTCTGTTTTACTCTCTCTCTTTATTGCTTCCCCCCCCCCCCCTCTGCGCTCAAGGTCAAGACGTTATTTATGGGGTGATACATGTAAATTTTGTGTTCATTGGCCATCTCTGATGGACCAGATTGCTTAATGAACCGGAAAGAACAGGGGGAAAATGGAAGAGAGTGGATTTTAGGGAGTGGACATGAACATTGTGTTGGGTTAGTAATGATGAATCAGACGTTGACGGGTTGAAGGTGTGAATGTTAGACTAGTGGCAAGTCTCTTCATTGCCTGATCACATGTAGAGGTTTCGTTCATTTACCCATGTATTCATGGTGCGGGCTAATTTCTTGGAGATCCCATTGGACAGACTCTCTTAAGGCCAAAAAAAAAAGTCTCTGGTTTCTGGTATGGAACTTGTCCCAAAAATGGTGCAGCGATGTGTTTGTTTTTCCCTACTTTTTTTTTTCTTCAAATGTCGGCTGAAAATGATGTTTTTCATTTTCCTCATGATATTTTGCGACAGGGATAAGCTGTCACCAACCTCATACCCACGGCTTTCAAGATGTTACCACAATGTACATGTAGGTGTACTCTCCCACCCTGGTATTGGATCATTTCTAAATACTTACATGTATTCTTCTGTGGTGTAACAAACAACTTGAATACTTTTCAATGTACATACTGGTACAAAAAAATCTCCGGTTTCTGGTCTGCATGCCCGTCAGTCGCCGTAGCCAAGCCCGTCAGTCGCCGTAGCCATGCTTGTCAGTCGCCGTAGCCATGCCCGTCAGTCGCCGTAGCCATGCCCGTCAGTCACTGTACCGGTAGCCATGCCCGTCAGTCGCCGTGGCCATGCCCGTCAGCCACTGTACCGGTAGCCATGCCCATCAGTCGCCGTAGCCATGCCCGTCAGTCGCCGTAGCCATGCCCGTCAGTCACCGTAGCCATGCCCGTCAGTCGCTGTAGCCATGCGCGTCAGTCGCTGTAGCCATGCCCGTCAGTCTCAGTAGCCATGCACGTCAGTTGCCGTAGCCATGCGCGTCAGTCGCTGTAGCCATGCCCGTCAGTCGCGGTAGCCATGCCCGTCAGTCGCCGTAGCCATGCACGTCGGCAAAATTAAAAAGTTTTTTTTTCCAATGTAAGACGATGTCTCAAAACTGCCAAACTCACTGGTTTGATTGGAATCCTGCTGCTGCACAATTTTAATGTGTTTTTAGATAAGGTTACGATCAAGTAGTTTATGTGGCCTCTCTGGGCTCCCATATATTTTGAACAAAATTTAGTCGGGCACCATTTGCAGACGGTGTTGCAATTTTGTAATTGTGTGTCTGGAAGCCAGACTGAGGGAGCGATGTGGACAGAGTTCTTGCAGAGTAGTTGACCAGTGTACACATACAATATGCAACATACATGTACATACATGTACTGTATGAAAACTATGATGTATCATGTATGCAGGTAAATTTCTGAACAAGCCATGTGCAAACATGTACGTGTACATGTGTTTTTGTGTACACGTACATGTAGTTCCGCTTATCAGCATAATTATATGCACAAATTATGACAAATCCATAATCTGTTATTCACAGTGACAACTGTAATTTTAGACTCTTGAATCACTG